GATTTTTATTCCACCGCCCTGGCAATATGGTGGTCGAGGCCGCGCTGATTCTTCATGAGCGAGGCAAACGTGATGAAATGGCAGAGCACATATGACTCTGAGGTCATAATGAAGGAGACATCATAATAAAATAAAAATCAAGTATTTTGACGAACTGGGTTGAGTCGGGGTGGTCGCAGGATCGTCTCGCAAAGTGGATTTATATCTACCCAAACAACAATATATATGTCGACAAACGCCAGCTTCATAAAACCTTTAGGTACATACTCACCCTGTACAACGGCCATCATGACACCTGCATGTTCTCATTGAAATTATTGGATGCCGCGAGTTTACTCATTATATTTCACCTAACCACAGTGATATCTTTCAGTTTGGAGTTGTGACATTGGTACCGAGGCGGGAATCTTCCAACTCCTTTAAGCACAATTTCAAATATTAAAGTCAGCGTGCCTAAGTGGCTGAATGGGGGGATTGAGATCGATGAGAGCAAGATATTCAATACGAATGGCATACTACATCTTAGTGGAATCTCTGTGAACTTTGGCTCCAAGGTGTAGCCTTTGCGGGTGGAATTTATTGATAACATTGATATTATGTACATTACTACTCTGTCGTTGTTCAAACGAACTGCAAAAGTGTGTTCAGCATGTCCTTCAAGTCCTTATGACCCGGGTCATCCTCTCCAAGACCTTCGATTTGTTCTACTCAAGTTAGCCTCCGAAATTTATCCATGGATAGCGATGCGGGTTACTCACCTTGCAAGGTCCCGCGGATCAGGGACAAATCTTCATCCCGGTCCGCAAGGAGCGAGACAATCTTCCTCTTCGCTCCATCATCTTCGGCAAGAAGCCACGCCAAAATAACATCAATTGTCTAGAGCAGTTAGGAAGGAGCCACGCCACAGCGCAGAAGGGGAATCGTACCTGTAATGAGAACAGACCCGCGTCGAGCCGCCGCGACAGCCATTCGCCAGCCATAAGTTCTTGCTCCTCTTTGTCAAACGTTCTGCGCTCTTTTTCAATGGCTTGTTCCACGGGCAAGACGCGTGCGGCATACTCGCGTCGAAGGTTGACGAGCTTCTCGATCCTCGCATAGTCCTTCTCCATAAACTTGGCCAAAGTCCGGATACGGGGAGCAGAACCGCCAGGCAGAAGACGGAGAAGAGAGGCAAAAATGCCCAAGAAATGTTCAATATTTTGACCCTCTTGCTGGATGCATATTAGCAGACCGCAATTTGAATGTGAGGGAGCGAACTTACCTTCTTCAGGAACATTCCGAAAACTGGCTTCAGGCCAGCAGCCTCGACCAACCTCTCGCAGGCCGATGCACCTCCCATTCCACCGAAGGCGTGGTCAAGAACCCTCAAAGCACGTGGTTTACTGAACTTGCCTTCCTTGAGCATGATCAGTGCAAGCTCAACTCCTTCAGCCTCCACAAACTTCTCTTTCCCTGTATCTTCCTCGACAAGGCATATCAGGGCGTCAAACATATTCTCCACATATTCTTCCTCGTCAGAGTCCTTAGCTGGATCGCGTTTGCGGTACGCACTGAGCAGCTGGAGGAGGATGTCGATGCCGTCGAGCTCAATAAACTTCGTGCGATTCTTTGTAGAAGACTGTAAAAGGATTGCCAGTATTTCTGCCGCATATTGCTTGTTTTGGCTGACAACCGCTTCTTTTCGTTGAATACGTGACAGAATCCAAGGCAAGATTGCAGCGTCCTGTCCAATTTTCTCCGCAAGTGATGTCTGAGAGGCCAGGTTTTCCAGTACACCTGTATAGAATTAGCAAAGCTATTTTCTTTCCTTTGAAAAGTAAAATACCCACTCAGAACATAGTATACTCCAGCTCGATCTGTTTCGGACCCTTCATCGAGTCGGGAGAGATTTTGAGCTAACAATTCGATGAGGTCGGCCTCGATCTAGTCATAGTTAGCACGTGTTACTGATGTACCATGCCTCGACATACCATTGCATTAACAAGAGCATCCCATTGTTCTTGCTCTGCCTCCACGTCCTCGTCTGTCAATTCACTGATTATCTGGACGACATCAATTGCAATGTCCGCGTTTTCATGTGACAAGAGAGAGGTCAAGGATGCAACGCATCCCATCTTGGCAAACTCGTCGTATAGGTCAGAATGTTCAGACAAGATTGACAAGGCCTTAATTTCAGTATCCAGGTCGGCCTCGGAAGCCATGAACCTGCAGCACCATTAGCACCAGGTACATACAACTGTTTGGCATGCACCCACTTTTGCGGATCACTCTCAAATTTTGCTCGAAGTTCAGCATTCTTGGAAATCTTCTTCTCGAAGTTCAATGCGAAGCGGCGCACCCACGCAGAGTCGAACTTTTCGGGCTAGATGAGCATACTGTCAGCACCTGGACAAGTATCCCGGGTACAACAAGACCCATACCGCAGCCTCTTCCTCCTGATCATCGATGTATTCCATTGCCTGGGCTGTCTTGCGCTCCATTCCACCGCCGAAGAAGCGGCCTTCCTCGTCGTCTGGGACATCCTCCTCGAAGTCTGGAGGGAGTTCGGGTCCAGCTTCAGCGTCGTCTATCTCGTCCTCCACCATGGGAGCTTTCCCCTTTGATCTCACATCCCCACTTGGATCTAGTTTTGCTGATTTATAGACCTCATCTGTGGGTATGGTTAGGATTTGCGACCAGCGCGGTTGCGGGGAAAGGGCGTACTTGGATCTTGGATAGGCTCAAACTTGCGCTTAGCACTCCCTGAGGTGGACGGTTTCTTTGCACGTCAGCCATGGTTCTGATTCAGTAGATACACTCGGGACTCACTTTAAAGAGCTCGTCGACGCTAGTCATGGTTGCTGCGGCCAAACACTTGTTCAGTGGACAATGTGAAGACAACCAATCTCTAAGGCGGAGAGATGTACCAAATGAGATCGATTGTGTAACTGAAACGTCCAAAGCAGCAGTGAAGAGAACAAAAATATAAAGGAAAGGTGAGAGGACGCTGTCGCATCGTCCTTCACTGCGCGGGCAAAAGAAATACGGTTGCCGATAGGAGCTAAAGACGCAGTGACGCCAAGCGTTCCGAGGCCGCAGATTTCTCGACGTCCGATCATCACTCCAACATCAACATCAACGAACGTCCTCTACATTCGTACCTCACATCATATACACAATGGCTCCTAACCAGCGCATCGTTCCCTCCGGCTCTCGGCCCCAGAAGGGCTTCGTCAGCACCCTCTATGACGAGGCCACCAACCCCGAGAACAAGACCATTGTCCGCAGTCTCGTGGTTTTCGGCGTACGTGTTGCCTAGTCAAATTAAATGCCCAATGTGATCGACGAAACTGACAATATCTGTTTTAGGCCGGTATCGCGTTCCTCCACTCCAGCTTCGGAGAGTTCCTCCTTCCTCCGTAAGTCGATCCGACCAAACGTGTTTCCATCGAAATCAACCGAATGAACCTCATCTAACTTTACGCAGTATGTAAAATCATCACGCCTCCTATGCCTCCGACGATACAACTCGGAACCCCCTCTTTTGAACCTGTGGAAGCATATCGGCGTCGGCCAAAGGAAAGCATATGATGCATGGACATCTTTCGCTCGGTAGTTTTTCGCGTGGTAGTTTTTCGATTGGATAATTTGTACAATATTTTATTGGCAGGGCGTGTGATATCCGACATGCTGTGTTCTGTTTTGAGATTCATGAATATCAGGAATTTGCCATTTGCTGGATGTCCAGCCGGGTGGTACAATGCAATTTTTGGTCCATGGTAATTACGACTAGTGCCTATGTAATGATTAGAGGAGGCTATACCATACGCTTGATGATAACAGAGTCCTCGAAAATCGGATGGCAGCACTAAGTGGATGGCCACCGCTGCGACAAGTAGAGATAAATGTATACATTTCAAAGGCACCTGTTGTTTAGGCTCGTGGAACGCTTAGTGAATGCCCAAATAACAAACCGGGTTCCATAACTCAGTTGGTTAGAGTGTGATGCTAATAACGTCAAAGTCGAGGGTTCGACCCCCTCTGGAACCACGTTTCTTTTTCTTTTTTTCCTTTTTCTTTTTTTCCTTATAGGAAAGGACTCGGAAGTGACGAAACATATGGGATAAGACCGATTTGAAGACTGAAGTCAGTCGTATAATGAGTTCTATAGCAGAATACACATGGATGGGAGAGGGGAGTGGGAAGTATTCAGTGGGACCTACAGAATATTGAGCTAAATCTTTGTACATAGATATACCGCCCTTCAAATTCTGCTAGTTGCCAGTCTAAAACCCCTAATATAGTTAGCGTGTTGGCACATGATTCAGCACTAACGGTTAGAGTCAAAGGTATATATCTAAGGAGACTACTAAAAAAGACTACTAAAAAGACATTTAAGAAGACTACCGGAGCAGACTACCGAAGAAACCATTAGATGACTATGGCCGGATAAGCGGCCGACTATATATTCTTGTGATAGTATGTTTAAAAGGGAAGCGGTAATATGTAGGTTACAAAGGCTTAGCCCAATATTTTGGGGGCCCCACTGTAAACATCACTGTTTTGGGGCGGAAATATATATTAGCGATCATATCATTTGCACCCTTGTTTCTAACATGATGCTGTTAGGCGCTTTTGAAGTTTTAGCACTTGGATACTGGGTCCGATGTGTGCGGTTCGCCTAGTCTATTAGGATGATATCGGGCTTTTCTAGCATGGCTATATACTTGGGGACATTACGTGGAAATGGACGCCTTCACGGATTCAACCACTTGCATTATACCGTTAAATAAGTTGCGAAGAAGGCAGAAAACGAAGATATCAAACTGCGATACATATTTGGAAAGGCGATCTCCCCAGGGCGCCAAGACCCCGCAAAACGCCCCCACATTGCCCCAGTCCCGAACACCGCCTTCCTACGGGCTTGGCCAACGGCTTATGCCTTTGACGTCCGCGTGTAACCATATTACATGTTTGTACTCCCAAACAGGGCTATATGACCGCATCGTGCATGATAGGTCATGTCTTCAGCCCCCGGTCTCAAGCGCAAGTTGGAATCTCAGGAGCCGACGGCTAAGCGCCACCATCTTCATGGATACGATCCGCAATCCCCATGGCTACACGAGTCAGAACCAGCCAGGATATGGCGGACACGGGGAAACCCCGATGTGCAGCACTCGTTGCCCTTATCAAATATGGTGTCTGCCGTCCAAGACCTGATAGACCCGGACTTTGATCCACTCACGGCGATGCTGGACGATGAGCCCCGTTTTTTGAAACCGCTACCGGCTCGCATCGCCCCGGAGGACTTGGAGTTCCTGAGATTTCGTGGTGCCCTCTCGCTTCCGGAGAGTGGATTGCGGGATGAGCTTCTGCGCTGCTACATCCAATGGGTGCACAGTTTCATGCCAGTTTTGAACTTACAAGAGTTCTTACGATGCGTGGCTGAGAATGACCCAGAGGGAAATGTTAGCATTCTCCTATTTCAGGCGGTCATGTTTGTTGGTACGGCGTTCGTCGACCTCAAACATCTGCAGGCTGCCGGTTACTCAACTCGGAAAAGTGCGCGTAATGCGTTCTTTACTCGATTAAGGGTTTGTTTTCCACCAACCGGCTGTGAGATCATTCAACTAAGTCATAATAAATAGTTACTATATTCTCTTGACTGCGAAGAGGATCGCATTGAGATTCTCCAGACACTCCTATTGATGACCTACTGGTCCGATTCTGAGAACAGCCCACAGAGAGATATTTGGGATTGGATTGGAGTCTGTAACACACAAGCACAGTCAATCGGTTTGAACAAAGACCCTGCATCAGGTGAAATTGACACACGGACTCGAAGGCTCCGTTCTCGGCTCTGGTGGTGCCTGTACTCTCGAGATCGCCTGATCGCCATGGGTATGCGGCGCCCGCTCCAGGTTAACGATGGAACGAGCAGTGTCCCAATGCTCAAACTGGACGACTTTGATTTTGAACCTTTCTCTCCGTATGTGGTGGCCAAGTTCTATTGCCGCCAACTCCAAGATGTGTCACATCAGAAACGCCTTGCCACCATGTTCATTGAGAAGGTGAAACTCTGTCAATGTATTGGTAGGGTATTATTCGCGCAATATACACCATCCCAACGCCAATTTGGAGCTACCAACCGGACTACAGTCACCCTTATTCCTCGACAGGCTTCCGAGTCTGAATTTGCCCGATGCGGCCAGAAACTCGACTCGTGGCTTAGTGCGGTCCCTAAAGATGCGCAATTCGTCCCGAAGTCGGGGAAGAATTTCCAAGATGGCGAGGATGTGCTGCTGCTTCATGGTGCCATGCTACGTATGCTCTACCATGCTACCAGCAGCGCACTTCACCGGCCTCGGGCGATTGCTTCAAAAGATCAATCCAAATCGCGGACTGACTGGCGTAACGCTGCCCGTATAAAAATGAACGATGCTGCTGCGGGGATCACGCATATTATTCAGGGATTAAATCACCTCAACCTGACAAGATTCCTACCGCAGTCTGGAGTAACTGTGATTCTCCCAGCCGCTGTGGCGCATTTAACCAACACCATGTCCGATGACCCCGCTGTCCGCGAAAGCAGTGTCGACAATTTTCATCGTTGTATTGAAGTCCTTCACTGTCTTAAGGATATTTATCCAGCCGCCGGTCAAGAGTTCGCCAACATCGAGGCCGCCATCAAAATGCAGGCAGGTGCCTCCAGTACATTCTTCCAGGTCATGGAATACAATCTCGATGCTCCCGCCACATCTTTGGCAACCAGGAAACCAAGCAACGCCAATTCGATCTCTCAACCCCAACCAAATCCGCCGGTTACTGTAACCGCGACGCCCAAGCCGCGAGAACGAACTTCTTCTACGCAAGAGAACATACATCAAAGAAATTCCAGCAACGAAACGACACATGGACCCGCCCTACCTTTATTTCCCAATGATTTCGACCATTATACAGATCTCGGGGACATAGACAATAATCCTTTCAACTTTCTCTCCATCGACATCGACTCCTTCCCCGATATTCAAACCCCTCCGAATCCAATGAAGCCAAACAACACCGATAAACCCTATATATCACCACCACCCCAAGACCAAGACACTGTCGACTGGGCACAAGAGCTCTTCCAAGACACCGATCTAAATCAGTACAGTAACACAGAAGCCTTTCGCGAGCCTGAAAAGACAACGCCTCCACTGGATCAAGATCAAACGAATGACGAACCATTCTCTTTTACTTTAAATGATAGAGATGACGTTGGCCCAGTTCATTGTCGTCATCAGTCAATTAACGAGGCAAGGCCCGAAATCACCGGCGACCTGGACCGGGACTTGGGGTTCCAGTCTGAGGAGGACATATTCTAGTGTATATAACAAATTAGGATTTGATTATCGTGCCTCGATTCATGACGTGGTGGTCCGAGGTACTGGATGAACAAACATAGAGGGATGGGGAGCCCAAACGGCTGGTCTTAGTGTTGTCCTTAGTACTCGCATGCTTTATTTTCCATCTGCAGACCAGTCAATTCAAAAAAAATGGAGACAAACAACATAGTTCGTAGAATCCATCAGTTAATTCCCTGTCTAAATCCCTATCAGAATAACACTAGGCTAGTGATAGAAGAAAATGAGAGGAAATGACCTCATCGTACATATCAGATATTAAAATCCGCAAGATAAGAAATAATTTGAAAGAGAATTAAAAGAGAGAGAACAAAGCGAATCACAGTTTGTGATGCCTACATGCCCAGGTGTGGATGGAGGGGTAAATATGATGTTGAGTGGAACTTGTCAACCTCTCGCTATCCCACGCGAATTACTCCAGTCATGCTACGACATCTCCTCATCAAGCTTTTACTTCACTTGACATTGATACAAACCGACATGACATCTTCATTTGAATACCTCACAGACCTCGAAGGGACGGAGAGCACATTTCACTGTGTACCTTCTGTGGATTTGAGACCCATAGGAGAAAAGAACGGTCACTGACGTGATGAGGCCTTATAATATAGGTTGCTTCGCTTCGCTCCGCAATAAGACGCAAGAAAGAGCTCTCAAAATTCACCCCTCTCTATCATCAAAGTCGAGAGCGTGTGAGTGAAGCCTCACAGTGTACAGTTGTTGATACGCTAACGACTACGTAGTAGACAAGGCCCTACAGCAAGCATGCCCAACGCCACATATCCACGTGCAACTGTCGAATCCCCTCTCCCTCGTCTCCTCATTAGCCCTAAGGGAACCACCTCCAGCGCTGACACAATATCACCTTTGCGGGCCCGTTGCGACCATGGCCCAACTTTGCAAACCAGGTCGAAGTTGCGCATAATGAGCAGCATTGGAGCAGAACAGTCATTCAATACGACCTCTCTACCCGTCACTTAAGTGACGAGAAGGTCTTCGTCTCTAATGAGGCGGGCATCCAGGGAAGGGTAGAGAATAATATGGGCATTTCTTGGGGCCGTTTTCGACGCCCAAGCCGTCAACATGTGCTTTGCCGGTGTTAAGGCCACAGGCCGGCAATATGAGAGACCCCCTGACACCGTTATGGCTTCTAAGCCGGATTGTCAGAACGGTGATATACAGCATTTACAGGTTGTGAGTGAAGTTAAGATCCCGTGCGTCGAGGAGCATAAAATGTGGCTTTCCGACAGGATGATAGCATTCGACACCTACTCGGGAAGCCGATTAGGTATATGTTAGACCTCCAGTGTCAGTATGGCTTCCTCAGTAACCATTCGGAACTTAACATTAGCCTGAATCTAACGTTTCAACGCCTCATCATTAAACATTCCCATCTAGCTACATGACACTGAATACAGACCAGAAGAGACAACCGGATTGATTTCGGGATTTTCACCAGAATGCTGCACACCGTACCTCGATACTTTCCCGAGCTTCAGCATCTATACCCTGACCCTCCAACTCAAATGTACTATGAATGGCTCCCTCAACTCCCAGATTCGACATCTTATTGGTCTCTTATTGTGGTGCTCTTGCATGCGCCTCCGTCTCGTTGTCAAAGAGTTCGATTACCAAGACGTCAGAAGGCTGTTGCTCTGGAACAAAGTGCCAGCCATGGGCCTTTTGCTCCTTGTCCCGTGGCCCATAAGCCAGATAGCCGTAGGTTTCGCATGTTCCATTTTGAACCGGCCGTTGATTGTTGACATTTAAGTCGGGGGAATGGGGATCAATTATGCCCAGATGAGCAAGAATCTAGTGATCCATGGGATCAAGCTGCTCAGAAGGCACATAATCGGATCCAGGAAAGGAAGCAGATGATGCCAAAGCAAAGAGGGTCACGATGGACTGGCTTCAGAGGCCGCCATATCGAGAAAAGCGCGAATCGAGGTATTCCACCACCACCCTCTTTTCCTTGATAAAAGTCCTTCAGGTCGTCCAATTACACTCCGGATTCAAGCAACCGGTTCTCTGCTTCGATGACTTGCTCAGTCGCTGAAGTAACTTCGCGATGGTACTTTCGAATGTGATATCTTGCACCCTTCGGGGTAAGATCAAGATGCACTTTCGGAGCAGGACATATACCATCTGTCGGCGAATTTGGAAACAGCTCAGACGTGTCTTTTTTGACTGCGTCTTGTCCGTTCTTTTCTGTTTGTGTAGCAGAAGCTGGATCGCCTTGGGTGTATAGTTCGTCCCGAAGGACAGCAGCGGATACCACCACCTTCTTGCATCCCGTCACTTTTTGAACAAGTTCCTGTACTTCTGGAAAATAAATTTCACGAAGTAGATGCTCACCATTCCAACTCTTTTGCTCGTATGGAGCTGCATGCAGGGCCGAGTGATGTCAGCGAGCAGCAACCCATGGACTGAGAGCTTGTATGGGGACTCATCTCCAAGATCTAAAGATGGCTTCATGTCCGTGAGAGGCAATGTGAGGACATCACCAAACTCGGAAAGAGGTTGAAGCAGATACGCTTCTTTGCTTTGAGCTGGACGTGGTCCATCAAAAGGAAAAGAAACCCGTTTTTTGCCCGTATGACCAGACGTAACCACTAAACCCGGTTAACTGTAACCCCGTCTTCCTTATCCGGCCGTCAGAACATCGGTGACAGCTGATGCTCTTTATTACGCGGACGAAAGTCTTTCTGAATCCCCCAGCTACGTAAAGTCTGACATACAACCTTGGAAGTTCTTTATCTGCTTACCGAACGCCACGAAGATCGCTTAGAGAGGTAGTCGTGTCGTCTCGAGAGGTCGTCGCACCTGGCAATCTGACTGCAGGAATGCACCTGAACCGCACTTAGTGTATATGTTGTATATTTTCACCAAGTCGAGACGTTTGACGGTCTTGACTTGGCACCACAAAGGAAGATTACTGGTGCAGAAATGCGGTTCCGAGATCCACGGGAGATCATTGCTGGCATGCATGAACGTGCATATATGGGCCCCACATGCCGGGGGGACCTTGGATTTCCGGCATATGCCCGACTGATGGGACCCCTGAGACAGAACCTTGGAACTTTATGCATGGTGACCCACTTTATCCCGAAATTAACCTTGATAAGATTTTGATTACCGTAAAGTTATTTCGTACTTTAAAAAAGATTCGAGACCCTTGAAATTCAATTACATGGCCCCCCACGCGAACGATAAATACAGCATGCCGGCGGGCATTTGTATGGACTAGTAAGTAGGTCACTTGACCTGTTTCAAGCAAGAAATATAGGTGTTGGTGTTTTAGTTGGCGACCTGATTCAACAGATCCCGGAATGACCCGTCTCAACAGAGACGTTCGGTGTGTTTCCGGCCCTGGGAAAGATCCACAGTGGACATCACCCCTCAATCCTTCGGCATTTCCGGATCGTGAGACGCTCCCAAGTACCTCATTCTGTCATTTTCCGCGACTTTCCAAGCGAAGGCTCCATTTTTCCAGCTTACTGTTGCTGAACGAGCCTTCACCTTTTCGAGAATCTTGAATCTCATCTGGCTATCTCCGTGCTTTCGATAACACATCATCATACCCACCATTCTCAGTTCAAACTGTGCCAACTTCTTCAAAATGGCCCGCATCCTGATCACTGGTTCCACCGATGGCTTTGGCCTCGAGGCTGCCCGTCAGCTCGTTGATCGCAAACACACCGTCTACCTCCATGCGCGAAGCCAAGAGCGCGCAGAGGAGGTCAAGACCAAGTGCCCCGGAGCCGCCGGTGTGCTGGTCGCAGACTTGACAAGCGTGGCTGAGACGCGCAAATTGGCCGAGGAGGCAAACGCGATTGGCACCTTCGACGCCATCATTCTTAACGCCGGAATGCTTTACGGCCCGTTCCGCAAGACAGATTATGGCGTGCCAGCCATGCCTTTCGTGAATGTGCTCGCTCCCTATATTCTCTCTTGTCTCCTCAAACAACCTAAGCGTCTAATCTTCATCGCTTCTATTCTTCACAAGGAAGCCAAGACGGACCTGAAGGATATCTTCTGGTTAGAGCGCGGGGAGAAGGAGTTCCAGGATTTCCCCGCATACTGCGACTCGAAGTTCCACGTTATGCTTCTTGCAAATGCGGTGGCTAAGCGATTCAAGGGAACTTCTGTCACTTCTGTGCATCCAGGATATGTTGCTACTAAGCTTGGTGGCTCAGGTGCCACCGATAAGATGGAGGATGGTGTTGAGACATATGTTATGCTCGCCGAAGGTGATTACGATCAGAGTCTCACAGGCGTCTACTTTGTACCTAAAAAGCAGATCGGCGAGCCTCTTCCCGAGACAACCCAGGAGGATCTCCAGGAGACTGTCGTCAAGGCTTGTGAGGATATCACCGGTATTAAGCTCCCAGCTTAAGTCCCGTTCACATGGTTACATAGCTTCAACATATGAAGGACGAAGCCCTTTGTAACAAATATTTGAGATTGCATTGATAGAAGGAGCAAGTGTTATAACATGACATAAAGTAGTGTTGTATCGAGAAATATCTGGGTCATGATCAGCCAGATGATGCGATAACTCTAGAATCCGAAGTTGTAGAAGGTTGCCTCGTGGCATTTATTGGTTAAACTGAAGAGCTTTAAATTGACACCACCAACTATACCACCAAATCAAAATATGGCACTAAAAGCATGTCACTGAATTGAAGAAATCCAATAATATATACTCATGGACAACTGATTCTGATATATCTATTTTTAAAGCACATATTCCACAACACGAGAACGAAGGAGGAAAAATCAGACCCCTGTAACACCAAGAAGATCTAGGAGCAGGCCACATCACAAGGGGAAATCGCACTGAGCACTTTCTCCCTCATACTTAAGCAATGGGCCCATAGAAGCTGAACATCCCATTGGGTTCATACTTCTTCCTCTTCTTCAGGCTCTGCCACATGCTCTGTCTCCAGCTCTTACTTCCGTACCACTCCTCAGGACCCTCATCGCCATTTGCATAGTTGACATAACAGATGCTGGCAAGAAGTTCTTTCCATTTGCCGCGGCCTCTGGATCCTACGTATGCCCGGTCCCGCACTCATGACTCTAACTTCTGGAACTAATCATTTAGTAGAGAGCAATAGAGCTTCACAGTGGGGAGATTTAAACCCCGCCACATGGGTTCATTTCCCTTGCCGAGAATCAAGAGTGCCTCATTAACGACATGAACAATGTCCTCACATTCCAAGCGCATCTCGAAATTTCCCATGAGCTGGCTAGGAAGCTGATATTAGAAGACAAGAAGCATAGCAGAAATTCTTCTGAGAAATTGGGAATAGACCGGCCAACTGAGGGGCTAAAATTGCTTGAGAGAGTTTTGCAGTGGCTGTCAGAATAGATGTCTAGTCTTAAAAAGACCCCCAAAACCCCACAATATTATATGGGATAACTGAACACCGAATCAGTAGGCAACAGATTTTTCACGGAGCATGATTTATAGACATGGTGAATTACCAGTTCTTCAAGCCAACGGAGAAATTGTGGACTCCTATAAGTACAATGTTGTAATCATCTTTGAATATCTGATTGGTTCCAAGGTTGTCGACAAATTTCCGCCCCCCCCAACTTATTTATTACCGCTAAAACGCGGCCCGTGACTCCCGTCTCGGTACCGGGAAAATCAAGTTCCCGAGATACCTCCTCGGAAATACGATAAATACGATACAGCTGACTACGCGTAGAACATTCCAAGAAACTGCAAACAATACAAACACAACCTCAGATCTATTGCGTAGTAGTATTAGCTAGTCATTCAGAAGCCTGTTTTCTTGTCAATATACATTAGGAAGAAAATGTTCTGAAAGACAGAAACGCACGCAACGCAATCATGAACTGCCTGAATGCGCAACTTGTTTGTCAGTTAGTACTGTGTAGATGTTTGGGTAAGAATATCACTGCATATATATATTTGTCATGAGCCATCATTGTTCACTTCTCATTCTCCCTCTTTAAATCACCACCTCATAGATTCCCCTTAGTTCCAACCTAGGCATCCTCTCATTATCACAGTATCTCAGCTTTTAATACTCATTCTACTAGCCTTCATAGGTGTAGCAGCACTTTTTGGTGGTGAGAAAACGTTGGACACTTATGTGGATTCCCCTTGACATCTCCCTCCAGAAAGAACAGGCTGAAAGTCAACTCACTTCATACAACTCCATTCCTCTCGCCATAATCAGATAAGAACAGCATATTTCTGGGAATCCAAGTCACTTCCCGCCTTTCCACCCTTGGGTTCACAGGCAAGTGTCCTACTGAGAGGCTTCTTCAGTATGTCACTCAACGTAAGCGCAAAACACTAACGAAGACAGTGTCTCCACATTTACTGACTCACCCTCGAGTTATCCGACCAGTTATTCACGATGATTCTGACGAATGGGCCCCACCAGTATATGTCTATGTGGTATAGGTATGACAGTTGTACCCTGAGTATGTTTTGACCTCTGTCTATGGGTTTCTACCGTCACCGCTAATATCACATATCTCATTAAAGGCCGTCGAAGCGATGCATACATAACTTCTCCCGGCAACAGAATCACCTAGCATCAGCGATAATGCTCGGAGGTACCTACAATTATCACATTGGATTTGCATGTTGTGTTCCAAGCTTATCCAGTGACAGAATAAGTCTGCCCCCTCGGCCGAACACCCCATCATCCAGCAGTCTTCCATTTGTTCATACTCTCATGGCTTGAGGCTTGGAGGCTCTTCAGGGCAGAAATTCTCAGGATTCTTAAACGACCATGCGTGTGGATTGATGCCTCGTTCTCTGTTGAGGCTACAGGCCTCCCAAAATATCTTCTACAGCATCATATATATGGTCATTCGGAGTACTCAGCAAATACGGACCAGCCAGGGAATGCCATGAACCTCGTACACGACCGATGTCTCGACAGTCCATCGAATGTCCTTTGCTACACGTCATATACGTATTGCCAAACCAATGGCTGCTCTGTGCCTCGATATCACCTGTATATATACACATCCACCCCCAAAGGATACGTTTGCTTGGCCCCTGGCCAGTCACTATTCTGTCTGGTTGGACTATCACAGCCGCTGTCGTTATATCCGCCTGTCTTGTTCCTACTTTTCCACCTTTTGCACACAGACTTCCACTGGTCTACGCCCGACATGGCGTGGTTCCCCTTATGGTCGATCCCCAGGATGCATCTGCCTTAGGCAACCTCGACGCCACCCTAGAAAGGAAAAGAGAATATCGTCTCGCCACAATCCCAATTATCACCTCCTCCTCCTCCATGAACATGAGCCACAAACTGGAGAGCCAATCAAGCTCGCACGAAATCGAAAGCCGTACCTCATCAAAAAGAAGCCAGCATGAGGTACGCATCCAACTAAACTACTGACCATACGGCTCCTGGGAGTCAAGGCTGCACTAGTTGCTCTCATAGTCATGGAATCTTTCCTCCTGTTTTGTCGCAACATTCATGGCTGGATGTGGGTCGGGATGCTTGCATGAATTGCCACAGGGCCAGGGCATCCCGGTTATTCCATTCGGGTTCAGAACGCCGACTGGCTACTTCGCATGTTCCAATCTATTCCTAACTGGGGTTGGAAGTCTCGGTTCTCTGAGAGCATCCATGTTCTTGACGTAATGACACCGTTACCTAGCAAGAAGTATACCTGACTATATACAACACCCTCCCTTTAGTCATTTTCTCTTCTTTGAATATCTATTCTGAGCTTGTCCCGCTGCGGGCGCTGGTCATCCTGAGCCTTTTCTGTAGACGGCTATACAACAATGCTCAAATTTGACGAGGGTTTCGAAACATCGACCGTGGAATCTCCTTGGCAAGAGCACACATTTCCACATGCTTGCCAGCGTTCAGACCACGCGTCAGTCGACAGAACCCGTGAACCACAATGCTGTGGCTAAAATAGCCCGTGAGCAAGCATGGCTTCACATCAGACGTCTCCACCTTTACCTCATTCTCCCTCGGAGCACGAGGAAAGATGAAGTGGACTTCAATCGCTTTATAAATACAAAAACGCGCCTGTTCGTGGCCGTTACTTCTATTCTGCGATATTACCTCAATGTAAGCAGTCCATAACAGACTTATCGTGGCCATTCTTTGTCTCGGCGTTGGCTATTCTGAGTCTGTCTTACGCACCTACCATGGCACCGGAGTATCTCTGGTTCCGGACTCGTCAAGCCACGACACTGACTCTCCCTTTCAAGCTCCGTTGTGCGATCCTACGCCAGATGTGGATTGGGCTGCTTGTACACAGACAGGCCGAGCCGAGCCTAGCTCGTCCTCAATGCTAGTATAACATAGGGCTTCCGGCTTTGCTGGTACCATGATACCAACCAAGTTCCACGAGTAGCCAGGATCCGAGCTGAATTCAAGCCTATGTTCCTTTGGACGCTCCCTGCTACGTTGCCGACCCCGGCCGTGCGTGCTAGTCCAAGCCAGCTACGTTGAGGGGCGCTCGGTGCTGATTGTTGAATTCAAGCCTGTCCATAGACGGCGATACATCGATCAGGAGAAATGCGGAAAATCAACGCCAGCTCACGACAAGCGACACTGAGGTCTGTTGTCACGAACGGAGTCAAAGCCGCTGGTTTTTTTTTTCCTTTTTCTTTTTTGGATGGGGGGGGGGCCAAATCTGGAGAGTGGCGTGAATGCTAGCATAGTGTTACCTTTTTCATTTCTAACTTGAACAACCTCATTTCCAATGAACACTCCTAACACCACCCCTATGGACGTGTACGCCGGCATCATTGATGGGATCAGCGTAATTTTGGGGACGAACGCAGTGAACGATCTCCTATCCAACGCGAGAGACTACGTACGATGTTGACCGAAAGCTATTAAAGAGTATCACAGCGCATGTGGCGGTACAACGTGTCAAAAAGATTGGCAAAACCACTGTCAGGATACTGTATGAAGTCATATTTAATTGCGGGCTTGGACCACACTTATAGAGTATGTTGACTATTTCGCAGTGGCTCATTCCACGACACCACAACGAGCCGAGCCACTGGCGCCACAAGGGAAGACCTTTGCCACTGCTTCATGGAGTATCCTGATTATTTTGCAGGGGCTCGTTTCAAAAGTCCCGATCATGATTTGAGAATGGAAAAAGTGGAAGCAGCTAAATGTAAACGCACAACGCAACCGCATGGCTGGACGTTCAAGTCGATGTCTGTCTCGCATCCCTCATGGGGGAGGGGCTCGCCTGATGCGACTAACAGTGTCCTCAACGGTGTGCACAACACTTTCCACTGTTGGAGGATCTCTCATAGATCGGATGTCTCTTTATGCAGACTGAGCCTTTGCTAGTTTGCTATTCCTTTGTTAGATCAGGCTTTATAAACAGCCTTCTTTTCATAGATTGAATATCAGTTTCTTCTTCTTGATTTTCCCAGCTCCTAGTTCCGTAGCCTCAATACCCGCATCTATCATTTGTTGACGAGAACAAAATCAATAAGCAATGAGAGGCACGAAATGCCTTAATAATTGAACCAGTATGTTCCTGCCTTCCCCAGACGATACTTTTAGATGCTAACTAGAAAAATGACTAGTTCAAGGCCCCAGCCAATCTCGGTATATTCATTCTTGCTGGGAAGGCATTCTCCAATGTATATAACCAAGTGAGCATCCCCATTTCCATACCCAGCTCGTACTATCATTTCCTGACGTGTGCTAGCATTTCTTGACTGGGTGCAATGATACAGACTATATATAAATAAGCCTACGCTCATCCCAGAAAATCTAACTCTTCGAGCCTTCTCTCGTTGAGGAACCTTGTGCATGGGGATTTCCAGAGAACTGGAAGAAGCCAAAGTCCACTGGAACTTGATTGCCTCACTAGATATACTGAGCGAATTATCACACCTCTCTATGTCGACAACTTTCAAGGAGTCGATATCCTGGGCTTCCTCCCATCTCGCTTCGCCTTCATTTCTCGAGCTTCTAAGTCAAGCTTCCTTGCCGCCGAAGATATCCGCTTTGTCAGTCATGGATTGGTTCAGTTACTGGCCGAGCCTCACCAGGGTGCAAAACCGTCCGATAGCTAGTGCGATGGGTCCGTCCTGTGCTAGAGCTGGTGTTGAAATTCTGATCCCTAACAAACTCCAGAACCTGGCAACCCTCGTATCTCACATATATTGATAATCTGAAGAAACTGAGAAAGAACAACTACCAAAAAAAGAAGTGCCCGTGCCTTCAATTGTCCCGAAGACCAAGCTACACGATCCAGGGAGCATTCTACAAACTCGTAACTTCCAGACTCCTTCTATACCCAGGAAGTTCAAGCTCGCTGGATCTCCAGATACGCGAGGAAATCGACGCCAAATCATCGACAAGAAGCCGTCATCTTATGCGGAATAAATGCAGAGAGAATGTGACAGGTGACTGGTACTTAGCGTAAGTTATAGACCTGTCCAGCCTTTGCATTCCGTGTTAACTAAGCAAAATTTATACTGGGTAGCAGGTAGTTGTTGGGAAGGAGTTGCGACATCAAGCGTCCCTTTGTCGTTCCCCAAGCTCTGATGGACACAGCTCATGATCTCAACGGCCGTCCAAACACGAACAGTTGAGAATATCACACTCACTGTTGGAAAAGTGTTGTTCAAGGCATCCTTCCAGATATCGCAACCTGAGTCGTACGAGTCATTTGGTAGTTCTGTATATCTCCTTACTGCGCCCCAAGGCGAATGGAATGTTTAGCTCCCTATATTTGTTTGGGGAGCCTGTCAAAGGGATTCTGGCGAGCTTGCACTAGTGGTAACGCTCGACAAAAAGATAAAGCCGACGCTTGTCTGTGGGGTATCCCTTCGGAGCCCTACTATGATCTGGTAGCCACTGGACACAGAACTGGAACTGGAACCCATAGTTATAGATAGTCTCTTTCAGCTATGATTAAGAAGCTGAGGCAAGAATTGCATTAATAAGATCTATTCAAAGGCCCTAAGGAGACAAACTCGATCGTGAATCATCCAGTAACGCACCTTGGATGAAATATTGCTGGCTCGTGAGGGTCATACTGCTTCTACCTAGGTACAATCGCATCGCTTAGTCGCCCTCTCGGCCTCATCGCTTAGTCGCCCTCGCGGGCTAAACATCCATAACCCAAACGTTTATTGCATCGTTATACATGCGTGTCATCCCACCTGTTTATTCCAATTCATCCCCTATCACTTCTCATCTGCTCCGTACTTGCATTGAGCCGGTACCGTCGTTCAATACACAATGGAACCTTTTAATCCGAACGTGAGCAACCCTAACAACATATCGGAACTGCAAACAAATACTAAAAAGATGTCACAGTACGTTACAATCGGCTTTGTAGTCCGAAGGTCCCGCAGAAGTAGCCCACCCGAGGCCAACGAACGCCTCCCACCCGGCGTACAAGAAGTAATCTCACGCGGATCCTGCTACATTGGCAAGCTCAACGACAGAATTGTGCTGAAGTATGCCTCCGATCTCAATGACCTCGGCTTCCGGACAAGCATCAAAGTCGAGAGACGCATCCTGCAAATCATAGGCCCTCACCCCCGAATCATCCAGTCCATGGGCCTGGTCGAAGACGGTCTCATACTGAAGTACTACCCCAACGGCACTCTCCACAAGTACATCGAGGCCCACCCGGACGAGACGCTCGAACGCCGCCTGGAATGGTGCAAGCAGCTCATTGATACTCTGTCGTTCGTGCACTCCAAGCGCGTTATCCATTGCGATATCTGTCTGAGCAATATCTTCCTCGACGAGAACTTCAATATCATCCTCGCCGACTTCCAGGGTTTGGTTTTTTCGAGCGTTAATGGTCTGCCCTTGCTTGATGGAATGACACGCGAGTGCGCCAAGGCGTACATGCCCCGCCAGCATCTCTACGTCGTCAATGTTCAAACTGATCTCTTCGCTGTGGGATCGGCAATCTATCATATTATTGCTGGTCACGAGGTTTTTCCTGAGTTGGACAGCTTTGATGATGAGGATGCCATCACCGCCCGGTTTATCAACGGTGACTTTCCCAACAATGACTATGTCGCTAGTCACATTGTGGAGAAGTGCTGGCGCGGGGAGTATTCGTCCGCTGCTGAGATTTCGGCTGATATTGCTGCGGTTCAGGCTGCTGGAGAGAATGTTGATGAGGAGTTGAGGCAGCTGGATGTGGATATGGAGTTTGAGGGCGAGAAGTACTACCAGTACGAAGAGGAAGAGGAGGAACAGGGCAAAGACGAGGAAGAGGACGCAGAGTACGACGAGGAAGAGGATGCGGAGTACGACGAGGAAGAGGATGCGGAGTACGAATATGAGGATGAGGAAGACGAGGAGGACGAGAAGGTGTTGTAAGCCTTGAGTGCACAAGGCTCGGCTGTCCATCACTGGAGAGACTCGTTGCAGAAGAACAGAGTTGATGTCTTCAAGGATATCATGGATTCTTATTCTCTATGGAGGTGGCACATCATGTCTAGCGAAAATCAATAACAGCCTCTCCAATACCAATATGATCATGGCTCATGTTCAGCAAATTTTCAGCAAATGTCTATGACTCGGCGGGGAATTTATGGCGAAGATAGGTAGTCTATGCCTGCTTCGTCCAGCGGTGACTCTCGTCACCCTCTTCCCACTCGTGCTCAACGTAGCCCAGCCTTTTCTTAACTTCCTGGACCTTGGCAGATACACCCATGTTCTTGCCCATATTGTCGCTAAGCTTGACAGCGGGACGGCCGTTCGCAGTGGCGATCTTGATAACGATGTTGAGGGGCTTGGACTTTTGTCCGGTTGATTTGCTGGTAAAATCATCTGTGAATTTGTCAGCGTTCGATTATTTTGTGTAGAATTGCAAACTCAGACTTACTGGTGAAGAACGTCCCCACTCCAAATGTAGGCTGGAAGCCTGCCTCTTCGGCAATTGTTTTGTACTCCAGACAGTGCTCGATATTCAGCGAATCCGAGAACACTATTGTCTTGGTGTCGGTAATACCCTGGCTATCGTAGAAGTCCCGGACCATCTTGACGAAGAACGTTGGGTCGCCCGAATCTTGGCGGACACCGGCGTAGCTTTGAGCGTAGGTTATCGTGTTCGGCTTAACATCACCCTTTCCATTTGGTGCTGAAATAGGCTTGCTGAACGCATCCAGGAACGCCGGCGTGCCAAAGGTGTCAGTGAGAGCAATTCCAAGAACCTGTGTTTCTCTAATCAGTCTTCGGCTTTTCCAAATGCTGGGAATTTGAAAACTACATACCCCTTCTCCGAAACAGCCAAGCCAGTAACTCAACGCCAACTCATTGGAATTTTCATAGTCGTCCGTGATAGCAGCAATGGTCATGTACCATTCGTGTGCCACGGTACCGACGGCACCCGTATTGTATTTCATAGCAAAGTGCACATTGCTAGTCCCGATCATCACACCGGGCCAGCCCTGCTTCTTTCCCTCCTCTGCCGCACGGGAGAGTCCCTTCATAACCAGGTCCTGGGTGTGGTAGTCGCGGCGACGGCGCGAGCCGAATTCAGAGAACACACAGCCATTCTGGAGCAAAGTGCAACCCTTCCGGTATGCCTTCTCTTCCTGGTTCGCATAGTCCCAGTCCTTGTCAGTGAACATGAAATACGCCTGGCTGGTCAATGCCAGTAGCGGGATTTCATACAAGATCGTGTCGAGCCAGAGACCCTCCACGATATACTCCACATTGCCTTCATCGTCATCGCTGCCTGTATCTTGTTCCGGGATGAACTTGATCTTGATCTGCTCAGAGGGTCTGAGGCGGAAGGTCTCTAGGAAGGTGAGGTATTCGTCGTTGAGGTAGGGGCACTTTTGGCGGAGCCATTCACGCTCCTCGGCAGTGACGCGAATTACGGCCAGTTCTAGATGTGGATTGGTTAGAAGCTGTATTATTGCGACATGAAGGGATAACCTTACTGTCCATCTGCTCTAAAAGCCATTTGTATGCCCCGCGACGCAATTTCATATGCGGGGTCCGATTCGTGTAGCCGTAGGTCACGCCTGCGCCCAGATCAGCCCCAGATCCCCCATTGGAGATCCCCCATTCCTCGGTTAGAGGCTACTCACAAACATCGGGGAAGTATTTGAGGACCGCGCATTGCATCGTCAGCTTGTACAGATCCGTGTCCAGAAGGGATGTGACGCCCTGTGGCGGGGACATGTCTTTGCCCATCTCGTTGGTCAACCGGAGGTTCCGGTCTATCGGTGGTGAGTCAATTGAAAGGTATGGATCGCCAGAAGTTGCAGCAAAAGGTGGACAGATAAATAGGCGGAAATAGCCGGGTTGTTGCAGTTTCTTTTCTATTTTCGTTTCGTTGCGCAATCCATTTACAGCGGGGAAACACGCCGATATGCCGATTAACTGTTTGCTCTGTTTGCTCTGTTTGCACCCTTCCTTCATTTATCATATTTCTCTTTCAATTGGCTTGTCTTGATTGCGTCGCTCGTTTTGTACAGGCCTCCCATCAAATAAGACTGTGTTATCATTTCTCACGGTACTATATTGTACAGGACTTTGACAATGCTCACCACCAATGATATTACCACTTACTCCAATCTATGTGTGTGAAGATATGCACCAGCAAACTACGAAAGTAAACGACTCCCTTGAAAAAGAAACAATCAAAAATTACTACAAATATGAAATTTTTCGATTTGTGCGAATGGAATTGACAGTGTATTTATCCCATATCTCACTTCACTTCGAGTCTCAGCACCCATACCGCTCCATGATGGCCCTAAATGAAGGATCTCGCAAAAGTTCCTTTGCGGTAAGCCGTTTTCTGGCTCATAAATAAAAACTTTCGACATGATAGATTCCACATGTTGCCGCTCGGCCAGATCAGCATCGGGACGGAAATACGCAATTTTCTCAGCAATGATATGTTCTGGATCAGGAGATTGAGCCTGATCATACCATGAATCGAGTCCGCCTCGATGTGTGTAAAGACCCTTCCACTTCTCAGGTAGTGGGCCTAGGCATTCAACCATACCACTCACAACTCCACCATCGACAAATGTGGGAAACGGAGGAAATTCAAGGTAGAGCATCGAGAAAATAGCCATATAGCTCCACATATCACAGGCAAAACTTGGCTCTTGCTTATATAGTCGATCTGGAGAGCAATAATGCATAGGTGGGTAGCCGCGTTGAGTCTCGAGGTCGCCAATTTTCTTTGCTAGACCAAAATCGCAGAGATAGAATTCGTCTGTGCGAAGGTCGTCAGGAACATTTACAGGGCTCACAAGCTCGCGCTTTTTCCAAAGATCGACAAATGGTATTGTCTCCTTTATAGGCCGGCCGAGTAACTCATACTTGGCGCTTCTGCTGAGACCATCGATAGGAGCCATTCCCCACATACAGTTCTTTACATTTAAATCTATAGCATTTCCTTAGTATATAAGAAAGTGAAATAAGTAAACGTCGACTCACCGCGATGTATGATCCTAGCTTCATGTAAACTTGCCACAGTCTCTAGTAATTGCCGAGCGGCAGACATACGAGAGGCCATCGGAATCCTTTGTAAGCCAAGAGGGCAGATAGATGGCCCTTTCATAGGGAACACCAAGATCCTATGGTAGCCTTTATCATCTCGGGGTAGAAAAAAAGTCGCGGAATAGATAATCAGCCGAGAAGTATCCCGTACCGTCTTGATAATCTCATCCTGGATTCGAATTTCGTTGTCGCCCCATTTCCCTAGGGCCATGACTTTTAAGGGCCACGTCTCTCTTGTCTTGTAGGTCAAATGCCATCCAGACAGTCGAGCCACCACCAAAGCCAAGTTTATGTTCAACCAGGTACCTTTCGTTGAGCACTTCCCCAAGGCGAATGGGATAGAGGGCATATTGGTTATCCTCGGTGCGGTATCTATGCCACGGCTCAGCAATCTCTTCGAGATCAGCTTCCTCGTCTTCATCCTTCACAAAGTCACCAAAATCTGTCGTATCTCCAGGGGATGCTTCGGTGTTTGCCATTTCTGATGAATGTGGGTGAGAAGATGCGGTGAGTCCAAGGAGATCAAGCAATATACCTAGATAGTGCCGTTCGTCACACCGCCCAGTCCTGGAGAAGTGCAACGATCAACTTCATGTCCCCATCCACTCTCTCTGGATCTCACCAGTCGATCCATAGGGCTCATTTGGACCACTTTTCTTGCCCTATTTAATCCCCGCCGCTTTTGTCGTTGTGAGAACTAAGTCGCGCTTCGCTGATACCTGTGATAATCGAGGCTAAGAGACAATCAATGACACGGTTTAATGCTCCCAAAGTCTGCGAGCAATCAGTTCAATAGTGAGATTTTATCTTTAGATTCAGAATGGGCAAACGGGTCGTGGGTTCCGTAGCTTATCTCCGAGGGGACTCCGTATTGTTGAGACTTTTTAGGGCCTCCTTTGTTTGTATCCAATTTCCGCATGGCTGGCTATGGGTATATAAAATCAACCCACACCTTGTATACTATAGGAGGTTGTTTTCGACTTCTGTCGGATTGGGACTTAATGTTCATCTGACACGGGAAGCGGTGCTATCACGAACACCCCCAGTATACAGTGACCGAGAATGCCTCGTTTCAGCCACTCTACCCGTTCTATATAAGCTCGCTATCTGCAAGGTCCCCGGTATTTAACTACGCAGTTAATCAGGCCATAGGACTTCATCTTTGAGTCAGTCGGCTTGGGCGATTCATTTAAATTCTCCATTTAGTCCTACCCATCATGCCTCCCTTCTGCTTGGTCCGGGGCGGGGTTGAGAGATGGCTTTATGGACTGCCTCTCGCCCCCAAGCCCCTCCTTTCCTTTGGTTTCAAATAACCAGGATACATGCTGGCCGTGAAGCGCCTCCTTTGAGCCATTGGAACTTGAGAAAGCCCAACAATCACATCATGTTCTCCAGGAGTCTAGAGAACCAAAGGAAATAATTAGATTAAAAACAAAACATGGATAGATAAACTGGAGACTTTATAGCGATACTGACGAAAACAAACCCTGAGCGGGAGCAGAAGTGATCAAGACCTAGCAACCATGTTTCTTCCTCTCGCGTACGAGCATAACAACCCTCTCAGAGCCGCAAGCAAAACAATTTAGACACAACAAGGCTAATCTTCTGCCCTCGGGGCTATTGTAATCCTTGATATAAGAAACATATGTTGTAAAACCGCGCGGCTAAGCCTACTGGAAAGAAACAGCTTTCTGACCGCTCCAGCATGACGGTCTTTGAGGATGCCGCCTATCTATTGCCCGTGAACAATCAACGCCGGTGTTGTTTAATCCCAAATGCTACAACCACTGCTAGCTAGGCTTCCTACGTGTAGACATACAATAGCAAACATCAATCTTGATTCTATATTGTTACATCCAAAACTCTGAATTCAATCTAGATTCAATTTATCTCTTGGATAACATCTTTTCCAATGAAGACCAATCCTAGTACCATTCCTTCGAACGCCTACACTGGCACCATTGACGGGGTCGGCGTGAGTTGGGGAGAGAATGCCGCGAACAATCTCCTGTCAAATGCCAACAACTATAACGTTGATCGAGACCTACTTAAGGGTATAACTGAAACTGTGGCGGCAGGATGTGCCAATAGAATTGGCAAAAAGTCTGTCAAGATCCTGTATGAAGTCATATTTAATCCCGGGCTTGCACCACACTTATAGAGTATGCTAACTATTTCGCAGTGGCTCATTCCATGATACGACAACGAGCCGAGCCACTGGCACTATAAGGCAAGACCTTTGCCACTGCTCGATCGCGCTCTACCCCGGGGGGACAAAGGCGCATATCTACGTGACTAGCCTTAAGGTAGTCCCAATCGAAGAGATGATAGTCGTTGGAGAAAGCGTGGTGCAGAAAGGCAAAAAAGTGCGAGACCCAGTCTTATCCACTGGCTCCTTGCCTCCCATCCTAAACGAAGAATAAGCTTGCTTTTGGATACCATACCATACTTGGATATTATCCCCCTCCCAATGTACACATGTTGCTATTTGTTCTTAGCAATGCTTGGAATTGTGTGGAGAGTGGCACTGTTGGAGTACATTATCACCACCATTTGATTGACAATATGATTTGAACCAAGGAAGCAGGTACTGCTCATTTTGAATGCATTGATCTAACACTGGGTCTCTTGATTCGCTCAAAACTCCATGTTTTAGTAAGGTTCTCTCGCGCATACCTCTGCGTTGCATAACTTTCGAGATTTATGCGCCTTGTTAATTATATTTGTGTTGCGACGATATTGCCTTTGGCGCAACTATTTTCTTGTGGACGAAACGAATGTTTGGATCGACTAGATTTCATAGCAGCCATCGCCTACAGTTGTCCTTCTCAGAGGAATCGCTGCGTCACTATCTCTTACAACGAATATCGAACCAGTCCCTCGACGCTCTTTTTCTAGCTCAATATAATAGGATCTATCCATCTGGATTACTTGAACTGGTGTCTTCCCTATAGTCAATTATTCAATACCTAGGAGGTCTGCCTTTTATTGTGAATTAGCTGGTCTCTGGCATCTTTGCCCACCAGCAGTGATTCCCTGCTTGAATCACACTTCTCTATTCAGCCATGAAATAATTACATCTCTGTAATTTCTTCCATAGATCGCGTAATCCCCACGTCCCAGCAAGAAAGCTCAAAAGTCCAACGACATTAGTCGGTATTCCAATTCCCCTGTCCATGCTCTAATGAACGCACAATGGGGTCCATATAATGGTGCTAGCCAGACTTTTCCACCATACTCAATCTTCCAACATTGATTCATGCTCCTCCTCTTTCTTGGGCGCTTGATCTTTGCTCGGGTGTTCGGATGCTCCAGCTCTTCTGGACAGAGAATATTCACGCCCTAGCTTTGAAAGCTGGAGCACTATGTTCCCCAGCAAAGGTGAGCGCTCCAAAGATACCATTTCCCAATACACCCGTACTTCTCAATGAAGGGTTTTGACATCACGCCTTTAACAGCCATGTAAGACACATTCTCCAAAGCTTGGTATAAGACAAGCGTGAAGAGCTGGAGAAATGTGAGAATGCGGATCTATCGATCTCGAGGATCTTGGTGGATTCCCAGGCCCAGGTTTAAGAGTCGTATAAGACCGAATAATTGGCAGATGGATCTTGCATCTGAAGCCAGGGATGAAATGGCAAGTGTACATGATGACCGACCTTTCAATCGTCCGGAGGTTTTTTTATGAAGTATTTGTCGAGCTTTGGGAGAGGCAAGAAGATGCTAAAGAGTATTTGACAAATACTCAACAGACCTTAGTACTGCATCTTGGCCAGTTGACGTAGATATGAGCCTAAATGTCACAACCTCAGGATTAGTACATGTTGGATCCTGCATGTTTGATAGCTCTCTCTCCTTTCTCTTCTTCCTCTCCCCGTGCGAGACAGTCAATCCACACGGTGTTTTCTCCATCGATTCTCTCTCTGTATCGCATCTCTATCAGTACATCCAACTTCAGAACGGAACCCCGAAATTAAACTAGATGGGCAACCCAGCGCCAAATCCCCCCAACCAGCTGTGAATTATACTAACTTATTGAATCGTCTGATGGTGTGAGTTGTTGTCTTCACTATGGCTTCAAGCATCGGGTTTTCTGTCGTGTGGCTCGCCGATTCTTCAACGTCTTCCAACGGACCGATCTGCTTTATCTCGTTGAGCCGGGGCATCTCTAGGTACAAAATTGTCATACTAAAATACGTATCTCACTCCGCACCGGTGAAATATCGGAACACGATGACTGGGTGGAGCAATCCTGGGGTCAACCATGCCCAGGTGGAATGGAATGGATTTACCCGAAGACTACTTTACAATTATTCGGGCTTGGACTAACTTACCTACAGGTCACTGGTTCTAGTAGCTATCCTGTTTGGTTCGCGAATTGGACGTTGGATTATGCCATGTCAATAGGAGCAATGATCGTGGCTCCAGACTACCTTTTGCTGCCTGAAGTACCCGGAAAAGAGATATTGGAAGACATGGGTGATTTCTGGCACTGGCTACACAGCCCACAATTTGTTGAAGTGATCAAATATGCTAGCGACAGTCGTATTACTCCTGACCTTGATAGGGTCCTCGTGGTGGGGGAAAGTGCAGGTAAGTCTTCCGTGGTGGAATCTACCATGGCGATGGCGAACAAGAGACCTAACTAGACTATTAGGTGGGTATCTGGCTATGCAACTAGCACTTAGCTACCCATCGGACATTCGTGCTGTCATTGGAGCCTATCTAGTTCTTAATTTGAAATCAAAGCTCTACACAGAGGCATATTCCAAACCTATCCTTGGAGTTACCAACTTCCCGAATGAAATTATTGAAGAGCACATTTCAGCCTCATGCACTGTGGTTACTGCCGCGGATCCGCCAAATCGCCTCAAGCTGGCATTCTCGGTTTTCCAAAATGGTCGATTGCCAGAGTTCCTCGGGTCAGAAGACCATCTCTTCCCAATGAACAGGGTTGAAAATCTTGCTGCTACCGGAACTCTGAAACGGCCTCCAACTTTCATTTTCCATGGAAAGCAAGACTCAGCTGTGCCATTTGAGGGCTCTCAGCGGTTCGTCGATTTGCGAGAACAAGCACCCAGTGCAATCATCAACTTTCACGGTCAAGTTGGTGATCATGGGTTTGACTTTGCGACAACGTTGGAAACGGATTGGTTGAAGGAGGGTTCGGAGGTCATTTCAATCCTGGCTTGGCTCCAAAATAGTGCACTCTACCTAACCTGTGACGATTCTACATGTTTTAGTAGAGATAGCTCAATATAATTGACTTTCAGAAGACCTATTTTTACATATAAGCTATTTCGTCAGACAATCTCCCTATTAGTAGTAGACGGAAGAAGAAAATGGTGGGTATTCAACCCTACGATGAAGGTGAAACACAAAAGAATAATGGTTATCTCGGAACATTAGTTTCGTAGACGTCTCATCAATTAAAACAAAAAAAAAAGAGGCGCATCATTGTTGCCAGAAATCATACACTAATGATACAATAACAAAAAAGAAATTTAGTGCATCATCCGTGAATCGAACACGGGCCTCGTCGATGGCAACGACGAATTCTACCACTAGACCAATGATGCTAGGTAGATATGAAATGGCCCTCTTTTATGCTACAGGAGCGAAATACTATCGGTCATTATTATAGTGTGGTTGGATTGTGTCAAAAATCTTTGAGTATTCAACCTTCCAAGGAATGTCAGAATGAATTATTTCATCAAGAAATCCCTCCATACTCTACTCTATGACTATATCGCAGACGAATGAATAACTTCTGCTTCCGCTCGTTTTGTGTGGACTTTAATATATATATATATATATATATATCCAGCCCTAATTCGAATAATTTTGAACAACTACGATAGACTTTGTCCACGGTACCAACCCCAGTGGTTTATGGAAGACTTAAAGTAAATCCCAGATGCACTCCTACATGCGTATACTCCTAAATTGCATACACGCTACAAGTGTACATATCTGAGACGGAACTGCCTGGGAGTCTCAAGGTGATTTGCAGTGGTTCGTGGAGTCCCAAACTTCTGTTTGTTTGTATACTGTGTATGTACTTACCCGTGGACGTGGACGTACATGTACCTACATATGCACATAGGAATAGGAAGGTACGATCCAATTATCTAGATGTGGTATCTAGGCATTCATCAAGAAGTCGGTGAATAGCTTCGTGTAGTTCGCTCCTTCCCAAAGGCTATCTTGTATAGGATCCTTGAGAGAGAAATAACCTCGCGTCATTTTCATTTTGTTTTCCTTTCCCTCTGTGCGCGTCTATCACCTTCTACTCAGCGTCCAAGGTCAATCTACCATCCAATATGGATGAACTACCCTTTCGGAACTGGTGTCTGAACTGCCTTCATAGTAGTATCGCGAACTATGTCCCTCATCATCTCAGGCCCTTCCGAATCCACTGTGCTCCCAACGAAGACGGTCACTCGTGTGGGCAGTGTTTCCATCGAAACATTGCCTGTGACCCGGTACGTTTATCCTTCCCCGGTGCATAGGAATTGCTTTCAACGCTAACATAGTACACTAGCCCTCCATGGGAATGCAAGGTGATGTCTACGACTTATGTGCGATTCTGGAATGGGCTGGTAAGTTCTGGTCTCAAGAAGGAAAGTTCATCTGGAATTTGGGGTTCCGCCTTGCTATTTGTGAAGCCTCCAAGGAACTCTGCATCCAGTTTGAACGTGCCGAAATGAGCCACCGCCGCCATCATATGTTGAGCGTTATTGACTGGAACGATACAAGCGAAGTGCAAACTGTATGTTTTCTTGGGCGTTGGAGCCCTTCATGCATTGTTAACTCCTGGCTAACCATAAAACCATAATAGGCCGATATCGATAACTACCGAAGATTCCTTGCTCAACGTCGTGGAGCGTTACCTGCTCTGACACTCCCCGCCACTGGAATTATGAATCGTCAGGACTTTGTTACATACAACCCGGAAAGACTCCTGCGCCTCTGCAGTGGAGACCCTGGCTTCTTGGTGTGGTTGGAGGCAAAGACAGCGTTCCTGAATTGCATCCAGCAGAGATCCATCTCAACCTACGGTGGCGAGGATCGGAAGAACGGAAAGAGAAGACTGGCTCTTATCAAGAATGGTTTCCCCGCGGAACTGAACTGGGTTTAACGGGGTGATGGCTCAGTTGCTGTTTGCTGGAATTGGGGGATACCCATCTTCTTACATCAAGTCAAATACTTTCAAATAATCAAACTTCTAACTTCGAATCAGGTGTTCACCACAATTATTGCGAAGCTTGTCGAGATGTACGACAGGCTGACAGATTGGTTTTGTGCGGTAGAGTGTGTATGTTCGCGACTTGGATACTTCCCCCTTGCCACTTTCGTCTGCTATAATCACAATAGCGGCTCTTGAATCAAGAAGATACAATTACTCATCCCCCAGCTCGCGGGTACATTAACTTACTTCGTCATACAGGTGGCCTCGAACACCAAGGCAGTAAAAAGGTGTCTACATAATCTGCAGTCGGTATTGCCATTTTCAAGCGTATGTTACATCTGACAGATCAAGGTCAGAGCTACTTACGCCTCCATCCATCCTTTCTCGTTCTCGTCAGCAAAACTCTCCCGGTATGGATGCTTCTCAATCCATTCCTCTGCACCGACAACTGTCGCAGATTTCTCATAGAATTCGCTGAGCACATCGTTCAGCTCTATAAATCATTAATAACCGCCCAATCTTCTCACGTATCTTGCGTTAACTCACTTTCGATTTCCATGGGACTTGAAGGCTGCAGAGAAAAGCGAGACACGCCCTCTCGCCACAGTATCAGGGCCGGTGGGATAGGAGTACCTAAACTCATAAGCTTCTGTTTTTCACTAAAATCGAACATAGAGAACATACCCCGCGGAACACAGATAACAGTGGGATCCATGAGACACTTGCCGTCGGCGATCTCTTCCTGGTACCGTTCGAAGTCAAAGCGCAGCATTTGCTGCATAAGACGGGAATTGGGCATGAAGATCGGCCCATTGGAGTCTATTGCGTAGATAGTTAGACCCAATTACACAAGGGCTGGACAGGAGTTTACAGACAAGGGCTTGACTTCGAGATCGCGGCGTGCACTAGGCCATCCTTAGACACATTGACTGCATCCTTCCTGTGGCGGGTCTCGTCTTGGGTCACATCGTATAGTGTGGCCCTGCGGTCCAGCTGGTACCGGTACATCGTCGCGGGAAATGAAGCATGGGTGGAAAGCAGGGAGAACTTTCGCGCTTGGTTCATGTTCAGCCGGGCGGCTGGTAGCCAGTGAGTGGCGAGCATTGTTGGAGTGTGTCGCAAGCTAATGAAGGGGTAAATTTTTAAGTGGTGTGTGATTAAATTAGCCTCCAGATATTGCGGAAAGGACCGTGGACCGGGAAAGGAACACGGGGCCGTGAGCGGGAAACACAATGTTGGGACAACCTTGGAAGGTTTGAGTGGACCTTCCGAGATTCCTACGTAACGCAATGAATTTCTACAGATATTGAAGGTATTTTGGTAATTCGGGAACTTGAAGATTAATATAATTTGATTTTGATATAGCTTATAAGATTTTATATTGATGCGAATTGCTTCATACGCTTCTGTATATTTGGATTTGCTATTAATAACACGGCGTATTGTAAGTAGATCACGTGATTCCAACCCAGTTGGAGTTTATTGGAATTACTAAGAATGGGGCCGAATCTTCCAACCTTGGAAGGTTCCAAGGTTGGAATGCCTGATTACTTGCTGCAGGAGATACTTTTAATATCACAATTTTAATCCCGGGAGTTTGTTCTTGGGCTATGTATATACTCCCATTTCGGAGCATTTGCTGGTTAAACCAGAGGATTTGCCGGTCAAAGACATTATAAAAACATTCTCTCAGGGGTCGTCATTTATTCCGAAACTCCCCTAACTCTATATTGTTGTTTTCAATTTGATACAACATCCTTGGGTGGTCTAAAATGGGTCGAAAGTTGAAATAAAAGTGGAATTTGCTATCCGGTGCGGCCCCACCAACACGGCCAACCTTAGGGGTCTTCGGTATTTGACACGGGTATCCAAACGTCGCAATGAATTATCCCGATGAACCTGAGTCTGACTCAGGTAAATGCTGGAGCTCGGGAGTGTTGATTGACCGAAGGCCCAAGCTCCAATCAATCTAATCTATGCGCAACAACTAATATCCCTCCAATAAGCAGATCTATTGCTAGTGATCTTGTTCTTAAATACATGTCGATCCGGGCCTGACGCGCGTTGATTAATCTATTCCACAGAGCAGAGAAGAAGATCGTCAACGCCGTTGCATGATAAGTTTAGGCCGATGGAGAAAGTCGGTTCGACATAAGCCGGAAGAAGAAGGTCGTCAACGGTGTTTCGTGATAATGTTCAGCCGATGGAGAAGGTGGGTTTAGTATATAAGTCGGCGCTTTTGCAGCTAGAATGAGTCCCTCGACATCCAGGAACCTCCTTCACCCAGAAGTCTCTATCATCCAGAAGTCTCTATCATCCCTTCGAGCAATGTTGTTCTGGACCGCAGTTCTATCAGCTGCCCTCGTGGCAGGCTTAACCGTCAAGGAAACAGATGATGGTATCGTCGTTGACGTTGAAGGCGATGATGCCTTCGTGGTGACCATCGACAACTCGGGATCTATCTCCTCGCTCCAGTACAGAGAAACTGAGTATCAGTACTCTGGAATGCTGAGTCACATTGCATCTGGCCTCGGTAGCGGCGCGTCCGTGAATCATACGACCGAAGGTTTCTCCCCACCCCAGGTTCAGTGCCCAGTTCATACATCTAACAGGACTAGGGAATTATGCTGTCGTTTCGGCCACTATCGATGACGACGAATTCAACCTGACCCACTACTACGTCTTTCAGGATGGCCTTAGCGCGATCTACATGGGCACTAATTCGCTCTCCCAGCCCTCCGTCGGGGAGCTACGCTATATCGCACGTTTGACTAACCTTCCTGAGGCCTATAAGGAGGGCGAGGTCTCGGATATCACTGGCGGAAAAGCCGTCGAGGCAGAAGATGTTTTCCTTGTTGATGGAGAGACACGAAGCAAGGTACCACTGACCGTATTCTCTTACTCGGTTGCCCACAGCTGACACATAAGGTAGTTTTACTCCTCCCAGCGCTTCATCGATGACTCTGTCTACTGCGCCTACACCTCAGACAGCTCCGTCCATGCCTGCTTCCTCTCTGACACGCGCTCCCGCGAGAAATCCTCCGGCGGTCCCTTCTTCAGAGACATCGACCTAAACCTCGGGGGCGACTACCACTCCGTCACCTACTACATGAACTCCGGCCATGCCCAGACAGAAGATTTTCGCACTGGCTTCTTCGGCCCATACATCTTGTCATTTTCAGGCTCCTCGATCCCATCGTGGTCCGACTTCGACACCTCCTTCTTCGATGACCTCAAACTAGACGGCTACACTGGCTCCTCAGGCCGCGGCGCCATCTCCGGCTCCGTAAGTGGAACATCCGACACCCTCCCGGCCGTCGTCCACTTCTACAATGACGACTACCAATCCTGGACAAATGCCTCAGACGGCTCCTTCACGTCCCCAGAACTCGTCAAGGGATCGTACACCGTCGCCTTATACCAGGACGAACTGCTCGCAGCCACCACAACCGTGGCCGTATCAGCCGGGGCAACAGCAACAGCCTCGATCAGCGCAACGAACGAAATCATCACCGGGAAAAGGACCACAATCTTCCAAATCGGCGAGTACGACGGCACACCCTCCGGCCTCCTCAACGCAGACAAACAGCTCCGCATGCATCCTTCCGACGACAGGATGTCGGATTGGAACCCTACCCCGTTTGTCGTCGGTTCAAGCAAAGACAGCTCCTTCCCTATGGCGCTCTTCGCCGACGTCAACAACAACTTCGAGATCCAGTTCAAGGTCGACGGAGCCATCGACGCCAAAAAGGTCACGGTCCGAATTGCAACGACCCTCTCGTACGCCGGTGGACGGCCTCAAATCACCCTTAACAAAGACGAGTGTGACGCGCCTGATGCTCCGGCTACGATCGACTCGAGGGTGTGACGCGTGGCGCGTATAGGGGTCATGGCGATGTGTACACCTGCTCCTTTGATGCGGCGAGTGTGGTTGATGGTGAGAATTCAGTCTATATCGCGGTTGTATCGGGAAGTAGTGGTGAGAAGTTCCTCAGCCCGAACTTTGTGAGTATCCTGATTTCTTTTTTATCTCTTCTGGTTCGCCGTGGATTGTGGCTAATGACTTCTACGCAGGTCGTTGATGCTGTTGAGGTTTACTATTGAGTTTCGGTGGACGCGAACTGTGTATCCTGCTGTGGTGCCCTTGGCGGTTTCTGGACCTAGTTGCTTTGGATCTCTTTGCGTTGTATGTAAGATATGCCAAGGGGTATCTTATCTAGGTCGGGGATTTAAGTATGTCAACTCGGGTAGTGTTGTTGATGCCTGGGTTCTAAGGCATCAACCTCTCCATGGTTAGTCTAGATAAGTTGTTGGGAGTTTGCTCCCTATTCTCCCAATACAACTCTCTCCTCTCTGCATCTTGAACCCTACATACTGTAGGCTTCACCAGGTAGACTTTTGGTAGTCTGCTATTTGGCTATAACTTGAGTTCCCTTATTTTGTAAACCACTCATCCTACCCTGTATAGAAGCTCAGAGTCCGAACTCAGTATATATATAGCGAGACCGTGGAAAGTATGGTGCGCATTATACTGGGGTGAAATTTCCTAGTATATGGAGCAAGTAGCCAGATACATTCTTGATGGATCTTGGTATCCCTTTTAAACTAGTTGGTTAAACGCACGAGACTAAGCGACGGTATTGCTCCCTGGTCCCTTCCGGGTATCAAACCCCCTTATCACCATATCCAGCCATTTGATGAGTGTCTAAGGTCTTTCGCCACGTCGGGAATGTTCTTGCACCGGTCCGAGCTGTTTAGGGCCGGGGAAAACCTCAAGAAATTGCGGTCATTCCATCTCCCGCTCTGGCCAATGTAGGCAGCCTTTCCGAAACCAGAGATTTTCCTACACGCTATTAGTTTAAGTTTGCAAGGGGCACCTAGGCAGAGTAGAACATACACATCACCTGTGGCCTTGTCGAGTATGACCTTTGACGTGGACGGCATCATCGGCTCGTACCCAAAGGTAAGAACTTCCCTAATTGGTGTTAGCAATAAGTATACATAACCAGGGTATTTAGTAACGAACGTGTAGGCCTCTCGGAACTTTTCACGGATGCTTTCACGTTCTTTGTAGGGAAGTCTCCAGAACTCCCGAAAATCAAGAGGATCCCCTTTGACCTTTTCCCATACAAGGTACAAGATATATCCGCCGGGGACAAGGTCATTTTTGTCTTGGTGGTCGGATTCATATCCAAGGAGTTTGGGGGTAGCACTACACCCGTTTTCCGTGAGATACTTCAAGGCAGCCAGCTCCACGTGGCCTGGTTGTTGATCGACGGCCTGTTTCGCTCGAGTGCGCGGATCGTCAAGTTCAGTTCCTTCCCAAGGAATCTGCTTAAACATTCGGAGGAACGCGAGCTTGTCCTTAGCACCATCACGCTCGCAGAGATACTTACCAACGGTAAATGCGGGGCCCATTTCCTGCTTAACATCCTCTTCGGTAAGCGGGAACGGATTCTCACTCAGCTTTTCCTTAATGATCCATTTCCTGCGGGGGTAATCGTCCGAAGCGTGTGTGATGATCTTTTCACCAATCATCTTAGGAAGAACAGGACGGCGTTCCGTTTCGGGCATATTGAACGTTGGAAAGTGCAGATGATAGATGAGAAAATGCAAGAAGGTTGAAGGTCAAGAGAAACCTCGCAAGGTTGGATCTAACCAGTTGGAATGACGACAAAGATCAATTTAAAGTTTAGGCAAACATAGAGCACAGACCTACTACATGTAGTACATATAGCAGTGTTGACATACATGGGATATCTTTGTCTCTCTGTGTGCAGACTGAGCTATTTGCTAGTTGCCATTTCTTTGTCAGTACAGGCTTTATGTACAGCCTGCTTTCTATAAATCCATTACGACCTCTCTTCTTCCGATTTTCCCCAGCTAGTATCCACTAGATCTCCAGTATCGTAGCCCTCAACAAGCAGGTATGTATATATGCACATCCATACCCACATATGTAGGTTAGGTAATACCTTGTTGCCTATACGAGATACTACGACCAGGATAACATCTAGGCCGAATTTGAGCAGCACACTGGGCCGAAGTGAAAGTCTGTTTCTGTCCGTGGCAATATATGGGCATTGCGACAGTACGAAAATGAAGCTAGGTCAAAGCAAAGGTGAGGACTATAGAGATCATTTCTTGAATAATCAATTGCATCCCTCAGTGGGACTGACTGCTGATACGGCAGAAGGCCTCGAAGAGTCAGTATCAACTCATTTGGGTATATTATTTGAGCTGCATTCCACAGGCATGCGAGACAAAGCTAGCAAGCCTAGATACAGTGGTTCCAATGTGCATGATTTTACTAGCAATGAATAAAATTAAGTCGGAACATTTAGTCTTAAGGCTCTAGCGAAGTTGGTTTTAACCCTGTCTCGCTCTTAGAATTGTGAATGGATAATGAAAAAGACATGTTCGAAAATGTCATATAAATTTGAGATGTTACACTTCATTCGCCAACTTCGGAGATAGCAAACCCTAGAGGAAACACATTCTACCTGGAATTTTTGCCCTGATTTTAGCTACGATTCGTGCGAGCGAAAATTGATCGATCTTGATCAGCTTCAATAATATGAACATCAACCTCACTGTCACTTCACCTGGGCATAAGATGACCTTAGCAGATAAAGAGTATGTAACTAATTTGTCGTTTTGTTGACTTACTTTTTAACAATATAGTATGTAAAGAGCACTATCAAAACCGGATAAAACGATAACCCGGTTATAACGATCGGAATCCAGTGCACGAATTAATCTGCTATATAAGAATCGTTAAAAATGGGAGGGAATCCTAACCAAAAATGACACTGTACGTATAAAAATGCGGATAAAAGTAGTCGGCGCTATTCCTAGCATTACTTTACTTTATACATTCTTTTACCTATATGACCCATAAGCTACAATATGCGATATAGCTAGATAAATACTACGTTTTTATTGATAATAGAGACTCGCTATAAGGGGTCAGTTCGCGGTCGTGGTCCTCACCCTGTAAAGTGCACTTAGTTACCCTCTTCTCTCATACATAGCTGCTTTCTATGATTCCCTCTCACATATAACCTGGCACATACGACCATAGGGTGTGGAAAACAGGGCTTCCCGTCCGCTCAGCCGTACTTAAGCCACACGCCGGTGAGTTAGTAGTTGGGTGGGTGACCACCAGCGAATCCTCACTGTTGTATGTTTTTTGCATGCTTTTTATTTTTTTCGTGTCTCTCTCTCTTCGTAGGCCAAGTTCCGAGTGTTTCATATGTTGTATAGAGCAGACCTTACCTATTTAGATACGGAGTAGTAGGTAGAGGCTCCCCCCCATTCCGTCCTAGATAGCCTGCCTTGAGTGGTACAAGTGAACAGAAAAAGAATCTTCTTATGTGAAGTGAATATATACATCAGCCCGTAAGGTTTACCCCTGCTCAGGGGTCCATAAACAAAAAGACCACCCCGCCTATCATACCACCCACAAAAACCACTGCCAGGATTCCAGCTCCTGCTTTATCTGCCGTTGTAATAGGAGGCAACGGTGCAGATCCCGACCTCCCCCCCTAGTGCCAGCATTCGGGTCGCTCGAACCGTTTCCACCTGTTGCTGTCGAGACTGGTTTTGAGGACGAGCCTAGAAACTTCAGCATAACAGCACTCATCATCTGACTACCACTGATTGCATTCTCCATCGAATTCTGTCCATCATACCCGCCGTACCAGCGGTTACCACAGAGGTCTTTGCCGTCGCCGGTGCATGACTTTGCAGCACCCTCGGCTGAAACTTGTAGTTTGGGTAGGATCTTCTCCCTAAGGGAAGGGATGATCAATGCAATATCTGAAAGCCACGATACCGTGAGGCCTTTGAAAAGTGGGCCGTTCGCGTCTTTATAGCACTGGCCCACAGCTTCGCACCGCCAGTCGGTGATCACACCACCGTGCTCGGGTAGGAAAAATGTAGTAAACAATGAATCCAGTAGGTTGTTTGTGATATCAAGCCATTTAGTATCGTTCGTCTATATCGAGGTTCGGTTAGCATGTCAACTGAGTTAATAAGTTGATAGGAGACAAAAGAACAATACTTACATAGGCATACATATACCCAGCACCAGAAAGATAGGTACCATAGTTGTATGTCCACCTGGTGTGGTCAGGCAAGGTGCAGCCATTGGGGCCCCCAGTGCCTTGTCTGACACTATCTGCCACTGCCCATGTTTCATTATTGACCAGATTCACAGTGGTGGACCAGTCCCAGACTTTCTCAGCCCACGTAGCATACTCTTCCTCTTGGGTATACCAAGCGAGACGTGCTGCCAGCATAAAAAAGCCACCGTTTGACACCGCGTTCTTCATGGTATAACCACTTTGCCAGATTTCCTTCTGCCAGCGAAGGCCACCACCGCAAATAGTCGTGTCCCACCCCTTCCCGTCTGACGATTTCTGGTCATTGAAAACGCCCTCTGCAAGGGTGAGCCAGGTGTCTCCACTTGGACGATTCGGGAATTTATATTCTGCTGCAGTGATCGCCGCCAGACCCCAGAACATTTGATCGTCATTTCCCTATAGAATGGTCAGAACGGTGACGGCATATCCTCAAACGGACACTTACTACTCCTACCGCCCAGGAAGGCATGTAGTCTCCGCCCGCACCCCCCTGGTGTTGTAACCCGATGCTGACGTCCTCGTTATAGGTTGTGTCGTTCGTAGCATGCCAATAATTGAGACATGCCAGGAACAAAGCGGCTCCTGTCCACCAGGACCTTGAGATGAAGCCTGGATTGTCTGTCCCGTTCTGTGTGTACCATGTCATCATGTTGTAGGCGGCGGTGCTCCCGGCATCTTTGATCGATTCTACTCATTGAGAAAGACCATGTAATTAGCAATTCAGCCTTCGAAATGAGAGGAGAACATATATCCCCGCATCCAGTCTCTTACCCTGACTGTTAACATCGAGGTCGAGCGCATAGACATGGCCGATAAACGGTAGAATGCGCAAGGCCACTATGGCCATATGCCCAGCGCCTTTAAACCTCATTGTCCTCAGGGTGACCGCAACCGCCGAGAGTAGCCAAGGGACCAAGGTTCTTGGCCGATGCGATGTTGATAAATACAAAGATTTTGTCAGGGACCGGATAAAGAAATGTTTCAGCCTGGAAGCGAACAGACGGAGCATGAAGCCGATTTAATTGGAGTAACTGAAGGAAGTGGGACCACTGAAATGGGGCCAAACCCTCAGCATGTGTTTCAGTCGAATGATTCGTTAACTCCGTTAGAATGTTGTATATTGTATACGGGTACGGGGGCTTTGGAGGCTCCTATCACGTCTATCACGTCTCTAACAGACAGCCCCCAAACTTCGAAAGTGCTGTCCCCACGGCCGCGCAGAGCGACCCTCCGCCGGATGCGCCGGCTCCCCCGCGTGCCCGTCACGTTTTTCATCATCTCCCTTCCGTTCTTTTGTCGAATGCGACAGCAAATCTGACCTAAAAAAGCGCCTTCATGCAGGGTGTAAGCGCTTCAGGGTGGAGGTCCACCTTTGGCCCACGGCCCAATGCCAGCCAAGACAAGGCCCACGGGCGGCCCGGATGTGCCCGTGGCCAGGTCCCTTGGCGGAGCGTCAGGGACACTTCCCCATCAGGTGATCTGGTCAAATGGCGAAGTCGAGTTGCCCAGACAATATGGCCCAACTACTGGTCTCCAATTTTCTTCGCGTAAACCCTCATTTAATTGATGGAGTCTGTCAAATACAAGACTACAGTAGAGAGAAGAAAAACACGTGACCAAGGTCAGTATATAGACAATGACGATGACGATGACGATAGAAATCTAACTAGCTGCCATGAAGCTGCTTCTAGATAGCTTCATGGGACAAAGAAATCAAAGACATAGAGAGTAGAAACATCTAGTAGGAATCAAGGAAAGGAAGATCTGTCGCACACTGGATGAAGGCAAAGGCATAAACTGCATCTGTCATTAATGCATCACTAATTAATCTATTTCACTGCCGAGTCATTGGTGGCACGTATTTAAAGCAAAATTTTTGGTTGTGGATCATTGTATAACATCGAATTCTATAAACAATGCATTTCAGGAAGTAATTGTACACTTGAAATCTATCGTAGCCATGCAATCAATATATATAAGGATATTCCGCAAATACCAGGACACAGAAGAGTCGTTTAAGCATTGTTTGCGCAGGAGAAAGGTTTGTGTGCATTCTGCGCATTGATCCGAATGCTCGTTCCAGTGGCCCAGAGACCCATTCCACACTGTAATTCGTTAGTATCAGATTATCGTGGACCAAAAGGTATGGGCAAGGAACTCACAATCAGACAACACAGGGCAACAAGGAAGATATTGAGTGCAGCCAAGGCCATCTTTCGTTTGCTTGAAAGGTACTGTCCGCGGTTCATCTTCAACCAAAAGAGGCCCTCCAGACCGAACGAAAACCAGCTGCAGAACGCCGCCGCGATCATGTTGAGCAGATCGTTGAACACAGGGATGGCGTTTGCGATCAACCACGCGATAACCCACATGATGAAAGTGATCAGTACCCAACTGCCATATGAACGGAAAGATCTCTCGCTCATCATATGGGTGCCACGGAACATCCGCACATAGATGCATTTTGCACCGACGTGGCAAATGACCACTCCAGCAATGACGATCGTGCCGATAGAGATGCCGAATGCGATTTTCGACACGAGTTCGCTTGCACTCAGCAGGGCGGGGCTGAGGACATTCGGTCCGGCGTATCGGTATATCACGATGGCAGTAACGAGATACAGCGATGTGTCTGTTACTTGGAAGGCAATCAGCGCCTTGGGGTAGTCTCTTGGATCTGCCAGCTCGGACTGGAAGCTGAAAAATGACATATGGCCGGAATAGGCGAGGACAATGTTAAGAGTCGCGGAGAAGCCGTTCATCAGAGTTGGATGGGTAATAGCGTATGTTCTGGGATCGGGCATGTCAATTCCAATAGCGATCATGGTAATCATCACCGCGGTGAAGATTGATAGCGAGGCTAGTACTTGTTAGTTTGGCTTTCGACAGCAGAAAGGGAGTTTGGTCATACAGATAATCCCCAGATACGAAACTTCCTCCAGGCGCCTTGAAAGGGTAAGGATGAAGCAGAGGATAGTCCCCACCACAGAGAAAACGATGGTACACGTCCCGTGGTTAGTAAGAGTGTTCATCATGATAGAGAATGTCAAGACATGAGCGCCCATAAGGAAGATAAAACAGACAACCTGGGCGACATTCGTAATCTCACGACACCAAGGGCCGCCTAAGATCTCCGCAGCGTCTGCCATGTTGTGGACTTGAGGGTATCGCAATTTGAATTGGCCGACAACATATCCGGTGTAGGTCGTCAATGCCCCAATTCCAACAATAATGATACATCCACTGCCAGGGTTAGCACGAGTTCATAGTCAAAAAGAAGTTCTCATCAGACGTACGGGACCAGACCCAAGACTGCCATTGATGACGGGAGGGAGAGAACTCCCAATGAGACAGACTGAGCAATCATCACTAATGGCTGGTTAGCTGTGGTCCATGATTGATCAGTCCAATTGAGGTATATGTACAGATTGCACAGTTCCTGAACAAAATTGATTAGCTTCCTGCACTGGCTTACTGCGAAACTGCAGTGTAGACTTACCACCACTTCATAGTCCTGTACCGCACTCCGCCAACCTCTTCGCCGGCAAAGGGGTCTTGTGACGACTTCTCTAGCTCCATGTCTTTCTCCATGTCTTTCTCCATATCCTTTGCCATGTCATTTTCCATATCTTTCTCCATGTTGGTATTGTCAAAAGGTTGGTTGCAAGTTGACGTTGACTCATTGAGCATCGACAATCCCGAGGTCTGGAGAAATCTCTGTTTGCCGCGGCCCCACTATTTCCTTGTCTGGGGAAGACAACTACGAGACGGACAGAGGGAAGCAATGATAGAAAGACGCAGACAGAGCTGAGAATTTGAGCGGAATATTCGGAATATCGACCGAGATGATCTTTTGATCAATTGATTATTCACGCCTGCCGGCGGAGGGAGGACTGTGTGCTACAGGCATTGTTTGGTCCTGTGTCTGAATAGTGTCTATCACATTAAAAGACATAAAAAAGACATCCCCCGGATTCTCATTTCTTCCCCGCATTAAGTGGAGAGTATCTGGAACAAATAAGACTCAAATCTTACCTATAAAATGTTTTGTTGGCGTCTTCGATTGAGCACGGAACAGAATCTCCTGTTCCGTTTCTGTTCCGGGCCCACTCTCCGTGTCCGAAGCTGGAAAAGCTCTTTACCGCAAATCCGTTCAAACAAGTAAACATAATTGAGGAAGCAGTCCTCATCCTAAGAATGCTTTCTCTATGCTTTATGCTATTAGACGAGGAATCATTTAATTTTCCTCGTCCTTTATTGTAGTGAAGTGATGTTCGAAGCCAATTCAACCGATCTCCCCGGAAGCGGATATACCGTTCCGTGTTCCGTGTTCCGCCTTTTCGTACTTTTCACTATTTCACGTAATTTCGAAACCTTGCCAGCACCAAAAATTGTTTCTTTTTTGTCTGCCAGTGTCATCCTAGTTCTATGGAATGAGGTCGATGGTGAAGCTGATCACAATACATCACTGGCTTTTTGCTCACCCGAATCGTAGTCAGAATCACAGGCAACATTTGAAACTCCAGGTGTTCACTGGCTGTGCGAAATTGAAAGCTGGAAGGAGGGAAAGTTCCCTCATTATGGCTTCCTGAGGGGCAAAGGCAAATACCAGAAGCATTGCCTGAGCGAAGGACCAGTGTTGCAGTTGTCAATAACCTTGCTCCACTTCTCCTCACCCCGTTGACCCGGACTAGGCGTAAGAAAAATACTCTCTTCATAGGTCGAGTGGAACCCATCGAGAACTTTCTGGTCGATCATGTATTCGACCAGTTGCTCGATTGCATGGCGTATTCCTTGCTCCGTCGGATATGTACAGCTTTGCTCAGCTGGTGGTCAATAACTTAGGGAACCGTTAGTTACCCACCGCTTTGGGGGTAGGCGGGCCATTGTGCGACACTATGGCGGCGTCCGGCGTCTTGCTGTAGCCTGTTCCGGTCGACTTGAAGTCGGCGGAGCGAATGTTTACTCCCTCCGCCCCGAAGACTCGCTCAAGAACTTGGCCTGTTTCAGGCGCCCTTGGACACCCGTTTCAAAATAGAACCAGTTGTATGCTTGTTGTGATTGGGTCTCGGATCTTTGAGAGTGAGCGTTTGTTGAAAATATCAGAAGTGCGTTCATCTCGGGCCATTGACCTCTTACAACTCCACAACGCTCTTACCAATGTACGAGTTTTTACAAAGCTCAAGAAGATGGTAATTTCCAAACTTGAACTTGTTCGCACAGTATTCACTTACAAATTCCGATATTTGAAGCGTCTCATTGCAGAGAAGTCGAATATCGGTGATGTCGCCTTCTCTTTCCTTCTGGTCGATTTCGTCTCTTCCCGATCTTGATCAGGTGAGCATGAGGTAATATACTCTGAGTTGAGTGTTGGCTGTGATGATATGTAGGATCACTTACCATATTTCCGTCGGTCGAATACCACCAGTTTAAATACCGAGCTAAAACTTTTAGGTGCCTATATGGCCGGCTGTAGTATTTACACTCGATAGCTCTAATACTACTAGTATAGACCAGCAGCACGTTGATTGTCCTCTGCGCTCTATTCAGTCACCTCGTCCTTCACCACCATGTATCCATTCAGCACCGGGTATTCCAAATACTCAGTTCCAAGCGGCTCCTAGGGATCTAACCCTAGTTTAAGCGTTAGGGAAAGATGACTATAAGAGAACACGTAAATGAAAGATTATAGAGCACCCTCTAAGGCTTCTAGATGATACGAGCTTCTAATTGATGCGATGCAGACTTTTCTGTGTGATTACATTTAGTTCCGAGATACGCCACGACCGACAGAAGGAATTGACATAGGCTTCGGCGAACACATGCAAAATGTAGGAACGGTTGTCCTAGATATAAGCAACAGCGAATAAAGGTTGTCGAGACTTCCTAGGTTTCATTTTCAGCCTCCGTGTAAACCGTCACTTTTTAACTTTGAGATATTCGCCGCGTGGCGCTTCTCCAACTTCATTATGTTATGTTCGGAGTGATAATTTGAACTATGGAACACTATCGCTGAATTCGAACTTCCTTAAGTCTCAACGTCAACTTGACCTCCTAAGAGAGGGGAGGAACAAAAAAAAACACAAAAACATACAACAGTGAGGATTCGCTGGTGGTCACCCACCCAACTACTAACTCACCGGCGTGTGGCTTAAGTACGGCTGAGCGGACGGGAAGCCCTGTTTTCCACACCCTATGGTCGTATGTGTCAGATTATGTGTGGAAGAGAGTTAGATGGAATACAAGTCATAGGGCGATGGGATACATGGGTGAGTGCGCTATAGACAAGGTGAGAATCCTGTGCGATCACAGGCCTAGCCTTAGAGAGTTTAGTATTATCGAAATGGTCTCCTGGCTCTAGTATACTTTCATTTTAGTAATAGAAGTGGTTCTTAAAGCGAAAGTGTTCTTAAAGCGAAAGGTAACTATAACCGATAAGGTTCCTTATTAATTTCAGGCCAAGAACCTAGCTAGGTAAGAATATTGAACGAAAACAGCAAAAGAGAAACAACATGGAAAGTTCCACTAAAGCAATAAATAAAAGGAACAGCAGGGTGGAGACATAGCGGAATCAAGAAATTGAGACTAGCTAAAACCCTTGAACACGCCACACAGATTCAGCAAAAGGCACTAATTCCTGCTGGTCGAGAACAATATCACGTTCGCCTGATCCTGCTGTGGGCTGTCTCAAGAAGAAAAGGTGAAATGGTATGATGAGCGGATCCCCTGTAACGAACACTTGGCTGTCTTCCTTTGAAATAATCACTTGCTGGGTTCGTTCGATATCTGTACCAGTCCATTGCCAAATGTCAATTGTAAGGCGGGGAGCACGTCGATCAACCTTAACAGTGACAGTCACGTTTGCACCCCCTTTGGTAGGGCTAAGCCACCAACCCACGTCCTGTTCCAACTTGGCCTGTGATTCGGAGACGGCTACCTCAAGGGTAACGGTCGGTTTCCCGGTGTGCCCGGGCTGGTTTGCTGCGGGGCCCCAGCCAGCATCTGATTCCTTTCCACTACCGTTACCTCGAATGTCAACTCCGCCGCACTCGTGGACAGCATATCGTAGTCCCATGGCGTTTAAATCAAGGGTGATCATGTTCTTGAATTTGTTCTGCATTTCCCAATGTACTGGTCCCATCATTTTGAGGAGTACCAGGCCGGCCGCAAGATCATACGAGACCCGCAGGGCGAGGTTGGTGGTGGCTTCGCCTTCGTTCAAGAAATCAGTCTGTATTTGACGTTCTGCTATTTTGAAAAGGACATATTCGTTGGTAACTCCAGTGCCTTGAGAATGATTTGATCTTTCAAAACGTTCGCGTTCAAAACCAATAATCTCGCGGAATTGATCTATCCCATTGTACGCATATCTGGGGATAGATAGCGGGAGATCTTCCAGGAATTTGGTGTTTTGGAGCTGGATGTGCCGGGCCATTTTTTCTACCGTGTACTATGACAAGGTAACTGCGAAGACGGAAGGTGCAGAGCGGAGACGGGTCAGATATTTGGATTATTTCGGGCCTTGCTGCCTGAATTGTTCCTGATTTTAAGCCGCTTTGAACACCGCTCTATACATATGTAGTTGGCTGGCCTGTCATTATCTATACGATGTATTTCAAATTGGAGCTATTTTTACCATGTATATAGTAGCCACCCAGGCTGCATGTATTTCCCAATCTTCGTATGTTTGACGTGATGGGACAGCGGACAAGTGAGGTATATGTTAGGTCATATAGCTAGATAAATACCTAGGTACTATGTTTCTATTAATAATAGAGACTCACTATAAGGGGTCAGTTCGCGGTCGTGATCCTCACCCTATAAAGTGCACTCACCTCTTCTCTCACATATGATAGTTACTTTCTATAGTTCCTCTCAATTGTAACTTCGTACATACGACCATAGGGTGTGGAAAACAGGGCTTCCCGTCCGCTCAGCCGTACTTAAGCCACACGCCGGTGAGTTAGTAGTTGGGTGGGTGACCACCAGCGAATCCTCACTGTTGTATGTTTTTGCATGCTTTTTTTGATTCATTAGGAAATATCCTCTTGCCGCCCTACTCTTCAGCCCATTTAGCCCATTTACCTGAACGCCTTAAACACCACTATTCTACACCTGAATATCCTGCATGCCCCTAAACCGCTGACGTGTCCTTCCCCTCCCGCGCTGATTTTTTCTCACGCATGTTGTTTTGGTCATAATAGGCTGCTTCTCGAAACGCATTCGTCACAAATGTGCAAATGCTTCGCCTTATCCCGGTGGGATGAAATGCCCTGTGTGATGAAACGCCAACTAGGTACTTATATATTCGAGCGCCGTCACTCCTAATCTATATACTGATGAGTATTTGATTTTTTAAATGATACCTCTTTTCAACCCAATATTACGAAGTGGCGGATTGTAGGATGACACGCACTACTGATTGACTATTGGTGTACTTCTCGGTGGAATGGGACCACGAAACTTGCCCTTGTGAGTGATTTTAAAGCTTAATATTCAACTTCAAACACCTACCGTGGTGAAATACGTTAGAGAAAAAGGCGGTAAGTCAAATTAGCTTAGTCAATTATTTCGTTGTGGTCATTGGCTGTTCTAACACCCTTACAGTGTCCACGGGAACTCTTCCCACTCCTTAGCTTTACTTCCGCCCCTCGATCTCCTACAATTCCATCTTTCCTACAATTCTATATCTTTCCAACTATGGAGCACCTATTCCCATCTTTTATCCGCGTCATACGTAATCTCGATGACGCTACTAGGCTGCTCGCGACTTTTCAAGAATTCGAAAGCAACCCGTCTGCTATCAGTGCGGAGGACCGCGTTCGGTTTCTCGACTTGCCTGACTTCTCAACCCAAGAGGCAAACATTTCCGCTACAACGACTCTTAGTAAGGAAGAGCTTTTAAAAAAGGCTGCTCAATCGCCTAGAGACCTTACTTCGTCTGAGGTTGAATTACTTCATAGCCGTTATTGGGGACAAATCAGCTTCCCGGAAGAAGATATCCGTTTCGATTGTTTCGAGAATTTAAGGCTAGTTTCTAATAAATACTACTTTCAAACACTCGAGCGGCTTAAGAGATTCCGAAGTTCTTTCTACGCGGAACTCGAAGCGGATGCATTTAAAAACGCAGAGGTAGAGATTTCCCGACGGGAAGATAAAAGAAGAGAAGCCGAGGATAGAGCAGATCTAGCACGGATTCTCGAAAATGGCCACCCCTGGCTACGCCAGCTGTGGCAGGAAGACGAGGGCAAAAAGCTATGGGGCTATACAATTTTCCAAAGCTTTCAGTGGAAGGTCGAGGATCCTAAACGGTAGGAGTTATATGAACAAAAACAATCTAACTTATTCCATTGGGCGCACCTCGCTATTGGTTCTGGAATAAAGATCGGATCCCGGTGGTACCTTGAGGGCCTTGATTTGCCTTCTGGAATTGGTAGTGATAAGTCTTTCTTATCGACGTTAAATCAATTACGGAAGCAATTTAACTATCTCCGATCTCAGCCTCCTAAGAAGCAAGCACCGTATCTATTTATGGATATGGCTGAAGGCAAGATTGACACTATTCCGGAGGGAATTACGGAAGGCCTTCTTCGCAACGTTTTCTTATATCTGGATCATAGCGCTACGGCGTCAGTCTTGGATTCTCGCGGACCAGATAGTGCATGGATCTGGGCTATTGACCCAGACTACGAGCCAAAAAGCCAGGACGGCTCGAGTGGGTACCAAGGCTTTCTTCGCGTTCGTCTTCAGCAACTTCTCAATAACTTCTACGTTGCCCGGCGCTGGCACGCGGACGAGTGGTCGATGGAGGACTTATGGAATGCGGCCCAGAAGGACCCTCACAATGCCTCTTTTGTTTCTATGAAAGACGAAGAAATTTTTGCGCAGAACTTGAGCCGGGAGGTTGCTACCGCTATAAAAAAGTCCGAAGGATAAGGTGATGGAGTCTGTAGCATATGAGCATGCAGATCTACAAAATGGAGAAGATGAATGTGATCAGGATCAAAGATAAAAGATGACGATAATGAATCTAACTAGCTGCTATGAAGCTGCGTCTATATAGCTTCATGGGACAAAGAAATCAAAGACATAAAGGCTAGAAAGATCTAGCAACAAACGCTCCATGAGCAAAGGAAGATCTGCCATACAGTGCATGAAGGCAAAAGGCATAAAATTCATCTTTATCATGAATACATCATTAGACTAGCATTCACACGGTTAGGTTAAATATGTGCTGAGACCATGATGTTGGGTTGCCCCATAACTCGAATACTCTATGCTCCGTACTCATACAGCGATAGAATAAGTCACCAACTGTCTCTACATTTAATTATTTACATTTGTTGGAAGTAGTTCCGATGCAGTATGCTTCTCCAGCCAACAGCCCCTGACATTCACCCTTCTTCGTGTTGAGGGCGGGGTTCATCTCGTAGAGACAATCCAGGGAAATTCCTGCTTGATCCGCCATATCTTGACAATAGTTATTGTCCTTCTGCATCACCCATTTGTTGCAGTCATCAGGGATTCCAGTCTGGGTTGGACCCGGGGGTCCGCCGGAGTTACTTTGAGTGGCAGACGTGCTGCTGCTAGCATTAGTGGGAGAGGCAGAAACGCTGCTTTCGTCTCGTTTCATACAATAATTCTCACCCACTTGACTGTCGCCAAATTTTAGTGAAAGTTCTGGGGAAAGGAATTGAGGAAAATCTTACAGGCCGGAACAGTCACCCTTTAAAGCTGGATTCCAGGCGTACATGCTTTTGACTGGGATGCCCCACCGCTGAGCAAGGTCGATACAAGAGTCATTAGCTGTGAGATATTATCAGGTGAAGTCAAATTTTGCATCTAGATCTCAAAGGACTCTTACCCTCAGCCATCCAGAAATTGGTGCAACCTGATACCATGCCCTTTTGGAACGGCCGTGGAGTTGGGTCCGGGTAATGGGAAGGAGAGTAAGTGCTGAAGCTCGGGACGGGAGTCACAGGAATACTCGAGTAAGAGAAGCTCTGAATAGAGCTTGACGTCCCGGCACTGATGTTTGTTTTGGTATTGACGGGGCTCCAGGTCCATGGCGGCAAGGTTGCGTAGGTGGTCACGTAGCAGCTGTCGTCTCGAGCTGTGGCACCTGGGGTATAGCAGGAAAATGTTCGCATTGACTGTTTAGCAGGGGCCCCTGTAACGGTGGGGGCACTTGCATTGCCAGGGAAGCTGACACATATCTGGTTGCCTGAAAGCATTTCGAGATTGTCGCAGCCACTGTTGATGTCGACGTTCCAGGATATCAATTGGGACATAGTGAATGTGCTGTTGTGGGCATCTGTGATACTGTAGCATGTGTCGTCTGTCTTGACAGTGTAGACGCTACATTTGTGAGGCATGCACAGTTTCGTACCCATTGTAGGAAAGTTGGCGCAGCCCGCTTCGAGGTTATTGAAGTACAACATTTCTGCAGTGGAGACCTGCTGCGAACGACTGATGGAATGACAGTCATCCCCTTCCTGAATCGTGTAAGTACTGCTGCAGGACTTAGATGCCCCACCGGCGGTCGAAGTGGGTATTGCCGTGATGTTCTGATGGACGGTGGCAGGAGCAGGCGAAGTTACTGGGAAGTTGCTTACACCGCAGGACGAAGTCAAGGATGAGAAACTGGACGCTTGATCTTCATCATAACCTAAAGGAAAGTTCAACTGTTCCTGGTAAGTTCCCAGCACACAGTCGGAGCAACTTTGGTTGGGGGCGTTTCCATCAGCCCACGAATCAAATATAGGGGCGCAAAAATCGCCAGTAGTCGGCTCTTGACGACAAGTAAAGTTGTAAGTCCAGAGCAAGGTCTCTATGGTGAAGGTCGCAGGATAATGTTCCCCTGAGATAATCAACACATCTTGTTTTGAGCAGGCGCGTTTCTGGAGGGCATTCAATGTACTGAGAGACTTGAAACATGACTGGGCGCAAATCTGAGTCAAGTCGCCCGTAGTCGGAAAGTAACCATCGTAGGTCACCCCAAGCAGGCTGGGATCACAGGTTACATGAGTGTCAAAGGTTGCACTCCATGTGTTTTTCTGTATCCCGAGGGTACAGCGGAAACACCACTGGTGCGGTGGTTGGCTCTCGGTGGCCCATCTGTGTACCCGGTGGGGCACCATCGATTGGTGACGGGTAGTTCTGTACCAAGCGCCATAATGACGTGCTCTATAACTATATATATTATTGTTAGTCAGCCGAGTCCATATAGATTATAAAATAGCGAAAATTATTATTTTAAATTAGTTAGAGAATTAAATAACTATCTATCATCTATACCATACATTGTTGTACACATCGAATTTTGTCATATATCGTAATATATACGGACAGCCTCTATAGCCTTATTTCGCCCCGTCCACTCTACCTCTGAAGATAGCGTTATTAGCCAAGTTATCGATTTTCCTAGTAAGAATATCTACTAGGGGAGTGTGATTCGGAAAGAATCGCATGATTCGTATTAGCTGGGGATGCCAACTGCTAAATACTATATACGGGGGACTGAGACGTCCATATATGCCAAAGCGGCTCTATTCGGGCCCGTAGGGGCAACGTATAGAGGCCAGCGGTGCTAATAAGAATGGGGCTTCTAGGATCTCAGTGGGTTGTGCCGAAGTCTAGTGTCGGATATAGGCGTTTCTTCGATCCGACCGTCTATTCGTTTCATAACCTCTTCGAGAAAAGCCCTATAGGTTCTAATATCCGGCAGAATAACGGCCTATAGGTATAAATGATAAACTAGCAATAGGAGGCACGGTTTGGCAATTTGCTTCTCTACTCCTACGGCCAAGACTTACTTATAGATTTTTTAGTCATGATAAGAAATGTACCTTTTTGCTATATAGGCTGAATATTCAGGTGGGTGAATATCTGCCCCAAGTGCCCTGAATAGAGCGGCGAGCCGCCCACGTCCGAATAGTGAGCGCTAGGTGGCTACAGCCTTAGATATGCTGTTGTATGTTTTTGTGTTCTTGTTTCTGCATCTCTCAGCGGCACTGTGGAGCGAGTGCGGGTGATATGGGTGTGAGAAGTGAGAACGGGGTGACAATTCTCGAGGCTAACTCACTTAGCTCGTCCTGAGCAAAATTAAAGCTCTGGGCCCCTTCTTTTGCTCTACTATTATTGACTATGATTTACTTTATTCTCAAAAATATGTTCACCTAAAAGGAAAATCTAGAAAGAACCCTACGAGCGTATACGTGCATATTGCTCGTCACTCGAATTGCTTTTTGATAGATATAGGATCAATTGACGCTACATAGCGTAGTATGTTGTAAAGCCTAGACAATATAGTAGTAGGACAACTGGATGGCCTTCACTATAGCCATTCAATGTTCTAGATGGCTTGTAGAATGTGTATTTCGTTGACCTAGCAAACTCTATTTAACGGCTCTTTAGATACAGGTTTAGGTGACATCTTAAACTAAACCTTTGACCTTAGTATGTCTTAGTCTTGATGACTTTCGCTGTATTATATCAGCTTTTGTCAGTATAAGGTTGCAATAGACGGCAAATTGCAAATGCTCCCGGACTATAAAGGTTGCAATATCTAACAAGTATATAGGCACTTCTTTCGTCTGCTTTGGGATTTTGAGCAAGGATCCCCTCACATTTTGAACTCTATAGACCGCAATAAGATCCTACATGGGGTCCCATATAGTTGCACAATTCAGAGGCTCAAAAAGAATATGATGTTAATAGTTTGACAGCAAAATGTTATTAAGGTCATCCCATCATACATGGATACCTTATTATGGTGGCAGACTGAGCGCTTGTTTGCTTTTTCAGGCCTCTATAAAAGGTCTCTACTTTACTAGTTTGAATACCAAGAGTTTCTTCCTTTCACATCGAGAAGTGTGTACTTGATGAAACGGTCGAAGTTAACGAGATCTTAGTTCGGTTGAAGCATTCCAACCTCCCATTTCAATGCGTCACAGATGAACCACTTAATGGATGTCCCAAAGTATTATTGCTATTAGTTGGTAATTGTGAAATATCGGCTCTCTGGAACTTCAGCCACTGTGATGGCCTGATGGATCATATGATGCCTGATAAGAAGTTTTCCTCTTTTTATTTGCCGTACAAGGGCCTCTAGGGTCTAATATATATGAGTGAGTCACCCTTTTCTATCTCAGACATCAACGTAATACCCCCTTGTCGGATAGCTGCCTAGTCAGCTCCGGAAAGGAAACGGTTACACTGCAGCGAAGAACTAGTAAGCACTAAGAATTGCACTAAGTATTAATAGTCTTGTCGTGCCCCTCATTTAATGTATTCTCAACTTCATAAACCAAAATGACATCTCTCCCACCACAGTACGAAATCCGTGTTCTCGGACCAGAACACGAAGAATGGGCCCGCGCAATTTGCATTCATACGAATTTATTCCACTCCCACTCTGGCCGGTCGTGTATCCCGAGAACAAAACCCAGCGCGCCTACCAGACATTCCAGGCTTCGCACTATCTAATGAAACACCAGATCGATTCCGGGAAGTCCCTTGGTATCTTCGACAAGGAATACCAATACAAGCGACCCGAGTCTGCAGCCACTGGAGGCAAGCTTTACTGGAATCTGGAAGATGAGAATGCCACCGAAAGCGATCTCGCAGAACAGATGGATTTCCCTCTAGTCTCAATTGCCATGGCCTACGATGGCATCGACGAGTTGGACATGGCTCAGATCATACCTCTGATAGAAAAACTGCCCTTGTTTGAAACGGTTTACCGCGCCCTCGAGGAGCGTGACCAGCGCGATCCTGCTTCGTGGAAGCCTACTGCGCGCGGACAGGTCCTGATGCGCAACGCGACCAACACCGTCCGTTCTTATTCTGGTTGTGGGCTTATGAGGCTGCTCGCTGAAGAGATGATGAGACGTTCGGCTGCTGAAGGGTTCCGCGGTATCCAGATCGAGAGCATCTCTCCCGCTGTGCAGAAGGTGTGGTCTAACCCGCCGGCACCGTTCAAGGGGACTATCATCAGTCAGTTTCACACGACGACGTTTGAAGAGAAAGATGAGTCGGGGGAGGTTTTGTATCCGTTCCGACCGGCGAATGTGAATATTTCCAAGATCTTTGTCGACCTCCGGTCTTGAATTCATGAAGAGGTTGACTTCGCTCCTCAGCAGGAATTGAATGAACTGATACATACTCCGTATAAAGATCTAGTATGTGGTTTACATGACAGTAGACTATGGAATGTAGAGTATATTGGCACATAGCTAGAGTGCTCCCTTGTAAAGGTGTGTAGTTCAATATCCACACGTTCACTGGTACACCTATATTAAACTCTACCCCTTGTTATCTACTCGATATGATCTTGCTAGGGCAAGCCAACCTTGATGTTAATTGATGTGTTAGTAATATATGCACTGATGTGTAGGTTCAATTGAGATTTGACTATTTGACGTACCTACATAACGAGAAGTGTTTCCAACTGGACAGCCATTTGCCCTCCCTCGATAAAACCACCCTGTGCCAATTCTATCGCGGCTCGGGGCGTCGTTACATCTAATATAGCTTTGATTCCTTTCAACTGCTCAGACAGGTTTTGTGGTTTGTCAATAGATCACCGAAAGAATGCAATGGATTACTATTGCTTGTTACAAGGAACCAGTCCCCTAGCGACAGACACATTCAATGACAAAAGAAACGCCCACAATGCATTACATCTTCAACCTCATGGTCCTGCGTTGGCCCATCATCCGTACCGCATAGTCTCACATACCACATCATCTCACACATCCTTCGTCACTCCTCGTTTGCACCTTCACCCTGCACTCTCTGTTCCAAGGCTTTGCGGTACCCAACACCGGGTTGAATAACATTCAGAGAGTGGAATCAATCCATGTTCCACAAAGCAGTCCGCTCTCTAGGAGCAACGACCACAGCATTGCAAAGACCAAAACAACGAAGTGCAGAGAAGAGAATGCAGAAAGAACCCACCAAGTCTCCGGCAGCAATTCCCCACACCAGTGTTGACAATAAGCCGAAGAACCTATTCCACACACAGATTCAAACAAGAGAGAAAGAACAAACCGAAACGACATATGCAGAAACACCTCCGAAATCATAATGGCACAGCCATATACGCGTTCTCACTCTCACATTCATCCTCACTCCCACTCAAATCCAGACTCCCATACCCAGAATCAGACCACCGCCTCGCACCAGGCGAAACAGCATATAACCCGCGTCCCGAGTGTCTGTCACAGGCATACCCAACTAGGACGGTCTTTTCCTGTACTGTATGGCCGCGCTGTCCATAAGCAGAGCATGGATCGATCGAGTGTTCAAAGTAGAGACATTTGCAGACGGAATAGCGTTCGACGACTTTGTAACACATTTTGCGTACGGTATTATGTCTGGGGTAATGGATTGGTGGTGATTGAAGTATGGTTTGGGTTATTCGAGATTCGAAGAGAAAGCGAACCAGCCGATTGAATGAGTAGAAGGAGAAGAAGTAGAAGTAGAAGTAGAGAATAGAAATAGAACGGAGTATAGAAAGAAACGCTGTCCCACGAAACAATGACCCGAAACGGAATTAGAGGGAGTGACTGGGTTGCCAGAGGGGGTTATAGAGGGAGTGTGGGTTATATATGCGATTATCGAACCGATATAACCATATGGAAAACAATACCGGAATAGAATATAAAATGGAATATAATATAATTTTATTATAATAGAACGGTAGATCCGTCAGCCCTATGGGTTGTAGCCCCAGGCAGAAACCAAACAGGGCGCGCCCAGTTAACAAGCCTGAAGAGAAATTAGTGTGAATAGTGTGAATAGTTACTCCATTTGATTCCAGTTTACCCCACCGAGTCAATCGGTACTGGGTATCAACGTGGATCTCCACGAATCTGCATGGGTCGAGCCTAGCAGAGTATCCATTTACCCCTCTATGCTGTATGCACTGACTATGTAGGATAGTGGGGGTGATACACAGTAAAAGACCAGAGTCCAGTCCCATCCTCAGCTGGAATGTGCAATCTGACTACAAACTCTCATCATGACACGAACAGTGACAGCAAAATGATCTACAAGTGAGGAAGTAAACCTTATGCGGTGAACGCATGGTGAAGCCCATCCAGTCCAGTCGGTGAGCCACAGGCTGTGCAGCCACAGAATATTTCCAAGGTTAGCAAATAGGATTAATACCGAATTTGGGAATACCGGATCGCCGTGTGACTGGTTGGATTGATGTCGATCGTGACTCCAAAGTGCCCAGGTGGATATCCGGGCGTCTTTGAGTCAGAGCCTCTTAACACAGCCCTGTCACTTCCTCGGGACTGCGGCGCAATGGATATAGGGCTGTGATCTGTTCACCGCATATCAATTACTACATCTCCATACAAATGTTATCTTTTCTGTTGGAATCTGTCGCATTCAAGCGGTGACATTTTGAGTTGGATGTTCGGGTGGAGCGGATTAGGCGCCCGAATTCAGCTGCTGACGCTAATACTAACAGAGTTGCCTAGGGGCCCTGCGAGAACCGGTTTTTCTTTTGGGTTTAGTTTGACGCTAATCGCTATGTTTTTCCCTTGCAAGGGGTATAGCTCGTGGGATATCCGTCAGAGGCCGTAGGGCTGAGGGCTCGAACCCATTGGGATTATTGCCGTTTTGGGTCAGAGGCAGGGATAACGAGTCATACTACCCGTGGACAGATACACTCGACAGTATATGCAGAAAACCTCGATGCAGGCTCTAAAAGGATTAAGTAGCGTAGTAAGTCTGATATCGTACAGCGCCTGTCACAAAGACAAAGGGTCCTGAACAAGCAGATATGTGTGTGCAAGGCTAAGCTAAATTCATTTCCCGGATTAAACCCCATTTTCAAAACTAGGCCTCCCTCGTACTCTAACTCCATAATTTCAGATTGATCCCATCGCGCCATGACTCAACCCGCGAGCTAATCCCAATCGAAGCATTTGGAGGATATCCTCGCCCTTGGCGGTCTCGGGAAGGCCGGCCCGCCAATCCCATCCCCGATCGGCGCGGGCTTTGTCACCTGGCGCGGGCACCAGGACGCCTGAGCTGCCTACAGAGGTAGGGCCGGATCCTGAACCAGAGCGTGCGCGCGCTGACTCGAGCATGTCGTTGCCGATGAAGGCGAAGCTGGAGGCGGAGAAATTGGACACGGATTTCTTCAATAGCGCGCGGGGGAGGGGGGGCCCATCTGATCCTCCGCGAGTTGATGATTGGTATTCGAGTAGGGTAGAGCGGAAACATTCCTCGCACTGTGCGTACACACGGGGCGTGACGGTCTGCAGGTCCTCGATTGCAGAGAGGATGGTGAACTGTTGGGACACGGAGAGGACTGCAGTGGGTTCTAGTTCGAGGTTAGTATCGGAGAAAGGTGTTGACGTGGTTAGATTGGGAGACGCACGGTTTAAAAACGCACAGGCTTCACCCAGCAGAGCCAGCAGTCCATCCACCTGCACAGCGGAATCACGGTCCGGGTCGTAGAGACCTCCGTAAATATTATCCGCCGCACTCCCAATGACAGCCGCAAGAGCCTGCGCTGCGGCACGTCGCCGAGCCAACGGCTTGTAACGTGGTCGCTGGCCCTCTTGCAGTTCGAATTCTTCGTCGCGAATCTCATAGAACCGACGCAGTGTCGCGTAACCACTGAGATAGAACTGGAGAATCCGAGCGGCTTCTTCGTCGACTTGTGCGATGGATGACAGGCATGCTTTGGGTTCCTTCATCAAAGAACGCAGTTGTTCATCGAGATCGGCCGTCGCAGGGTATGCGCGTGATTGAACCAAGCTGTAAGAAATCAAAAGGTCGACAACTGACTTGACCTTGCGTCGACTCTGGGCACGAGCATAGCAGACGAGCGCCAGACCGAAGTTTTCGGATTTCGAGGTCAACATGTCGCCGAATCGCTGTCAGTAAAGTTAGCATATGGTCAGATAGTCAAAAGCAATTCCCTTCTACCACTCACCTCAGATACCCGACGCCCTTGATCCTCCAGCTCAAGCTCCGAGCAGAGAACCACTAGTTTGTCCAACTGATCAGAGCTTTCCAAAGGAAGCTTATCCACGATCTCGGACACGGCCTTCTTCATCTGGGTCGCATCGTCAAAGCGGCTCAATACCTCAATAGCCAGCTCCCAGCCTTCACGGGAGCTGTGCTCGTTCTCGATAACGGGTCGGTCATACAGTCCAAATGCGTAACTGCGGAGAATATCGTCCTTGTGCAAATGGCGGGCCGGGGATTTGTTATCCTGCCCGTACGAAAGAACCATAAGATCATTCTCAGAGAGGCCAGGGAGCGTCTTTTGGCTGCTTCCGGACTCAAACCAGCCTCCTAGGCTGGCAACTTCTGCCACAGCGGCAGCTATGCAAAGTGACCATGACTGTACCAACTCCAATACGCCCTGCACATTGCCTTCGAAGACAGATGCGAGGCCGACTTCCATGCTGCTGAGCGTATTAGGTCGGAAATCAGCGTTGTCGGACCCATCGCTGGTAGTATGGCTAAAGGCTAGTTCGAGGCGGTCAAGGTAGGCGCCACGCATGTTGCGATCAACAGCACGAGCGCGTTTGTTTGGGCCGCGCGAGCGCAAGAAATCATGGAAGTTGTCGCTGGATGAGGTAGCACCGAAATCCATAGTGGAACCGGTGTCATCCTCACCATCCCACCATGCTGTCAATGCGATGGTTGCTTCCACCCAGTCCTGAGACTTGCTCTTGACGGCAGACGGGTCGCCCAGGATAATTCGGTAGATAGATCTCAAGCTCTGATAAATTGACCATGGAACACGGCTCTCTGCCATACGAGCCGATTGAGCGAATGAGATTGGGTTCTTGTTGGCGTTACTTGGGTTAAAAGTGGACAATCCAAAATTGATGGCCTGGAAGCGATTTTCTGGAACCGGCACAATCGATTCATCTCGCTCCTCTCCCTCAGCGAATTCCTCCAGATCAGTGACAGCTGAAAGGACCCGTTTCCGGTACTGAGACCAATCAAGACCGGTGATCTCCCAGTCTTCAGATTGGGTTCCAGGGCATGATTCAAGAATTTGAAGAGCCTTGTTGACGCATCGCTGGATATTTTGCAGCTGTGCGCCGCGGTAGCCAGGCTGTGGGAGTCCATCCTCCAATGCTGACCGGGCGTAGTTGAAGTCTGCGGAACGGAGAACATCCGCGGCATCAGCCAGGCGACCACGCAGCACGGAAGCAATGATAATATCCCAGAAGTTTGAGGATGCGGTCGGGTTCGGTTCCACATATTTCAATGCTTGGAGATCCTTGGTCTGCGATGCGTGGTTTTCACTGAGCCAGTCAAGCAAAACCTGTGGCAGGGGCTTAAGAACGGGGGGTCTCGTCATGGCTTTCACCATACCGGCAGCGCCGGTGCGCATGGGGTTGATGTTGGCAGTCGAAGGTGCTTCCCGAGAAGGGTGGTGGATTTGGAGCAGCAACGAAGCCAAGAAGGTAGCTTTCGCGAGATCGGGAGCCTGCTCCCCGGGCCCAATACCAGAATGGACGCCGTAGGGCCGGTCAAGCCCACTTTCATTAGCGCAAGCCTGCCAACTGTCCGCCAATTCCTTTGATACATTGGCCAGTACAGCATCGAAATCGACATGTTTGAATTCCGCGGCTTTGAGCTCGTCTGAAAGTTTTCCCAGGGCATCCTCCGTTTTGAGAATCATCTCACTTGGCTCTTTAACAAGGGCAATGCGGGATCTGGCAGCAAGGTTGTGAAGAATGGATGGCATCGCGGACGGCTTTTTGGGGGCCAGGTTGGTGTTGCGGAGAGCCGACTGATGCGCCCAATTTTCGTCAAGCTTCGGTCGCTTAGCATCGCTTGGATTCGAATAGATCGGTTTGCGCTGTGCACCCATGGAGGGCTGGGATTCGAAGGGGTTTCCGAAAGCCGAGTCTAAGAAGTTGAAGTTCTTGGACCGGTCCTGGGTGCTTAGGTCCAATTCTTCTTCAGCTTCCTCCTCCTCTTCGACTTCCTCTTCCTCCGGTTCCATCTGGTCTTCTTGCTCTTCGTTAAAGTCACTCAGTTGCGACGAGGCAAACCCATTGGACTGTCCGAAATTCATCGAATCTCCAAATCCGCCTCCATTCGGCACACCGAAACGGAGACTGGAGTTTCCTGTAAGCTTAGCGGAAGAAGCTTTGGTCTGCTTGGGCATGGCATAATCTGTCGATCCAAAGGATGACCCGAAGATGCTGTCATTTGTATTGATGTTACCGGACTTGGTAAAGACAGAGTTGGAGAAGTCATTTCTTGAAAAGGAATTCTGGTTTGCGGAGAATGCGCTATCGTTTCTGGAGAAGGAGTTGATGCGCGAACCACCGTTTATGTTGGATGTAGAATGCGGTATGAATGAGCCCGCAGTGGATGGTGGCGGGCCAGCAGGAGTTGTCGAGATATTGCTCCAGAGGCTGCGCGAGCGGTCTTTCTCCGGTGTCTCAGGTGGACTGGACTCGTAGGGTACTTGGAACGACATCGTGGGTGGGTTGATTAGAATGAGAAGAGACGGCTTGACGGCATCAGAGGATGCAAGTTTTGGGCCGCAACAGCTCTAAGAACTGTTAGATGGAACAAAAATCAATCTCAATCGATAAAGCGTAATTCGACAAGCAGCGAAGAAGGTCGATGCAGTTGATTGTTTGTCGGAGAAGCTTCCTCTTCTCCAGATTTGCTTGTTTTTCTTGCCCTTCACTTTCCGCTTCGACGCGACGGCGGAAATTATCAGGCAACCAGGCATCATAAACCAGATCATGTGATATTACTTCACTATCAGTCACGTGTAATTGCTTACTCAGACTAGCTTTGTTGGAGCCTCGAAGATCAGGCCAAATGCGGGATAAGATCACGTGGCGCAATTTAGGGGCCAAAACTTGATTGGCTCGTAGCCATGCACTGCCAGCATCGCCTGACAGCCTTGGAGGGCTCAGCAGTTGGGGGTCAAACCCGATGGATGCATCTGATTGCCTGGAGGCTCGAAGGGCACACTTAGTGAGCTCAGCCTTGCAAAAATGGCTCCCAATTAACTTGTTTGAATAGGGCTGAGCCTCTAATGGATCTGAGAACTAAGATATATAATGAACTCACTGGTCCCGAGTTCAAGGGAAATAATCCAAAATCCACACCGGATTACACTATTATCAAATTACCACATCCATCATGAATCCAGCCGCCCAGTATCTCATCACCCACAGCTTCTGGCGCCACAACTACGATGTCAGCACAACAAACAAAACACACCTCTTCCACGTGGCCAACTCCTCCTTCACACCAGGAAAGCCGGATCTTACTTTCCACCGCAGCCCCGACTCCAATGGGCCCATTGCGGGAGTGTGTAAGTTCCGGCACTTCTCCTCAGACTGCGAGATCGGTCTTGGAGACCCGGAACGGCCCAACAGAATGGATTGGGAATACCTGCACAAGAAAGGCTTTACGAAGCGCACATATTGGTTCCGCATGCAGCTGGACGACGGCGCCAAGCAAACTTTCACCTGGAAACGAACCCACTCGCTTGGCAGTGGTTCTGAAAACTATAAACTAGTCGAGGAGACCAGCCAGACTGTGGTGGCGGTCTTTTCCTCCGGCGGCATCTTCTCCAAAACAACCGGTTACTTGGACATATACTCGAATCTGGGGCCGCGTTTCTCCCTTATGGCACTAATCTCGGGGATTTCCTTGATTGAGAAGGGCAGGCGCACCAACCAGACCACGGCGTTGTCGGGTGCTTCTGCAGGTGGGGGTGGGGGGGAGGTTGTTAGCCAAGACTTGGGTTTCACCGATGGCGTTTCTGTATACCGCACAATGACGAGGCCACGAGAAAGATGAAGGGTGAGACGTACCGTTTAATTAGTGTTATTTTAGCTATACCCTTGGCGCAAGTGCCACGTTCTCTTAAATTTCTTTAATTTGTTTTAACGATACACAGTACTTTGTACCAAGTAAACCAGGCGTACCTAGATTGACGGTTAAACCAAAGGCTCGCTCCAAATGTCCAAAACTAAACGAGGCAGTGCAAGTAAGACAATGTTCCAGATTGGACAAGCCTTTTTTGATGTTTGATCGACAGGGTTTTGTTACATAATCCTATACTGTCGAGGTCCGGGGTCCACGGCACCCGGAAGGTTCTCTCGAATCCTGTTGCCTGCCCTTGAGGGAAAGACAGCCCTAAAAAAAATCTAGAGCCTCCGGTTTTTTCTTCTTCCGAACTATGGCAATCCAATAACATGAATATGGCGCTCCGACGACCACATCGGAAATCTCGCCACGGCTGCAAAGAATGTAAAAGAAGACGAGTGAAGGTACGAATCAAGGGAAAAGAAGAGAAAAAAAATTAAAAAAGGGTAGCACACTCATCCGATCATAGTGCGACGAAGCCCGGCCATTCTGCACCAACTGTGCCAACCGCCATTCTGAATGCGAGTACGGGTCGTCAACCTCTCTATTGTGGACAAACGAAGGGTCCGACAGCGGACAGGCAGGCGAACCAGCATCGGGACTTCGTTCGCCCTCAAGTTCAACCGCAGGAACGGGGACAGCAGACTCCCTTGGAATCCTGAGCCAACTGGGCAGCCAAAATGCCGCAACCTCAGCTGGGCCTGCACTGAACCTCAACGACCTGGAGCTGATGATGCAGTGGTGCAATACAACGTTCCAGACACTGTCACGCAACGAGCGCACTGATCCAATCTGGCGTAACTTGGTGCCCGAAGAGGCGCTCTCGCATCCATTTTAATGCACGGCATCTTGGCCCTGTCCTCGCTGCATCTCGCTCGAACAGGGCCGGAGCCGACCCGTCGAGCGTCGTATCTCAATCGCGCCGTCGCGCACCAGAATCAAGCGCTGGCGCTGTTCCGGGAGCTGCTGGGTGACGTGAATGAGAGTAATGCCAAGGCGATGTTTGCTTTTGCGGGTATTGTGGTTATCTACACGTTTGCATTCCCGCATACGCCGGACGCGCAGGATCCGTGGTCCTGTGTCGACGATTTGTACCAGGTTCTGATTTTGACACGTGGCGTGCAACAGGTTATTCGTGCGCCACGGGACTGGAATTTTCTAGTGAACACTCCTTTCGGTCCGATTTTGCAGGTTGAGGAGGTTCAGGGCCCGATTCCTGACGACGCGAGTGCTATGCTCAAACAACTGCGCGAGGCGAACGAAGAGTGCGGGGCGCGGGATCCGAACCATGCGCTGCAGGTTTACGAAGGGTCCATTTCCAATCTGGAGGAAATGCTCAGTTGGTGCTACAGCGGGATGAGGTCGACTACGATTGTCGGGAGATGGGCGATCCGCTTGCATCCTCGGTTTATGGAGTTGCTGCTTGAACGAGATCCCTTTGCACTGGTTTTGTTGGCGCAGTATGGCGTGCTTTTGCACTATTCGAAGGATCGCTGGTGCTTTGGCGAGTGGTGTGTCAGGGTCTCCAAGGCCGTGTGGGCAATTTTGGACGACCAGTGGAGGCCGCTGATCGAGTGGGCAATGAAAGAGATTCTCGGCGTTAACTTTCTGGAACAGGTTAACTCTTGAAATTTCCTTACTATGTTCATATTTATTCATATACCCAAGTCCAAAGCGCCGAAACCACAGAAGAAATTCTACCTAATCAAAAGAAAACAATTCGAATCTCCACCGCATATTCCCACAATTATCGCAACAAATCCTCATCATAGCTCGCTAGACTGCGCTCGAGCCCTCCATGACCTTCAACCCACCCATAGCCGTTACGACTCTTCCCCCCCCAGAAGATAGTTCACTTCACTAGGGTGGATGATCACGAAAATGACCATCATGGCAAACATCAACAATCCATCAAATACATAAATGAAAACCTCATGCTCCATGAGATAACCATGTGTGCCCTGGACGTACTCGACAACACGAACGATTGACCGAATGAGAATGAGGATACTGGACGAGTGCAACGCCCACATATGCTTGCGCCATGGGTACTCGTCCGCTACCGCACGAGCTCCGGAGTGAGAGCCCATGCGCCGCTGGAAGATGACGGCACTGATCAGGAAGAAGCCGAAGAAGACAATTTGCACGATGAGGCCGCCGATGATAACGTTCTGACCGGTGCTTGCGGAGGATGACGGGTCGGCGGAGCTTGTGCCGGTGACCATGATTCCCGCACCTGTTGGAGTATTAGCATTGATTTTAGAAAGAGCCCATCGATTTCAACCGATTGTGAAGAATAAACAAAGGGGTGAAAGAAGCATACCAGAAGCCTGCATCAAGAAACTCAACACATCACCCGCGACGAATATCTTGGTCATCCAGCCAACCCGAATCAATGAAAGCTGCTCCCCTTGACCATAACAATGATCCGACCCAATTCCATGTAGATACTGGCTGCGAACAGCGCCGGGGCAACAAGCAGCAACGTGCTCTGCATAACATAGGGTCCGATGGTCCAATCGGGTGATTCCTTCGATGACATGGCGCGGCCGATATATCCAACTAGCTCGACTGGGAGGGTATTAGTATTAGTACCGGAGAAGACTGGAGTCTGCTTGGATATGGGTATAAGTTGATACTTACAGTATCCACCGATCACGAGCGGGATGAAGAACCATGTTCTCGTGCGGAACAAATGATATGTGTGCATTAAAGTGACAATTGCAAAGCAGATTACGAATACTACTGCAGCGCCCATCGAGGGGTAGTATTCATAGGCGGTCCAGCCGGGGTGGGAAGAAGACATCTTGACTGTAGATTGAGTAAATAGGAGACAAGGCCAGGTTGGATTGAATCGATGACTTGGAAAACAAAACTAAAGACCACTCTTATATATGTGCTAATTCAGAATTTTCTCTAGATCTAAAACGGGATCCAGGCAACCATTGGAAATGAATTCGTGGTTATATGGAAAGGAGAGTTCGTATACATGCACTTTTCGTATTGCTACCCCGATATGGAATGGTGGATATCCGCTAGACCTAATCGGGAATAAGGTACGCGATACGAAAGCCTAATTCTTAATTTTTTATCAAGTGGATACCTGGAGGTAAATGTTCAAAGTGGATATAGACCAAGGTACACACTGCAGATCTCATACGGAATATGTTGTAAAAGGGCTAATATATTTTTAATATACCCAAACCTACAACTTCGCCTGCTCATTCCCATTTTGCAGTACATACCGATATCTCGCCTTCCCCTCATGCATATCAACTAGCGCCTGATTAACATCCACCATATCCCTCTTCTGAATCCAAGGCAAGACCCTCTTCTCCGCAGCCAGAGCCAACATAGCCCGAATATCACTCGGGGAACCAATATTCGACCCAGTGACCTTAACACCCTTCTGAATAAGACTCCAAGCCATAAGCGGTGGCAACGCATCCTCCGGCGCCCCAACCTGCACAAAAGTCCCATCCCGCTTAAGCAGTCTCAAATACTGCGCGAAGGGCATATCATGTGCTGAAACCGTACACAATATAACATCAAGCGAGCGCGAGTATTTCTTCGCCCACCCCTTCTCCTCACCCGTGGCAATAAACCCATCAGCCCCAAGCCCACCAACAGCATCCGCCTTCTTCCCAGACGAGCGTGAAATAGCAACAACACGATCCGCCCCAAGCGCCCTAGCAAACAAAATCCCCAAATGTCCCAACCCTCCGACCCCAATAATCCCCACTGTCTTCCCAGGTCCAACCCCATACTTCCTCATCGGTGCAAAAACAGTAACACCCGCACACAGCAACGGCGCCGCCTCAGCCGAGGGTAGTGAATCCGGAATCCGGAACACGAAATGCGCAGGACCACGCCACTTCTCGGCAAAGCCGCCATACGACTTTGACTTGTCGCTGTACCGTCCGTTATACGTGCCTGTCATGCGGGTGCAGTAGCTTTCCTCGCCGTCGGCGCAGGCTTCGCAGTCTGCGCGTAGGCAGGCGTCACTTTGTGCGCCGACGCCGACGCGGTCTCCGAGGCGGATTCCGTTGGGGTTGGGCTGGGATGAGACGGCGCTACCGAGGCGTGTTACTGTTCCGATTATCTCATGACCGACTACGCATGGGTAGTCGGCTGGACCCCAGCCTGAGCGTAAGGTGTGGATGTCGGTGCCGCAGATGCCACAGTGGGAGATGGAAATTTCCACGTCGGTGGGCGTGAATGTTTTCGGAGCGTAGGTTGTGTATGTTAGGGGGCTTTTGGCGTCATGGGCGACCCAGCCTTTGAAGGTGTCTGGTCCTGTGGGAGAGGACATAGTTTGGTGATAGTGCTTGCGATGTGGAGATATCCCGAGGTATGTGTTGTGCTGAGGGATGGAATTGGGAATTGGGTAATTGGAAACGTTTCCGTACGTTCCTGCGGTATGTGAAATTAGAGACCTCAGAATAACGCTTTAAGGTATATTTAAGGAAAATGCGCGTGCGCGAAAGAAACAAGCTTGGAAGCTCGGCATATGATGCGGAGAAGCCAAAGGCAAAGTTACCGAGGTCCGTTTTTCCCACTCCGAAATAGTAATACATTATTAGATTCATGTCAATCGTATGCGATTATGCAAAAGTGACTCCATATTTACATGCACTCGCTGAAAGTATGTACAGTACAGACTAGTGGGGGGTATCAATTAATCTTTCACCGTGCCACACCCATCAGATCGTCGAGCTCATCAGCGGTGAGAGTACTCCGACGCCGGCTTGCTGGCCTAGAAGCCTTCTCGGGTCGGCTTCTCTTTCGTGATTCGCGCTCCTTTTGCTCGCTTTGAGCGGCGCGGGCCTCGTCTTCGACGGCGGCCAGTTTTTGGTGTACGCTTAGCGACTCGTTGGGCTTGAGCTGCATGGCGAATTAGTCCTCGCGATCTCATTGGGAATCTCCTGGGAATCTCTGGGGGAATTTCCTGGGAAAGTTCTCGTTGCATACCTGATGGGGTTCCTTTGTGTCGGTCCTTCGCCTGGGTGGCCTGCGAGTCACAGTCTCGGTCTTGTAGGCTTTAATCTTGAGGGTATCGTCGTCGGTAGCGTCCACGCATGGTGAGCCTTGTAAGCCTGGCGTGAACGAGACCTTCCGGGGACGCTTTGTTATGGTATTTTCACTGCGTTCCCTCAGAACGCGATCGGGTCGCTCGGGTACCTTGCGAATCTTGGACCTCATCTTCGGAGGATTGAGCATCTCGGGGTCTGGTGATTTCTCCTCTCGTTCGCTCATATCTTCCTCCTCATCTTGGTCCTCCAGGATTGTCGGGATGGGATTGGACTCAGGCACGCTTTGCATGCTCGTGTCCTCGGTCGAATTAATGCTGAGATCGAGATTCATTCCGCGCTTCAATTCATCCGCTTGGATAGAATCTCCTCCATCTGCAAGACGGCGCTGCCACCCACTCATCATGGTAACTGCCTGCTTCCACCGGGATTCCATCTTCACCCAGCCTTCACGCAGTCTTTTGATCTCCTCGTCTCTCACCTCAACCTCCTCTAGAGGCACGAATGAAGGATTGGTAAGTAGTGTCCGTAGATGCTCTAGCACTGCTTCCATTTGAACGGATAGTTCTTCACACGAGGTTGGAAGTGAAGTAACCGGCCCTGAAGAAGACTTATGAGCTCCTACGCTCATAGCCATGTTCGGTTGCTCATTCTCGCCAGTCCCATTTTCAGCCTGCGTCAAGCCTTGTAGATCCTTCAAAGTTTGGACAGTATTTCGCGCAAGTTCAATCAAGGTATCATTCTCATCACTGAGATGCTGACATAACTCGGTCAAGAATTCGGTCGTTTCCTGCTTCAAGCTATATCCAGGGTCATTTACTCTTTCTCCACCGCTAGCCAGAAGACGTGATCGGTCTGACGCAGGGTTGATGTTAATAGTAGTCACACTCAGACCCTCGCGCTTGCCCCGTTGTCTCTCAGCCAAATGCGATTTGAGCTTCTGCATTTCCAGATCCCGCTTGCGAATATCGTTGGCGCATTGTGCTCGGACTTGTTGGACGGTGCTCTTCATGCGTTGGACTTGTTCCTTGAAATTTCGGATGTTCGCTTCGGCACTGGACATGTTGGACTTCAGCGTGCGCTCCTGCGCCTCTGCCAGAGCTAGCGAGCGGGTCAACTCGGACGTCTTTGTTTTCAATTTCCCCTGCACAAGATACCAAGGTTAGCGCGCTGTGCGACGTAAGTAAGGTGATGACATACGATCTCCGTGGTCTGCTCCGTCTCGGTGGCTTGCAGCGTGCGAATAGTGGTAGATAAGCTCTCGCGGTGTTCGGACTCGCGCTAAAGTTTGTCAGTCGCTAGCCAAGCCATATCACAGTGCAGGAGACGCACATCTCGTCTCAACACTAAGTCGTTGACCAAGTTGATCACACGAGCCATGGTGCCGTCTATCCCTCCATCTTCATTTTCCGGGTGAGCAAAATCGATAGCGCGACCACCTTTCAGCAAGCCCCTTGCCAGCAAAATGTTGTTGACATATGTCGAAGCTGCCTGCAGGTTATGCGACTCCATGGCAGCGATCGCTTTTATTGTCGATGCAGATAACTCCGAATGCCGAATGGGGAAGAAAGTAAACACGGCAAGTACGGGGGACTCTTTGTACCAAGTGAGCAGTTCTGTGGACGGTGAGAGAAGAGGTGTGATTCTGCCCGCTTTATTTGCGGAATTGTATCGCGATGCGTCAAGCTCTCCAATTGAATTTAATACTTTCGTCGAATCTTCCTATGAAGATATCCACATTAAGATATTCATTTATCGAAATCAAAAAGAGCCAAACTTGCTACCCAGAAGCAACTGAATGATATCCTGAAGGTAGCATAGTGCGTTGGCATTTACAGAATGCGTGGGTATAAGCTATCACCCAATCCCCATATCTGATTTGTCCCTTGCGTGGCGTTAAACACTCGTTCCTGCCCCACTACTTGATTCTCGTCAACCGCCTTTGCATCTGTCTTCAACATGGCTTCAAGATCAGGTACGCGTATAGTACGCGGAGTAACGTCCAAAAAGAAAGCTGACATAGAGAAAGCCGCTGCTCTTCAGCAAGCAGGCCAAAATGCCTACAAAGTTGGCGATCTCCAAGGCGCCATCGAGTCCTTCACCCAGGTACAAAATACGCCCTACCGTGTTTGTCCCGTGGCAACATATACTAATCATCCTACATCCAGGCATTGGCGGCAAACAATGAGGATACTGGCGTTCTGGATAACCGCGCGGCCACATATTGCAAGTTGAAACTGTACAGCCAGGCCCGCGCTGATGCCAGAGCTATGGTCAAGCTTGCACCCAATGACGACCGTGTATGTATCCACCTGAAGGCTTCTTCCCAATTGTGGATTCATGGCTGACTTTTGGAAATAGGGATACCTGCGCTTGGCCAAGGTCCTGTGTCTAGATGGGAACTTTGACAAGGCCCGAGACATCTACGAATATGCCCTCCAGAAAATTCCAGCCGATCACCCAGGCCGCAATGCAAGTCTTTCTTTCTTCCTTTTTCTTCTTTTCAGTCTCGTGGCCAATTCCTTGGACCTATTCTTTCCGTATTATCTCTTACTCTTCCTTTTCTCTTGCTAACCATATCCAGGTCCTCACGCAGTTGAACAAGAAACTGCAGGATAAGCTGGCAGGAGGAAACAGGCGCGACCCATTTACGACCCTGCCACTAGAGATTGCAGAACTCACGCTTCGGCGCTTCTCCTTCAAACAGATCGTGTAAGCGTCCAATCCTCACTTCTGAAATTCACTAGCTTATGACATCACATAGGGCAATCCTACGCGTCTGTAAAGGATGGAACCGATTCATAGGCGGACTGTCCACCCTCTGGATGCATGTTGACCTCACTGGAGCTAGATCTCGTGTACCTTGGACATCTGTCCGAAACTACATCCATCGATCCCGAGCACAACTGACCCGTGCCACCATTTCAAATCTTGTGCCCTCTACTACGCCTAAGGTGCTTGACATGTTAAGCAGATGCCCTCAACTAGAGCACTTGGAGTTGATGGTTCCTCATAACCAACCTAAAGAATTCTACCTGAAAATCAAAGATTTTCAACATCTGAGGAGTATCGTTTGTGGAGCAGACATCAGCCTTTCACATGCTTGTGTTGGGAGTATTTTATCAGCCCTCTCGAAACTCGAGAAAGCTTCTTTTCTCCGTGTTTGGGATAATCCTACCAGAGGACCCTGGCCCTGGCCTCAGCATCTCCCAAATATGAAGAGTCTAACTATTGCGTCTTCACAAGAAAATCCTCAAGGCTTGAGCTTCCCGGATGTACTTCCGGGGCTGGGATCGGTAAGCTTTCTCTGGATTTGATATCTAGGCCTTCTGCTAACACAACTCAGTCCGCGTATCCCAACTTAGAGGAGTTGGGGCTGGTCTGGGATCCCGCGCGTGCACAATCATACCGGTTTGATCCGGTGCAAGAGGAGGAACATCTTCCGCCGCTCCGCATACTAGATCTTCGGGGCGCGGCTGTCCAACATAATTTCTATTCAATCCTTCCAGCCAGCCTTGAGTCTCTTCGCTTGTTTTCCGGGTCCATCGAGGCTCCTCATCTTGGTGGAAATATGTTGACACCGGGCGAGAACGAACTTCCAAACTTGAAGACACTGATATTCAACGACACACCATGGGTCAACCACTCCACGCTGTCCCTATTCCTACTCCATTCCAAGGCTCCCCTCCGAACCCTTCACGTGAATTTTTGCCACAAGATCAACAGCGAAGACTTCATTAATATTCTTAACGATTCCGACGGAGCGAATCCAGAATTGAAAGAATTAACTGATGTGGGAGTCGCCTGTATGGCTGGTATGGACGACTGGGGCGTCGGAAATCTGTCGGCAGTATTGCCAAATCTGAAAATCCTTGACTTGTCGCAAACGAGAATTACTGGTTGCACCATTCGCATGTTTGCGGATGCCCGGACCGAAGAATCAGTCGTTGAGAAACTCGACGTTTTAATCATTAAAGGATGTGACGGTGTGTCTCGTGATGCCATCGACTATGGACGACAAATGGGCCTCAAGATCGTCACTTAGTGCTTGACAGCAGCAGCGCCTTGGGCATAAACTTCTTTTCCGGCGTTTTGGTATAAGAAATCGCCCAGGCATCACCCTTGTACAATACAATGACGAGATATGAGCAAAGACACCAGGACTTGCATGGGAACGGTATTTGATATGAACATGAGATTGATCTCGAGCCTGCCTTATTCATCCTCATTATTTCTTGTAATAGCGTTGCGGGTTAAAACTCCCTCTTGGGAACGTGGAGGAGAACCATCTAGTACAGACCCCTGCACGCGCATCAACTGATGCGAAATATGTCTAATTCTCCCGAGATTGCTACCTAAGAATCACAGTCTTGTAACTGGAATTTCGTACCCGGAAAGCGGGAATATAGCCTGAGCGTGTGAGACATCGGTTTGAATCGGCAGTCAAGATACCTTCGGACAGTTACACACACGAGAATAGAAGATAACACGGTCTTACAATCATAACATCAGTCATAGCAATGAAACTGCAGTGAATGTCCAAAAACACATCAATTCAAATATGACAAGTGCTACGAATGCGAGCCAAAGACTAAAACAGCATCAAAATCATTTTACTCAAAAGAACCAAGGACAGGAAACCAGCTATCTAAACCCCCCGTTCCTGACACCACCGCTCAACCTCCTTAGCCAACTTCTCCTTTTGATCACGCACAAGCTCCATCATAGGCTCAACCTGCTTCCTGTGCGAGGCAATAAGATCCTCATTACCGACAACAGCCACACCATCCTTTGGCGCAAGGTTATCATCATAGACCTTGATCATGAGCTCCATAACAGCGGAGAGCTGATTCGGAAGCCACTATAACCAAACAATTAGCACATTGACACACACAGCAGAGAAATGGGACTTCACTCACAGTAACAATGGGACTACCACCAGTAGCGGTAGGGTGGGGCGTGCGACGAATGATATACTCACGCGCGAACAGCCAGTGTCGCCAGCGGAAACTGCGGATGTGGTTCAGCGTGCGCAGGAAGAGGACAGCGGTCTCGGAGTCTTGGATGGAGTATTTCTGGACGCCGATTTCTTCGGACTTTTCGCGGATGTAGGTTAGGAATTCGCGGTGGGGGAGGGGGCGATAGGCGCGGAATTCGTGGAGGATTTTGGTGAGGGGTGTTTCCGGCATGGGAATCTCGCAGAGGTGGTCTAGGAGGGGGATCTGGGTTCGGTCAGTTGTGGTTGTTCTTTGCAAGGTTGGTTAAATTTGGTTACTTACGATGCTGTCGTTGGCACCACTCTCACCGCGGAAGTAGAGAGGCTTGTTGTCTTCGCAGCCTTCATAAACCACACCGTTCGGGAACATGGATTGGTTGGTGATGCCGAAGATGAAGACACGGAAGGAAAGGTACTCCGATGGCTTGGAGTTGCCCCACATATCTATTTCAAGGTCAGGTTAGAAGATCTAGGGGATCGGATTATTCGGGTGATTAGGGTTACATACCTTCCATGGATGCTTCAATTTTCTCCATCGACTTTAGGATCTCTCGGTATCCGTCGTTGATCTCCTGTCGGGAGGCATGCTGCTCAAGGGAATCAACGACCTTCAAGACACCTGCAACGAGCGGGCCAGTCTCCTTGACCATGTCGACGTGGGTCAGGATGAAGCCTGCCTCGGAGCTCTTAGGGTCGAGACCTCTCTCGAAGGAGCGGATCAGACGGAGGTTCGAGTACTCGCTCAGACCCTTGGCAGGGTCGGCGACGGTGTAGTTGAACAGAGCATAAGAAGCAGCGTAAGACATGAAAGGTGGCAGGTTCAGGCTAGGGATGGCTGTTAGTTATATTGTTGTTACATGATTAAGATGTGTATCAATATGAACCACAAGATGGACAAGGAAGTAAGGAAGTAGAAGACGATAGAAGACTTACATCTCAGCACAGCGGTACATAGGACGAGCAACAGACTGGGGCAAGACATCACGACCAAGTCCATAGCCACCTTCTGGGTCCTTGTTCCAGTGCTCCCAGCAAGGCTCGAGCAGGTAAGACGAGGCCAGGAAGGTATAGTCACGGAAGACCGCCGCAATGGTGAAACGATCAGGAGAGCCGTCGGGAAGAACCAGCTTTTCAACCTCGTCAGTCAGGTCGGTAAGCTCAGCCTTGACAGCAGGGCCAAGTTCATAGGTAGCCAACAGACCGGGCTTCCCATCGAGCCTAACGACAGGGAGGCGGTTGACCAGAGACAGCAGGGCACTGAAAGCCTCTGGCAGCTCAACTGGGGCAGTCTCATAGGGCAGGAACCCTGTCTTGGTGGTGATGGTGAAAGGGTCTAGGGAGTGGGAGATGGATGAAGGGTCATCATGGATATGAGGGAACCGCTTCAGGGTAGTAGGGGAAGGGTAGGGCACTTGGGTTCGAGTCATGATGAGATGAGATGAACCAGGAGAATGATAAATACTATAAGCCTATGATATAGGGGTGTGTGAACACAGGATGTGTTGGGGTAGTATAAGGCAGAGTGTAGATGTATAAGCCAAAGGCCAAAGGAGAAGGTCAAAGACCAAGTCAAGAGCCTAAGGAGCAGGGAAGATGGGTAAAAAAAGATGAGAAAGAAGCCAGAAGACTTTTTGAGATGAATAGAGAATTGGGATTGTGAGATTTTGGGCGGGTGAGGAGCAGATTCTTATAATACTTTGAGGCCGGTAACAATTCCGGCCTCAAGTCCTCATTACGAAAGAGAATAGAAGATAGCGTGGATCCGGTGACATCAGGTGCTACATGATTGAAATTGGCTTTATCTATGTTAAACGGCACTGGAGGCACTTTATATGAGTATTTTCTGCCAGAATAAGATATTTTGACCTTCATCTCGACGTCCTCATGAACTATACAATTGCCCAGTTAGAGAGGGCAGAGAACAGTCACGGGATGGCACTAGTCCCAATACGGCAGCGGCTTTGATAGGCGGTTTGACCGCTTTCCCTGGGATTTGATGGAAGATGGTGGTGGCGGATGCCAAACAAGGTGCTTAAAAATGCTTATAATAAAAAAATCGGCCATTCATTGATGGTTTATTACGGATAAATGGCCAATGTCGTCTACTCAAGTCATGATGTATGCTCTATAGTTCATGCGCTGCCAAGCGCAGATCCCCATATGCCGCCTTCTGATTGGACGATAAGCCCAGATTTTAACTTCCCTAGCGTTCGGAGGCCGGAATGCTACCGGCCTCCGAGAGTAGCCGGCCTCGTTATATCAGGCAGATTTGATATAGGACAGACCAAATTTTGGTATTTGGTGATACAATGTGTGTGATGCCCGAAATAAAGCGAAGATTAAAAACCTTTGAACAGTTTCATCTCTCTGGAACTTCTATTGTCTTGATATTGGGCAATTTGGAAATCGCACTTAGTACCCTAGGTATATATTGCAAGGGAACAAAAGAACCAATCGTACATTTGTAAATATACATACCGGGTTTTGCCTGGCAGTCCAAGGACCGAAAAACGGAACCCCTCTCTAGCGGTATTCTCTGGGCCTGAAGCAAGTTACCTTTATATCCATATGAAGAGGCATGTTCTAATACATGTTGACAAGCCTTGCCTGGTGCGAGCTCTACCTGGCATTTGCGGCATTTTTCCCATTCTTCGACTTTGAGCTGTACGAAACCGATATCACTGATGTTGAGTTGACTCATGACTTCTTTCTGCCGTTTCCAAGACTCGATTTGAAGGGAATGAGAGTGCATGTAGGGTTGAGAGATTGTAGATTAGGACAGTATTAAGGTTGTAGGAACTGCACAGCCAATCCTTGCCATCCGGCGTTCATCACGCAATATGGACAAATAAAGAGATCCAGTTGATAGATTACATGGAAAGCAACTAATCCAACTCAACGTCCTCATCATCGTGAAAAATAACAGCCCCCCCAGTTAGGCCGATTGAACCTCTTCCCCTTGGGCAATGCCAGCCTATCCATAGCGTGCAGCTCCGCAGCATCCATCACAAAGTTCTTGAGATTATTCGCAATACGCACCGGATTTGTACTCTTTGGAATAACACTCCACCCCTTCTGAATCCCCCAACTCAGCATAACATTGCCCGTCTCGGCACCCCTCTTGTTCGCAATCGCCACAATATCCGGATGCTGATGCAGGGTACTTCCCGAGCCACCAAGCGGCCCAAACGCCGTCTGATGGATCCCCTTTTTCGGCACAGAACGCATTCAATTTATTCTGCGGCAGCAGTGGTTGAATCTCCGTTTGATTGACGGCGGGCACAACTTTTGCAGTCTCAAGCAGTTTTGTTAGATTCACGGTGGAGAAATTGGCGACTCCGATCGCCTTGACTTTTCCTGTAGCCAGCAACTTCTCCATCTCGCGCCAGGTGTCGCAGAAATCCCACCCCGCTGCGTGCACCGCGCGATCTTCCTTGCCGTAGTTTTCGTCGTTTGGAGACGGGTCTAGCGCGACTGGCCAGTGCATGAGGTAGAGGTCGACATAGTCGAGGTTTAGGTCGCGGAGGGACTTGTCCAGTGCGCTTTCAACGCGGCGGTGGTCGGAGGACCAGCTGCAAACCCAGTTAGTGGTGGCTTCTTACGTGAGTATTTGGGAGAAAGTACAGCTTTGTAGTTACAAAGTACTCGGATCGAGGGACTTTGGTATTCTTGAACACCTGGCCGATTTCTGCCTCGTTTCCATCTAGCTTGGTTAGCACGCATACCTCATGAACACTGAAGAAACATACATAGAGGAGCACAATCCTAGACCGCGTCAGTTCTGCTAAGCAATCAAATGAGAGTTGGAACATACAAAATGGCGATATCCGGCTTCAAATGCTGCCTGGACAGCAGCGGCAGCCTCGCCAGGGCCAGCTTTCCACGTTCCAAATCCCACGGCGGGGATCTTAGCTCCAGTGTTTAGGGTGAATGTCTCTGTAGCCATTGTGTGTTGCTTGATTGTACCACACCATGTTGGACCCCTCATCATTATAAGTGTATTCTTCTGAACCCCGCGGTCCCACCTTGTCGTATGAACGGGGAGAAGACCGATACCCCCCTATGCACGGAGAATGTCCGTCCTTTCCTACGTCTGTACCTAGGGCAGTCATACGTTCTCCTTTCAGACACAGGTCCAGGCAGAAATTGAACCATCAAGTCGGATTCCGTTGATAAACACTACCATCTGAGCTTATTTCTTCCATAATCCTGCCTCGCATACATAACTTAGGAAACTGTTTCAATATGAGCCGCACCCTGCTTCCTCTTCACCTCCTCCTCATCACCATCACGCTCCCAAACAGCGTCCACAGAATCCTGCTTTCCCTCCTGAATACCCTGCCTGACCGTCTCCTTCTTGGTCGGGTACGCATGCTTCCACATCGTCCACAGCGGCCGTTGGAACAGATCATCCATACTCTCAATCGACCGGCCCTTCAGCTCAGGGAGACAGAAGAAGATGAACGCGACGCCGAGGTAGGTCAGCAGGGCATAGAGAAGGAAGGCACCGTAGCCCATATTAGTGAGCATGTTCGGTGTTGCGCGTGTAATGCCGTAGTCGATTATCCAGTTTACGAAGAAGCAGAAGCCCATGCAGACGGAGCGCTGCGAATAGTTAGTACTATCGATTTCTACCGTGACTAGATGGAATGGCGTGCATGGGCGGACTTACAATACGAGTTGGGAAAATCTCGGCTGCAGTTATGTAGCAGGCCACACTGTGTCCGAATGACCACCCAAACGCATATAGGTAGATCCAGACTATCCCTACGATACCTCCAGCAGGGGTACCGCCCATGTCGGTGTTGTCAACCCCGGCGAACCGGAGATATAGGGCCAGATATAGCATGGCAGTACCTTGGATAGTTGCGCCGATGAGAAGTGGAAGACGACGACCAACACGGTCGACAAGGTATGTAACGTAGAATATTGTCGCCGCGACTTTGACAGCGCCGTACACACCAGTTGTCAACAGCGACGAGCTATCCTGCACGCCGATGAGCTCGAAGATTTGAGGGGCGTAGTACTGAAACGATCGGTTAGTCAAAACTCACAGTGAAAATTGACGGGGACAAGACATACATTCAGCGAGTCCGTTCCAGTGAGCTTGTGAAAAATAAACAGAAGAACAGCGAGAATAAATCGCTGCAGGTTGCTCCTGTTCCCGAATATATCCTTTACCACGACCCAGTAATTGTGGCCCTGGAAGTTCTCCTGCTCAAACTGTACCTGAGCCTGGATTTCGCGATATTCAATTTGAATGTAGGGGTGATCCGGAGGCAGCTGGCGAAGTCGACACAGATTCTTCAGCCCCTGCTCCGCCTTGCCATGGTTAATGAGGTATCGAGGAGTCTCCGGTACAAATGGAATCATCAGACACATCAGCCCTCCAGGGATGAGCTGGATACTCATCGCAGTCTGCCACTGGGCATGGTCATCCTCAATCCCCGGCCTGAGACCAGAGCGAGACGCCATAGTTAACCCAGAACGCAAGCATCAAAGATGTGACGATCATGAGGTTGTACGTAGCCGTCATAGACCCACGAACTGACTTGGGGGAGTTCTCAGCCAGGAACTGGGGGCTCAGCATGGAGCTCGCTCCTACTCCCAGACCACCGATGAACCTCCCTGCGAGTAGAACGTCGTAGTCGGGGACCATCTGCATCGCAGCACCGACCAGGAAGACGAGTCCCCATAGAAAGACAGACCATTTGCGACCTAGCCAGTCGGACGTTGGTGCAGCGAGAAGAGACCCAGCAGCGCCGCCTGCAGCAACCATGGCCGCGATGGTCCCCTAGAGCGGGTTAATAAAATACGAGAAAAGGTCAGGCGTGCTGCTCACCTTCCGATCATCGTACTCCGCCTGCGGAATATCAAGCAAGCCAAACGCCTTTTCAAACGACGGCAGGGTCAGGATGCCGCCAATATTCCCAGTGTCAAACCCATAGAAACAGCCCGCCCAGGCCAGGGTAACCAGGAGATACAACAGTCTCAGGTTAAAGATCTCCCTCGGATCGGACCTGGCGTCCTTGCTCGCCCATATACTTGTTCCGCCTGCCATTGTCGAAATTAAAGAGAAAAGAACGTCCGCAGTCTGAAGTCTCAGCGGGCGGTAGCGTGGCAGCCTTAAGAGAGCAAGGGCATTCCGGTCGTATGAGGGTCGGAGACCTACTTAAAGGGCACCGATCAGCATGGATGCATGGCCAGGGCTTGTCCCCGCGTGGTCCCACTTCCCCATGGGGTTGGTGGTCCACCATTACGGGGCAGCGTACTAGTATCGGACTGTCGTCCGACGTTTCTGATGTGCTCGGACCAGAACCGACGTCGGATTCCACCCCGCATTGATGAGCTTGACATCGTGCCTTAAGAGATAAGCATCAGCTGGGTAAGCTATATTGTACACGCTGAGAGACACGATACACAAGATTCACTCAGAAACAATGGCAGGTATGCAAGAAATACTACCCAGTCTCCTCGACGGCACACTGCGCCCAGGATCCGGGCCCGCCGTCCGTCGAGAAGCGTACCTACGCCCCACAACAGTACAATGCCACGCATCCAACCTGCTACGCCTGCCAAATGGAGATCTGCTATGCACCTGGTTCGGAGGAAACATGGAAGGAAAACCTGATATCAGCATCTACCTCTCCAGGCTCCCATCGGGGGGACAGACCTGGAGAGAAGCCGTAAAGGTCACGCATGACGGTACACGCAGCGAGCAGAACCCAGTTCTATTCCGTCATCCGTCCGGCGAGCTCTGGCTGCTTTACACTTCGCAGCAGGGCGGTAACCAAGACTCTGCTGTGGTGAAACGCGTTATCTCCTCCGATAATGGCGCCACCTGGAGCAGTCCCACCACCTTGTTCGATGACCCGGGCACCTTCATCAGACAGCCCGTTATTATCCTTGAGAACGAGGTGTTTGTGGTTCCGACATTCAAATGCCGCGTGGAACCAGGTGCAAAATGGATCGGAAACGATGATATCTCTGCGATCCGTACGTCCGCTGACCAGGGGAAGACATGGTCAGAGGTTGCAGTTCCCGAGAGCACAGGCTGCGTGCACATGGAGATCCAGCGCCTGAAAAATGGGAGTTATCTCGCGCTGTACCGCAGTCGGTGGGCGGATTATATCCATCTATCTACTTCATCGGATGGATTGAACTGGAGTGCACCGCAGCCTACGTCCCTGCCGAATCCCAATGCTGGTATATGCTTCGATGTCTTGTCCTCCGGCCGGGTGGTGGCTGTGTATAACCACTCATCACGAAAGAATGCCGAAGGGCGTAGAGAGGGGTTATATGATGAGATCACAGAGGAGGGCGAAGATACTCGTCCAAACCAGAAAGGTCGAACCGATGGGAAAGAGGCCTTCTGGGGAGCTCCGAGGGCGCCGCTCTGTGTGGCATGGAGTGACGATGATGGGAAATCGTGGCAGCATCGAACCCTGGAGGAGGGAGATGGGTTTTGTCTGACGAACAACAGCGAGCAGAAGCGAAATCGCGAGCTGTCTTATCCCAGTATGGTGGTTGGGGAGGATGGCACGATCCATATTGCCTTTACCTTCTGGCGTCAGACAATCAAGTATGTTCAGATTGGAGAGGAATTCTTTACAGCATAGAATAGAAATATAAAACATGGAATGGAATTGCATTTAGAACATAACCTCGTCTATAATTGATCGTCCAACAGGAATACTTCGATATGTTTATTTTCCTGCTCGATCCGGTATTGACTGCTCAATCTCAACCAGATGCTGCATCACCTTCACCACCCACTCCTGCTTCTCCTTCCCAGATGGCTTATACGGCTTCCTGGGCCAGAATGCCTTCTCATCCGTAACCCCAGCAGCAGGGCCAGCAAAATACCCAGCAGCGAATTTAGTCGGCGCAATACCCTCCCTTGCACGCCTTTTCTGCCTGAGCCACAAGCCCCTGCAGCTTTGTCGCCTCCTGCACCTTGCCTTCCTTCCATAGGGTATACAGCCTTGCCACAGACTTAGGGAAGACATTGCCGATACCAGTAACGCATCCGGAACCACCACCAATAAGACACGGGAGCAGCCAGTCCGACGACCCGGCATAGACACTAAATTGCTCATGGCTATACTCGTTTGTCAACCGGGTAACCTTCCCTGCGTTTCCGCAAGTGAGCTTTGTGCCGACGATATTGGGGTGCTGCGCCAGTTCCGACATGACGTCCGAGTTTAGATCCACGCCGTTGCACATGGCAGGGAACTATACCCGTAACTGTTAGCATACGCATATTCCCGCAGTGGGATAGCAAAAGTAGGGGCGGATGCGCACGCTGTAAATCACAATCGGAATCGGACTATTATCAGCGACCTCACGATAAAAGTCGACAATTACATCCTTCGTCACAGCCTTCACCCAGTACGACGGCGGGAGGAGAAGTCCAAAGTCCCCACCGGCCTCTTGTGCATCCTGCGCAAGCCTAATGGACTCGTTTGTAGATTGTCCGCTGATGCCCGCCACGACGGGGAAATCAGACAATCCGAGATCTGTCGCGGCGCGGCGCGCAACGCGCACCAGTTCTTGACGCTCAGTTGCGGAGAGAAGCACAGCTTCAGCGGTTGTTCCGGCCATAACGAGCCCATCGACGCCCCCGCGGATCAGGTATGCGAAGTATTTGTACGACGCCTCATAGTCGATCTCCTGGCGCGGCGTGGGCTTGTACAGGGAGACGACGGGGCAGTAGATACCAGCGGGGAGGGGTTTTGATTTCTGTGCAATATTCGACGTCATTTTCAATTGACAACAATTTCAAAAACACGATTGAATCTCATTATTCAAGTTATCCTGGCTCATGCTGCCTTATAATGCGATCTCACACCCCGCGATTCGGCCCCATCGGAGAGCGGCCGAGCAGCGGAGACCAGCCCGTGATGATGCTTTATATGCGCTGTGATTGGCCTGCAGTGAGGAGAAGATGGAGAAAGGCCTCGAAGCGATGTCTCCAACCTTCTGCGCCAGTCATGCATGCTGGCTGAAGGTCTGTCCAAGTGGGGATGTCGTGGTCGCTGGAAATGAATCCTCCCACCTGCACAATCACACATGAATACCACGAGCAATAATGCCAAAGCGGAAAAGAGAGTCGGCGGTCGAGAACGGCCATAATGAATCGTCCTCCGATCAGGGACAGAAAGGAGGCCAGAATCTGGTGGAGGTTCTTCCTGGCATTACGCGCAAGATCACTGCGTGCGCCGCCTGTCGCAAGAACAAGGTGAGTGTTCGCTAGAAACGAGAATGGTTCAATTTCTCTAAAAGAATTAGATCCGCTGCGATATGCCAGGCGATGGCCCTCCCTGCGTCCGATGTCGCCGCCGGGGGCTCTCGTGCGTTCTCAACCGCAGTCTTCAGTCCCTGATCGAGGATACCAGGTAAGGCAGACGCAGCATGCGAATAATGTCCTGACTGACAATTGCAGAAATGTGAAGCTCCTTCAAACAGACGTCACCCACCTGCACGATACCCTCGACTTGCTCTGCCAACACATCGGAGTCGAAGGCCCAAAAGCTCTCCGTTCAGTGGGACACGACCGTGAGGGCTCATACCCCCCCAATAGACAACGACCAGAACCAGACACAACAGGAGGAAGAAGGCTGCGAAGTGTCGCCTCCCGATTCGCCGTCCGCTGTGCAGGCCCCGATCGACACATTCCTGGACATCGCCAAAACCCGCAGTCCGCATTCCATTGACTCGCCCGCCAGTGCACGCGCCAGCCGGTCGGGGACGAGGTCAGATCTCATCAGCAAGGGCATTATCAGCGCCACAATTGCCGAGCGACTGGTCCATCACTACTTTGCAAGACTCGACCACTACCTTTACGGGATTGGAGGGGAATATCAGGGACTGGAGCAGCTGCGGGCGAACGCGCCGATTCTTCTCGCCGCCATCTGCACCGTCTCTGCCCTGCACGATCCACAGGAGCGTGTCGTGTATGAAGCCTGCAATCGCGAATTCCGGTCGTTAATCGCCAAATCGACCTTTGAGAAGCGAGATGTCGACTATATCCGTGCACTGTGCATCAGCTCCTTCTGGCTGGCAGATGCCTCGCGCATCGTCTGCAGTGATGCGATCCGACGCGCGGCGGACATGCGACTCCATCGCAGCTTCGATGCTCTGTTCGAGGATCGCACAGGGTTAGGAAGTGGGCCGATGCCCTCTATACCGTCCCCATCAATGCAGAATCTGTCCGCTGCCACTGATCGCGTGCGCCTGTGGTACCTCCTGTTCGTCTGCGACCAGCATCTGTCTATCCTGCACAACCGAGACTCGCTGCTGCGGAGCGACAAAGGAATCGCAGTCGGCTGGGAGCTGTACCTACATCGTGCTGAGACGACTGAGTCGGACGTGCGCATCCTGTCACAGGTCTCGCTACTGTTGATCATGGGCCAAGTGCGTGATGTGCTGGGATCCGACAACCAAACCCCCCTACCCCCCAGCTCTAGCCGGCCAGATCCTCAACTACTCGCGACAGCTCGACAAGTGGTACACCAAGTTCTCTGCTCTATTTGTGACAAACGCCTTTATCGGCGAGTTCCCCAAGCGTGGCCTCCAACTGCACTACCAATTTGGCAAACTATATCTCGGCCACCAGGTGTTTAAAGGCCTTCGTGGGCGGCCCATTCCTCCTCATTTCCTGTCCGCCGCAACAATGGCGCATGACACTGCAGTCTCTATCTTCGAGATGATACTCGGCGAGCCAGAGCTGCAGGAGGGATTGGTCGGCATGCCGCATTACTTCCATGTAATGATTGCCTTTGCCGGCCATCTACTACTACAAATCTGCCAAAATTACTACGAACAGCTTGCGATCAAGATACAGGATGACTTTCAGCTTATCAACAGCGCATTGAACCTATTTAGAAACACCCAGTGTATCCCCCAGCACCCCATCTGGCGAATGACACCGGGTCTGAACAGAAAACTGCACGACTGCTCTGCCAGCATCGGAGTCCCAGTTCCCTCCGCAGTCCCTGTTGGAGGATTAAGTGCACAGCATGCCATCCCCGGCCAGGAAGCTCTATACTACCCCCCAGTCCCTACAGCAGAAGCTTCGCAGCCCCTAGACGAGCTCCTATTTGCCGATTTTGGCGAATTCAACTTCCCAGACCTGACATCAAACTTCATGACATAACCGGAGATACTCTATCTTGTCTATGACTTATTGCCCCCATAATCCTCTATATACGCACGAATCGTCTCGGTTAATTCCCTGTCAGGATAAAAGCCCATATCCAGCGCCTTCTTCACATCAAACACCGCCGGCCACGATCCCACAATCGCCTGTACAGCCGGATCGGCCTTCTCAACCACGCGCTGCAACACCTCCTCCCCTCCAACCTTCTCCAGCCCATCGAGAATCTCCTGCACAGTAACCGTAACACCAGGCAGATTGACAACCCGCGAGTACGTCTCACCTTCGAACCGGACATCCCTCGCACGGACAAGGTTCCGAATAATTGTCCTAGTCGCACAAACCCACAACTTCAGATCCCTGTTCACAGGAAGAACACTCTCCTCACCATTAAGCGGCTCGCGCACAATCCCCGAACAGAAACTCGACGCCGCACCGGACGGTTTCCCCGGCCGCACAATGATCGTCGGCAACCGCACGATAACCGCATCGATAATGCCACGGCGGGAGAAGTCGTTAAACAACACCTCGCACATTTGCTTCTGCGCCCCGTATGAAGACTGCGGGATGGTGATTGTCGATTCTGTCACGGGTGCTCTGTGGATCTCTGGCCCGCCGAAGACAGCCAGGCTGGAGGGATATACGATGCGAACTGGGTTGTGTGACCCGGTTCCAGATTCGTGTTTCTCGCGGAGGATATCGAGGATATTCCTCATCGAGTCAACATTCACTGCAAGTCCGAGCGGAAGATTTGCCTCGCTTGCGCCGGACATTATCCCGTGCAGAAGGTACATGTGGCTGAAATCTGTGGAGAGGAGGGACTTGCATGTCTCGCGGGAGGTGAGGTCGGCTTTTAGAGATGTTATCTGTGTATTGGATTGTGCCGTGTTGGTGGGCTTCGGTGGTTCGACCACGTCTGTTAGGACTAGACTGTTCACGCCTGGGGTGCTGGCGAGGGCTTTCGCCAGGGCTTGACCCAGGAACCCGCCTGCACCGGTTATGAGGATGCTCATAGTGTTGAACTTATTTCTTTAGATTGGTGCGCTGTGAGGTATTAGTATCATGTAGTAAAATAGAAATATATATTCGCACTCACCTTCGGATGATCAGCATGGGCTGTGTAGATTTAGAAAAAATAGCATATGAGATGAGCGCGACAGAATCAGCATGATACTAGTAGATAGACCACATCACGGAGTTTGTCCGTTCCCAATGCCACTGTTGCGTGAGAGGATATCTCGCCTGTGTGTACGGAGAGAAGACCGCATCTTTCGGTGTCCTCTGCGTTGGCTGCATTTGTGGAGTGGTGAGTCGGTGCTCTTCCCAAGTCCGCCAGGAGGCGATATCGCGAGATAGGGCTATGGCAACAATGTCATGTAATAGGCAGAAAATTTTTAATTAATGGTGTTTGGCATTATCTGTTCAAAATATTCATCTCATTGACTTATGGTTATACAACGGAATTTTGAGTATGATGACAATTTTATATCCAATTGGCTGTCATATATGCGAGTCGACCATTTATAGCTCTTTCCTGGACACCTTTACGTAGGTAGAATGGCCATATTATTTGTGACCTTAATAGCGAGCTAAAGAGGGATTTATTGTATTAGTTGTTACTATAGTAGGGTAGAGCGGTACTATAACTTTATATTCGATATTTCTTTTCGTAATAACTTCCCGTAGGTGCTCCATATGTGTCATTCTTGCGAGGCCGGGTCAGTCTTAGCTGCTTGTATCTATGTATCCACTCTAGACCACGCTCTATATACACGATAATTCTAAAGCTTCGCCTGGGGAGTCCATGTAATCCATGGATGTGTTTCAGTACCTCTAATCAACGGATCAACATAGGCAGTGTTGACCATACCAGGATGCGCCTGGTCGATGTGCGTGATGCCGCTTAGCTTCATTGCTGAGACAAGCTCGTCTTTGAGGACTGCAGGGTGTTAGTTACGCCATAATTCTATGAAAAGAGGGTAGGCAAACGTACTTTGTGTAAGGTGCTCAACTCCTTCCTGTCCATATGTCAGAGAGTAGAGGTACGGCCGTCCGATCCCAACAGCTGTAGCTCCTAAAGCGAGTGCCTTCAAAATGTCTGTTCCTCGTCGTATTCCCCCGTCGATGTAGATCTCCATGCGACCGAATATCTCAGGACACGTTCTGTGTAGTTCCAGCAGTGTGATGATGGCAGGTTGGACTCTGTATATCGGTTAGCTTGCGCACCATCAAGGGTTCTTTATACATACGTATCCAGAGACCTTCCCCCATGGTTACTCAACAGAATCGCATCAACACCATGCTCCATCGCCATTCTAGCATCAGCCCCTGTTTGGACCCCCTTCAGCACAACCGGCAAGCCCGACACCTTCTTGATCCATGCGAGATCTCCCCAGTCCAACGTCGAATCAATATACTTGGCCATAACCCTACCAAGCCCGCCCCCTTTCTTATCATTCTTTGCAACCGCACCACTAACAGCGGAAACCAGATTTCCAGCCGCAATACGCTCGTCGGCCTCACGCTTCCCCGGAATCGGCGCATCGACAGTGACAAACACCGCCTTGATCCCGAGACCCGCAGCTTCCCGCAGCAACTCCTCTGTCTTCCGCCTCTTCGAGTTGACATACAGCTGCAAGAAAAACGCCTGCCCCGGTTTCCCCGCAGCCACAATCTCCGCAAGCGGGAAAGAAGCATTATTCGAAATGATATGGATGATATCCTCCTCCCCACACCCCTTCGCAACAGCCAACTCACCATCCGGATGTGCAAGCTTCGCCATAGCCGTGGGACTAACGAAGAACGGCGCAGACGACGGACAACCCAATATCGTGCGAGGCATCTTAACCTCTTTCACATTGCGCAACACGCGCGGCCGCAGCATGATCTGACGGTACGAGTTCAGGTTCGCATGGTGCGAAACAAGATCCGTCGCGGCGGAGGAATAGAACGCGAATGTTTTCTTTGTGTACTTCTTCCGCGCGACCTCCTCAAAGTCACGCACGGTGATCAGCTGCTCGAGCTGCGGGGTTTCGTCTGCATCTGGTGGGCTGGTGGTTTCCATGGGCGTGTCAACGGAGGGTAACTCGGCGCTTGGCTCGATCATCCCCTTGAATTGCTCCCTCGTGAGGGTTTTGTGGATTATCGAGGGCGAGTGTACCTCGTCGTAGGCTTTTGAGGCGTCGTTCCCTGCGTATTTGAGGATAACTGGGTGCATTAGGAATGAGAATATGCGACGAAGATGGGTGAGTATGTACTGGCCGATCCGCCTGGATGCTCATTCAGAAATGCAGTAACATCGTAGATGCGCGAATGGACGACAATCCAGCAGTCATCTGCAGTAGTGTGTTTCTGCAGTTCCGACGATGAGATTAAGGGTCCGTTTGTTGCGTCCTCCATTGTGTCTGAACAAAGCCCGACTACTGGAAGCAACAAGACCAGGGGTAAACAACACTACGGCTATAAATACAAGACTCCAAAGCTCTAGAAATACATTGCCCGATAGAAAAAGAAGAATAATCCTGTCCTCCGACGGCCGATCAACCCTATCTGCAGTCCGGGGAAGCAGCGGAGACTTCGCCGACGTGCGCATCGGGGAAATTCCGACAGGCGCTGATATCTTGCGCCGATACGCCCACTCACCCAAGCTAGCAGGAGACAGAGAACAATACAAGGCAGTCAATGAAAAATGGCAGAACAGATTCTACGATTGGACGAGGTCCAGCAGCGCCTGCCCCCTCCAGTCCCTAGAACGGACCTAGAAACCCAAGTTGCGAACAGCGACGACCTGGCTGTCCTCGTCGTGCTGGACGACGACCCCACAGGCACACAGACATGCCACGGCATCAACGTGCTAACAGTCTGGGACGAGAAGATCCTCATGCGTGAATTCCAGCAATGCAACCGGGGTTTCTTCATCCTGACTAACTCGCGCGCTCTACCTACTCCCGAAGCGCGCGGGTTAATCAGGGAAGTCTGCACGGCCGTGAAGCACGCGGCGGCTAAAGCGCAAAGAGCCTTCGAGATCGTCCTCAGAGGCGACTCGACACTGCGTGGGCACTTCCCTGATGAGCCGGAGGTTGCAGAGGACGTGATCGGTGCAGTAGACGGCTGGGTCCTGGCCCCGTTCTTTCGACAGGGCGGTCGCTTGACTATCAATGATGTCCACTACGTTGCTGATCCGGAAGAAAATTTGATTCCAGCTGCACAGACACCGTTCGCGAAGGATGCGACGTTTGGCTACTCGAATTCGAATCTGAGGAAGTATGTCGTGGAGAAATCTGGCGGGTCTATTGCAGAGGACCGCGTGCATTCCATTTCGCTAGAGGATATCCGCACAGGCGGGCCTGAGGCTGTTTCGAAGAAGTTACTTAGCCTTGGAAAGAGGAGCGTTATTGTAGTGAATGCCGTAGTTGATACGGATATGGAGATCTTCGTTCTGGGGCTACTAGCTGGTGAGTGCATCTTCCTCATCTAGAGAGTGATACTAACCTGGACAGCTAAATCACAAGGGAGGACATATCTATATCGAACGGGTGCTGCATTTGTATCAACAAGACTGGGCATCGCGCAAATTCCTCCTTTAATACCCAAATCACTCGGTCTCAGCACCCACGCATCTCAACCAGGCGGGCTCATCCTAGCAGGCTCTTATGTGCCCAAGACGACCGAGCAATTGCAATCCCTAATTGACGGCCGAGGACCGAGTCTGGAGGTTATCGTCCTTAAAGTGGAAGATCTGCTGAAAGGCCCCGAAGACGCAGACCGAGCAGCTCTCGACGCAGCAGACAAAGCAGGACAATTGATTCTCAACGGTCGAGACGTACTCGTAATGACGAGCCGCGATCTCATCACTGGCAACGATGGCGTCTCTAGTTTGAAGATAGGCAGTACTGTTGCAGCTGTCCTGGTGTTGTTCCTGCGCCTCCTTGTCCCGCGGCCCCGCTACATCATAGCCAAAGGTGGAATCACATCTTCAGACGCAGCATGCAAAGGGCTGCGCATGCGAAGAGCCCAGATCCTCGGTCAGGCTGCGTCGGGTGTTCCCCTGTGGCGATGCGACGAGCCGACCTCCAAGTTCTCAGGTATTCCATACGTCGTGTTCCCCGGGAATGTCGGAGAAGTCAACACACTACGAGACCTCGTCGCATCGTGGGCCAAAGAAGCGAAACCGCGGATGGAATACCAGCAACTAGGCACGAGCTCCCTCAAGGTATCGAGAGTCATTCTTGGCTGCATGACATTCGGCAATCCCTCCTGGGAGGGAAGTCCGTGGGTGCTCCCAGAAGAAGAGGCACTGCCTCTACTCGAAAGGGCATACGACTGCGGAATCAACACATGGGATACGGCAAATACATATTCGAACGGGCTTTCCGAGGTAATAGTCGGCAACGCACTACGGGAATACTCCATCCCACGAGAGAAGGTCGTCATCTTAACAAAACTTTACTACCCAGTCATGGAAATAACCTCAAACGCACGACCAAACCCTGCCGTCAATGACGGATCCCTGGTTAATCAAATGGGCCTAAGCAGAAAGCACATCTTCGAAGCGGTCGACGCCTCGCTGAAACGACTAGGAACAACGTACATCGACGTCCTGCAATTACACCGGGTGGACGAGACCGTGCGCTCTAATCCCGTGGAAGTCATGAAAGCCCTGCACGACCTCGTCCAGGCAGGGAAAGTGCATTACCTCGGCGCGTCCAGCATGCATTGCTGGCAGCTGGCTAGGTTACATTACACGGCAAAGATGAACGGGTGGACAGGGTTTACAGGTATGCAGAACCTGTATAACCTGTTATACCGGGAGGAGGAGCGAGATGTAAATCCGTTCTGTGACGTTGAGGGGATTGGATTGATTCCTTGGAGTCCCCTGGCTCGTGGATTACTTTCACGGCCGTCCAATGTCCAGACAGAGCGGTCGAAGAGGGATGCGAAGACGGCGAAGTGGTTCGCTGGGGATCAGAATGAGAAAATCATTGGGAGGGTCCAGCAGATAGCGGAGAGTAAGGGTTGCTCTATGAGTGCTGTGGCCATGGCGTGGCTGCTGCATAAGGGCTCTTGTCCAATTGTCGGACTGAACAGTTTAGAGAGAATCGAAGCTGCAACGGAGGCATTTGGTATACGTCTTGCAAAGGAGGAGGTACAACTACTGGAGGAACCTTATCAAGCTTTGGCAGTGCAGGCTATTTGAGCTGTTACCATTTATAGGTGATGAATATAACTTACATTTCATATTCGTGTAGTAAGACCTGCAATATCAGCATTAATAGCGATTTGGGCAAAATAGTCATAGCCAACTATACTGCCACAATAAAATGGCTAAAGGGCTATACAAAGAGGGGATCGTTCCAAGGTTAGTACCCTCGCTTAGGAACAAATATGGAAACTGACCATTACTCTCATAAGCAGCAATCGCCCCGTCAAATGCCTTCTCAATGTCATCCACACTCCCCAGTGCAATTCCCGCCTCGAAATCAGCCAACTGCGGTCGTATCCCTCTTCAACTGCAGCAAGCTTGCAAGAACAATGACACCCAGCTCCCCAAAGGCCTCATTCTTGTCACTAATCTGCTTCAATGACGACTCGATCTCAGGCTTCAGGCTTATTAGTGCAAGTCCGACCTGGAGCGAGCCATCACCAAAGGCCTCACGAACTCCCTAACACACCCGGTAGTCGCGACCTCAGGGTACCCATTTACCTCTGCGTAAGGCAAGAATTTGGGCAATATTATAGTGAAAGACGGAGGGCTGGCTGGATACTCGATTGAGAATTCGCTGCGTACTACCGGTTTGGTATGTACGTCTCGGTCTGTTGGGCTGAACAGAGGATGCTGAGTGGAAAAGGTCCTACAAGAACACATGAGTGTAAATTGCGATGGACATAATGGTGCGGAGGATTCCTGGACGGATTTGCGTTATTTGAGGAAATACCTGAATTTGGATGGAAAGGGCCGAGGTGGTCTAAAAAGGTTGTCTTCCGATTACAAGCGGAGGAATAGAAAAACTGATATTTGGGGAGAGCGAACTAGGAAGAGAATTTGCTCAAATCGATATACCTAGGTAGATTTTGAAATATATCATCCAATGAAACATTTCGAACAAGCTCATAACGAAGTGTACCTCCCACATTCATTGCAACAAAAGCCTATGTCACTCCAATCAACGCATCAAGATCCTCGAGCCTCTGCTGTACAAGTTCCATATCGTCTGATTTCTCACGCAATGCCTCCTTGAGTGCACCGACTGCTTCCTTGGTATTTTTAGACACTGCCTCCCCAGACTTCAGTTTCTTCTCCGCGGACTTGATACTTTCCTTCGCACTTCGCATCTGTGACCAGTACGTTGTGGTCTTGTTAATGTATCCAGTCTCCTCAAGAGGCAAGTTCCACTCATGAGGAGTCGTCTCGACAATGTTCAACCATTTGGCCATGTGCGGCCATCGGCGCTCCTCCAGACCCGGGAAGTGCACGAGCAGATCTCCCCTTTTGCCTTCATAGGCCCAGTCCCATTCATAGGTGTTGATCCATGGCCGTGGCAGGTAGGAGACCCCATCCGCGTAGCCCTGTCCGCTTGGACCCCCCGTCGTCTTGTTGAGCACACGTCTCATGCCTTCCTGGTCAGCAGATCGACCAAGATCAATCTGAGGAAGATAAAGAGGGTAGCCCATTGTCTCGGTGAGGAAACTAATCATCCAAGGGTGGACATGGAGAAACATGATTCCCGTGTTGAGGCCGTTTTGGTCCTGGGTTGCCACCAGGTGGATATCTTTCAGGTCCGATGGCGGAAGAAAAATTTCGACAGGGATATCGTTATTCAATATAATCGAGTCTGCATCTACCCACCTGCAAGAGTCAGTATTTCCCAATCACATGAACAGAAGAAAAGACATACATCAACCATTCTTTTCTCTCCCCGGCTGGCTTGGTTAATTCGCTGATAACCAAGGATAGCAGATAGCTCGGCTTATTCCAAAATCCGACCGAAATATCCTGCCGCAGGATATGCATGGGGTAGCCCCATAGTTTCCCGTGGCGTTCATGGCTTTGCAGTGCTCTTTCGTACATGTGGTTCGTCTCTCCATATAGCATGGACACTTTGGCGACTCTTTGCAACTTGTTGTTGTGGGTATCATCTGATTGGGAAATAGGAAAGGTTCTGTAAGACTTGGTTGTAATCCAGAAAACACATATTACTGATAGAACCATCAGGATGATGTGCAAGGGCCGTTGCCTGAATGCCATTGATGGAATCATGGCCGGCATCACACGTAGGTGCCGGGCTTTTCATGGTAGATGGAAAGATGAGAATAAATGCTTTCCGGATATTGGGATAATACTATTCCTAAATGTAAAATTGAAGTGTTTGGTTGGAGGCTTGTGAGTTGTATGAATTCGTACTTCCGGATTGGGAATGCCGTTTTCGGAAACTCAACCACATCCAACCTTGGAACGCATAGGAATAAAGCCAGTTAACTTAAGTTTATAAATAGATCTTAGATTAACCACTGTAAGGAAAAGCCCATTCGTTCTAGACCCATAAAGATGAGCTGTGTTGCGTACTGGTACATTCTGGTGTAGATTGACTAGATTGATGATAAGAAGCGATATGGTCAGGTCTCCAAAGGAACATTCCTCTACGGTTCAAAACAGTTCAATCCAGACGAAAACTAGACCCGCACCAGATTAATTATATAGTTAAGAACGTTTAATCGTAACGGTAGATCTAGGCTACACCCATGGATGGCTCTAGTATATTATGTAGGCGAAAAATATCATAACACAACTCCAATTATTGCCACTGTAGCAGTGTATATCTCATTAGGCCCTAAGCTCCGCTTGGGATCATAGAAACGAAATTAGTTATTAATGAAAACTACAGCCGTACAGCATTGACTATGAAATACCGGCCGCAACAAACTGGTAGAGAGACGATTTCATGTTATATAGTACAGATGAGGGTATATTATGTATACACCACGTGTTTCAAAATTTGTACAACTTCGCGTATGTAAACAACTTTAACTCCTTGCTCCCATGCATTAGCGACCTAGCCGCCGTTGAATTCATTGGTATAGCCAAAGCGCACCCAGACCGAATGGTGGACCGGATCGCGCAAAATAATGCAGAATGATATCCACAGCCAAATACAGCATTATGAACCCGGACTTGTGTTTTGACTGATTGTATTTGGGTTGCCGGTGGTGCTGTGTACCGTCTGGAGCTTGAGATACTCCTGCTCGAGAGCCTTTTGCATTTCGAACTCGGCTTGGCGTTCTAGTCGGACACGCTGCTTTTCCATATCACGTTCGACTCCTCTGTGCATAGCCTAACATCCAACAAAGTAAGTATATGCTAGGAATAGAGAATCGAAGCTGTAACATACCGCTCTATCCGCTTCTTGTGCCCAGTGGACAAACCAGACAATACCCATTGTGCCGAGACCAGTGGCTGCCAATGTAAACTTTGATGCGCGAGACATGGCAGGATAAGCGAGAGCACGGCTCGACACAGAGGTTCAGTGGATAATTGTCACAAAAATGTTTTGACTTGTCAGTTCAAAACGAAGTCTGGGATTATCAGTTTATCGATCACCGGGCGGCGTTTGGTGGCAGAACCCCCACCGCTCTGGGGGGGCGATGCGTGTCTCCGATCGACCTGGGCTCGGAGCTCTAGACTCGCCGTTTAATCGTCCTTGTCCAGCCTTATTCTCCCTCTACTCCATTTCCAAAGCTAAAGATCCATAGCAAATATGGTGAGCAATCTATCTCGGAATTGGTGACCAGCTGCTAACGATGAACAACAGTCGGCTCAGAACTCCGCGGGCATTCAGACCCTCCTCGATGTAGGTCTTGGTTTTATGTTAAGCGCAGCGTCGAGATACTAACCACGCAACTGTCAGGCTGAGAGAGAGGCCCAGAAGATTGTGCAGAAAGGTAAGTCCAACTTATGCTTACCCCTCATCGCTCTATCACAGACACTAATACGTCACATTTCATTTAGCCAGAGAGTGTACGCAATACAAACTTACCTGTCGCCCTTTGCTCCATCGAACTAATGACTCGAAATTATACAGACCGTACCCAGCGGATAAGAGACGCCAAGTCAGAGGCCCAGAAGGAAATCGAGGAATACAAGAACCAGAAAGAAGAGGAGTACAAGAAGTTCGAGGGCGAGGTGAGATACAGCTCCTAAATGGCTCTTACAACAAGAGTTATATATAGTGCTAAGCTGACCTGTCTCGCTAGCACTCAAGCGGATACAAGGTATCCGAGGCGGAGGCCGACAAGGAAGCCGAGGTCAAGCTCCAGGAGATCAAGGATGCCGGCAAGAAGCAGGGCGACAAGGTGGTCGCAGACCTCATTCGTGTGACGACCGACGTCAAGCCCGAGCCGTCTGAGAAGATCAAGGCATAATGTAGATATTCTGGGTTATCGTTTCTTTCCTCGCATGAATGCGATTGCGTGTCTATTCATCGATATCCAATTGTCGGACAATATCAATTTCTTTTTGGTTTAACCCTGGGTATATGACGTGGATGGAGTCTGGCTAACTTGTGTTGGCATACATATGTCGTATTCCTATCCTATGGTGTTGTTGTAGGTCTGTCTTCGGTTTCCATCTGCGGCAAGTCTGAGTATCGATCATCACAAAACTGGTATTTATTTTTAATGACCTGGCTTTTCCTGAGACCCTTGGGGGGCCATGGTTAAGCGGACTTCAAATATCTCACCAGTCTACTAAGCCAGACTTGCACACTCCTGATACCCATGTCTATTCTTACTCGACACCAGGGGGCGGCAACCACAGGCACAGAATGATTCAATGTGTTGTCCTGAACCCCTGGGCAGATATCAGTCTCATCCCTGTGGAATGAATCTCAGCGCAACGAGTCATTGTTTGGTGAATGGCCTCGCGTTTGAAATTTGGCTATCACCAGAGCTTGGAGTGATTGGTTATCGGTTTGAATTATCCTTGCGCACAAAAGACGTGCATCATAGCATATTAGGTGCACATTTCTTTCCTTTACGTAGACTAGTACGCAATGCTAGAAGAAGACTGGGGTTATAGTCCGTGTCGGCCTGAGGCACAAACAGTGTTTTCCTGTTGCGTCATTCCGCGCCGGATCTCATTCGACAACCTATCTGCGGACGACGCAGAACAATGAAATATGCAATTGTTACGCCGAATGCATTCAAACGGTCTTCGATAGTCTGCCACTCTTACGGCCAGACTGTATGTCACTCTAACAACAGGCGGTATCACGGGTCTCCATGCAGACCTCGACCAAGTCTCGAACCGCGATTAGAGGACCACGGCAAAGTAATTGTCGATGAGTATTCAATCATTCGTGATAAATATGGTTGGTTCCTTTCGACTAGGATAGTGTGAGCAATTGCTGACTCGCCATTAGCTGCACCGAAATACCCTGTCGTTCTCGCCCATGGCTTGCTCGGGTTTGATGAACTGCGCCTTGCTGGCCCATATCTCCCCGGTGTTCAGTACTGGCGTGGGATCAAAGAGGCCCTGACGGCGCGAGATATTGAAGTTATCACGGCAACAGTGCCCCCGTCGAGCTCTATTGAAGCGCGGGCTGAACAATTGGCCCGAAGCATTGAGGCCGAGGCTCAAGGGAAAGATGTTAATATCATTGCGTATGTTACCTTCATTTCCTAGTTACACATATCGACATATTCTGACTGATTTTTGTATAGGCATAGCATGGTGGGACCCCTCGATTATTGCAATAGAGTTAATGCTTATCTGTCATTAGGGGTGAGACATAACAAGGGTCATACTATTCAGTGCAAGCTAATTAATGACTTGCAAAGTGGACTTGATTCACGATATATGATTAGCCACATACGACCGGAGAAGTTCAAAGTCTTGTCACTGACCACTATCGCATCTCCGCACCGAGGTCTGGCACAGCGTAGCTTCTCGTTCGCTTTCCTGCTAATTGTATAGCAGGTTCATCTGTGGCGGACTATGTACTTGATCAAATTGGAGGTTCGTTACTATACACTCGCTTACTGAGAGAACTCGGAAGATAACATTTACTTCTGTGCAGCCGATCGCCTACCTCAGATCTATTATGCCCTTAATCGACTCAGTGTCGAGACAGGTGCATTCGCTCAACTAACAAGGAAATACATGACCGAGACCTTCAACCCCAATACCCCAGATGTCGATGATGTCAGGTAAGCGCCACGTATGCTCTCCACTTTACGCCCTGCTCACATTCCCCAGATATTTCTCCTATGGAGCAGCAGTGGAGCCAAGTATATGGTCTGCCTTTCGGCTTTCACACCGAGTACTTGCAGAGATTGAAGGACCCAATGATGGCCTGGTTAGCGTTTCTAGTAGCCGCTGGGGAGGCGATGCAGGATACAAAGGAACCCTCATGGGCGTCAGCCATCTAGACCTGATCAACTGGTCCAACCGGCTTAAATGGCTAGTCGGGGAGGTAACAGGCAACAAACGAAAGTCAGTGAATTGCAAATTGTACTTCGGGAATTATGCTGATCTTCATGCAGGTTTAACGCCATTGCATTCTACTTGGACATCGCAGGTATGTGTTACGGTCTGATTGGGTTACTTGAGACTAACGAGTTGCATGTGCACTAGACATGTTGGCAAAAGAGGGACTTTGAGAAAGTAACTTGGATATATTTGGATTTTCCTCAGCCCTGTTGTGGCTGCATTGCCGTGATTCCGTTTCAGGTTTGATATGGAAATTCTGGTGCCTGGAGTGGAAGTTCCCGATATTTTCCTCTTCTGGCCAACTATGTACATATTTTTGCACAGTAAAATCGATGTAAATCTGTCAATATAACAGATGATTGGATTCAAGATAATCAAATAATCGATTGACGGTCCAAGTATGCAGCGATGGAAGAGTGTACAGATAGTACAGATAGTACAACCCTTCGACTTATAGTTTCCGGATATTAGCGGAATGATGCCCTTTGTCTTAGAAATGTGGCTGTGATGTGACTGAGGCGCAGCATATACGCCTAATTGGACCTTCTAGCCTTTAATCTTGCAAAAGTCCTTGATCATACTGGGCGAGTCTGTGGCATTTGTATGTTGCTTGGCAATCAGTTGATCTACGAACGCCCGAAACGTCATTCCGGGATCCTTCACATATAATCCGTATTTCCCCCATCTCACGGCCCCCACAACATCTCTTCACGTCGAGCCGTACGCTATTTGCATCTTCTGAGAACTTGATAATTGCCGCGTTATTTTACAGCGACCGCATTTCTCCGTTTCACCCTTCGAACGCCGCCACCAACCGAAGAGAGAGCCCCGCCAGGGCCCGGGCGCCCGCCATGTCCGCAAAGATCGTCTTGGATAGCCGCCACACCCATTACACAAATCTAGACTTCCTGAAGGGCAAGGTTGTGCTCCAGCTACCGGCGGAAGCAGCCATCGGGGCCATTCAGGTCAAATTGGAGTGCGAGAGCCGCACTCGTCTATCCGGTCCCAAGAATCCCCAAAATGTGCACTCGGACAAAAAGCGAACGGAGCTTGAGGTTCACAAGGTAAGAGGATTTGTTTTATCATATCTATCGGCGGGATAAGATATTGGCTGGAGCATTGGTTAACCAACGAATGCAGATCTTATACAAGGTTGCTACCGTCTTCCCGACACCAGGTGTGATGCAGAATGGGTCCCCCCGCGCCAGCATATACCTTTGCCGCAGGGTCATATGAGTACCCTTTCGAATTCAAGGTAAAGAGTCTAGTCTATGACTGCTAGGACACAACTAACGCTCTACTAGTTCCCCTTCAATAATTCATGCAGCACCACCAACAGCATGCTTACCAATCTAAACTTCTCTGGATTGAAGGTCGAGGTAGCTAAAGACACCAACCGACACGTCAGAAAGACTCTCCCGCCATCTTTAAGCGGGTTCCCAGGTGTAGCAGATATCAAATACTTCGTCAAGGCCACAGTCATCCGGCCGCAGTTCTACAAAGAAAACATCAGATCGGTAAGTGATATGCCCCGATGATATGCTACTGCCGCACTCGCTGATTGATTTCTCAGATTGTCCCTCTGAACTTCCTTCCAATTGAACCGCCAAGGGTCGGGAATCCCAACGAGGAAACCTACGCCAGGCGGCAACACCAATTCTCCAAAACCCAGGTTGCTTCTAAGAAAAAGAGCATATTCTCACGCGGATCTTCTTCACTCAAAGAGCCATACACAGAGCCTCCTCGGGTGTCTGTAGATGCTCGGCTTCCGAACCCCTCTATTCTCACTTGCAACGAACCTGTCCCCCTCCGTCTCCTCGCCAAAAAGCTGACCGAAGGTCCGGACGTAATCTTCCTTCAGATGTTGCAGGTGGAACTAATATCCTACACGAAAATTCTGGCCCATGACCTCAACCGCACTGAAAGCGGCTCGTGGGTTATCATGAGCCGCAGCAATATGAATATCCCGTTAGGCAAGCCAGGGGATCCCGTAGGCACTGATTGGACTATTGATCCTAACCTGTGGAATCGGTATCCATTACCTAACTCGGTGGCACCATCCTTTGAGACATGTAACATTGAAAGATCTTACGAGCTGGAGATTCGAGTGGGCTTGACTCATGGAAATGCCCGGGAAATGCAGGTATGCTGAAACCACCAACACTTGAAAGTTGTCTCTTGGCTGACAATGGCGTAGCCTCAACTTATCGTTCTTCCCCTACGAATGCCAGTCAGAGTATTCTCAGGAATCGCTCCACCACAGGCCCTCCTGGATGCAATGGCCGCTGCATCCCTTCAGCCATCATCATCCTCTAAAGTGAAACCCCAGCCCAGCTTGCCAACAGAGATAGGAAGCAGCCGACCACCCATTCCACCAAGGCCAACAGGCGAGCCTGTACCTGTCAATTCCGGTGATGTATATGACGACGCACCACCCAGCTACGAGGATGCCATGGGAGACCACCTGAGTCCACTGGACGGACCACGTCGCGAGTATCACCCACCAGATGCCTCGTCACCAAGTACAGTAGAATTTGGAGCTGATTCCAAGTCCGCAGCCCTACCGGGTAAGGCGCTTGAGGATGGGCCCGCCGCGGAAGGATCCTCGGCCCCTCGTCGCCGAGGCAATCGTGCTTCCACGGAGTCCTTCGACATGCTACCTACCACACCGCCGGAATCCCAATCTGGATCACCTCCCGCATCCCCTGTGAGACGCCCGGGGAGCATGATGAAATTTCCACGGAACAACGTTGATGAAGAAAGCCCGCCGCAATATGAACCTGTTGCGGGGAATCAGCTGAACGTTCCCCAAGCTGTGCAACGCCAGCGTCCGCGGAATAATCTTCGTCCTATGAACTTAGGTGTTCCTAATCGGAAGCCTGTGCCACGAAATCCGAATCGGGCTCAATAGGTTGTTTGGTTTCACTAATTTGGTCATATTCTCCTCTTTCACGCTCAGTGTCCGGGTTTGAAATTAATTGGAGCTTCATGGCACTCTGCCAGTGATTATTCCAGCGATATCGGCATTACGCATCAAAGAGACTACTTTATTTCTACCTTCAAGCTCGATACCCGATCAAATTTCAGTGTTGAAAGTGTTCCTAAGGCTATTGTGCTATTCTTAAAATTCCTCGTAGGGTCTATGGAGGCGTTAATGTCCAAGGAATCTACAATTTAGCCCACATAGTGTAGCGTCCGTTTAAGGCAATAATTTGTTTATATTCGATTCGAAGAATAAGCCATATTCCATGAAGCTGATAGTGCACATCGAGTCAATATCGGAATGGGGAAAAGCCAAGTTTATGGAACAAGATGTGCGCTATTCCAAAAGCGGCTAGCGTGTCCTCCACGCGGATTGAGCTCTGATCAGTTGCTTTCTTCTTCCACTCGAGCACATGTCCAGTCCTGTGGGCATCTGTCCTCACGTCAGATCTCAATCAAATTTGCTAGACCAGCTCGGACAAACTGGATTAACCCCGCAACGAAATATTACTTCCGAGTACTCGAATCGAAACCCCCAACAGCATCGCGAAAAAGTCCATTCACCGCGTCAATGATTTAGCTCACGACTGACCATCCACCATGCGTCTCCACCTTGTTATCTCCCGCCATGGCCTGCCGGTCACGCGCATTCTCTGGACGACGACTTCGTCTACTTCTATGCTAGGTGAATATGGGACTCAGCGCCCGGCATCAACCGCAGCTGTCGCATCGTCTCGCACCCCGAACATCGCCTTCTCGAATGGTGGATATACGGTCGCACAACTCCTCGAGGATGTGAATGAAGTTGTGCCACTGGAAACTGAACCTAGTGTCTTTGATGCGGAGTTCAGTGGCCAGTGGGGATTGGAAGATTATGTTGTCGAAGTTGCTGGTTCGGAATGCCTCCACTTCATGGAGGTTGATGGCTTGCTCCGAGACGGAGACGAAGTTGTGTATGTGCATCTAACAACCGTTCTAATGTCGTACACTGGACTAATTTCTCGCCTTTAGTATCCGCGCCCTTCAATTGGCAGACCTCCGGACCAGAAGGCTGTGTGGTCGCCACCAAATTACTGCCGATGGCAAGCACCTGATCGACGGCGTACCTTTTGGGTCACCGTTCTTGAAAAGAACTACATCTACACGGCCTGCAATTACTATCCCCCCCAAGGAAGAAGCGGCGCACGGTTTTTTCTGGCTGGGAGCACGCTCCAGAATTCGCGGCCGGGGAAGTACATGCTGACGAGGAAGGTGATGGAGAGTGGCTTCCGCCTCCAAACACCGGGTTCGGAAAGGAGCTTTCCGTCGTGCCCGCCGAGCACGAAGAGTCCCTTGGCACGGTTATTCGTCATCCTGTTGACCACGGCACAGAATCTGACAGTGAAGCGGATATGTCTGAGATGCCTGAGATTGAGGAAGATGAGTTGGAGAGCGAGCTCCAAGCGCTCAAAGAGGACTTTGAAGAACCTTCTCAATTTGTTGATATCAGGAACCAGACTCGGAATGCCAGTGGGCACCCACTACGTGCTACCTCGATAGCCAAGCGACCAACTTCGAAGGGCTCAGTTGCAGCTGCCTCATCTCTTTCCAGCAAGCGGTCTCGCGCAGATGACACGTCTCCCAGGACCTCCAAGGCTGTGAGATTCAACAAGGGAGCTGAGCAGGAGGACGAGGGTATGCCTGATCTCCCACAAATTCCGCAGGCCCCACAGGTTGAGGAAAGTGCTGCTGAAACTTCCGTTTCTGATTCATCCGATTCATCTGTGTCTTCAGATAGCGATTCCGATGATGATTCCGATGACGATTCTGACGATGATTCTTCGAGCGAGGTGGAACCTGCGGCGGAGGCACCCTCAGATTCAGATTCAGATTCAGATTCAGATTCAAGCTCCGAAGAATCCGATTTATCAGACTCGGATTCCGATGAGGAAGCCGCCCCGCCTGTCCAGAAGGTGCAACAACGGGTTTCTGTGGGCGCTCCTGGTGAAGGGTCCATACGCACCAAAAAGAGTAACAACCGCATCAAACTACGCCGCCGTCTATCTAAGCTCAAGCAGCTAGGCGCTCTCCCTCAACAAGCAGGTTTCGATGCATTGCGGGAGTGGGAACAGACCCACGGAGGGTGGCATACTCCGGAGCAATATCTTAAGCCTGAGCCATTCGTGCAACCCCAAAAACCTGCGGAACCGGAACAAGAATCTACGGAATCTTCCATCAAGAGGCAAAAGAGAGAGAAAAGGAAGAGGAGCAGAAAGAGTTCGAAGCCAAGCGCCAGAAACTGCTTCGCGATCTTGCATCGGGTAATGGTGTCGATGTGGACGAGATATCAGAGAAGGAAAATGTCCCGCCTGCTCCATCTGCCGTCGGGGAGACCCCTGTGTCAGAAGAAGTGCCCGGCAAGGATCGACAGGAGCAGGAACCCTCAAACCGACGTACCCTAGACATCGCCAGCTCACGACGCATGCTATTTGGATCCCTAGGAATGCGAACACCAAAGACTAAGGAAGACGAAGAAGAAACGCGGAGAAAGCTCGCTGCCAAAGCTAGTGCATTCGGGCACCGAATCAAGCCTTCTAAGCAAGACACCCAAGAAGAGACTGAGCAGATGCAAGAGGATGAAGATGCATCCGACATTGATTGGCAAAACAAGCTTGTCGTCCGTGCTGTCGAGTGTCTCTATCCCCAAGTTGATATGACCGCGCCTCCCTATCCTTTTGTTCAACGCTGGGATCAAGCAGCCAATGCATCGATCCGTGAGCTCAAGGGCCCCAACAAGAAGCGGAAGAGAAAGCAGCGTGTTCAGGTCTACGAAGGATATGAGGAGCAGGATGAATACGATGAGAATGGGAATTATTACGGCCATGATGACCAAGCCAATCACGAGGGTTATTACGAAGGTGAAGCTGATCCCCATTACGAAGGTCATTGGGAAGGCGAAGCTGCTCCTTACTATGAAGGCCATTATGCTGGCGAAGCTGAAGGAGATCAGATCAATTATGACGATGCCCCTGAACCTGAACAAGCTACCTTTGATGACCTACCTTCGATTCCGGCCGACATAAGTTCTGTTCCTGATTTGACTGAGAGCGAAGCGAAGGTCGGCGCAATCATTGCATTCCGGCAGCTAGACATGTCCAAGGCCACGAACTGGCAACCTCAGATGTCTGAGTACCGAGTAGCCGAGGTACGCTCTGTTAAAGACCAGGGAGTGATTGATGTACTACTGGCCAAGCGAGACCGAAAGCCCCCATCAGCATCCGACGACGAGCCCCGTCAATTCAGCAAGTTTGAAATACCAGACCTAGCCAACGACGAGGGAGAGGATGACGGCTATCGCGAACTTACCTTTGCTGAACTCAGCGATCCGAAGCTTCTCCAACCCGCTGGGCAGTCGGGTGCGGAATCTCAAGACCAGAACAATACTCGAGAAGGTAGCATGTCAGTGAAATAAACTCTGGTTGTCGGCTCATGCTTACATGTCCAAGTGTCTCTGTAGTTCAAGAATCCGTACCGAACGCCCAAACAGCCCTTGCTGAGGAAATGCACCTTGATGACACAACCTTTGTCACCATCGGAAATGAAGTTAGCCGTCTTGAGTCCCCAGGAATGCCCGATGAACCTATCCAACAAACCCCTGGCAGAGGCGTGCCCCAGATCCAAATCCAGAGTGGGTCTAATGGGCGCAGTGTTACTCCCCCAATCCCTTCACCTTCTTTCACTGGGTTTCACTCTGCTCGATCCTGGCAGCAAATGACTCCTGGTGTTGAGCTCAGTCGCGAGCTTGAAGGTCATACCCTCATCGGAGGAGACACTCCATCTGCTCTAGTGAATCGGGACGAGGACCCTTCCGTGTTGTCATACGCTTCCGCGAATCAATCCTTTGCGGATGATCCCGAGGATCAAGAAATGTCTGATCATGAAGAACACGACCGCCAGGTTGTTAACGAAAATCTTGTGCCGCCTGGCGATTCCGGAGACAGCGGTCCTCAGTCTGGCTCACTTCTGTCCACCATTGACCGTGACGGTAATGATGGTGCGTCTAATTCTGGTTCACTGTTTGTGGAAAGAGATACGAAGATAGACAAGCCTAGTGCGGCTCCGAACAGCTCTTCTGAATCGTGGAGAGATCTTTTAGACCGATTAAGAAATGGACCTTCGGAGCCCAGCGACTCTCTTATTACCAGCGAAGCCAACAACAGCGAAAACAATAACAGCGAAGACAACAATGGTGAAGACGCCAACAGTGAAGATGACAATAGTGAAGATGCCAACAGTGAAGATGACAATAGCGACGGCAACAACAGCGAAGGAAATCAGAGTCCCGAGCGGTTGGAAGACAGTCTGCAGCACTCCTACCTGGACCTCAATTTCTCGGCGCTTGACTCCCCACGGGCATCCACCTCGCGCTCTCCCAACCCACCAATGAGTGCTCAGCAGGATGCCCAATATCAAAAGCAAACCTCATTCCCCTCACCATTTGAAACGGAATCTCCTGCTGCATCTACTCGCTCCAAACTCTCCCAGCGAGTGGGTGCATCCGAATCCGCCTCCCAAATCCCCGCCTCCCAGGCATCGGACGTGATTGATCTCACCTCCAGCCCGCGTGAATCACCCGAACCCAACACCTCCAATTCGAACCCATCCCAGCGCTCCAAATCTGCAGTGTATGGGAACTCACAACTTGAGGACACCCCTCGCTCGTCTGGAAATCCACCCCGAGCTTCTACTGGAAGACTCCAACACATGGTGGAGGTGAGTATTAGTCCTTCCAGCCAGAAGAAGAAGAGGCGCTCGTCACGAAAGTTCTGAAATACTGGATACTGGGTTATTTGTTATTGAAAGTTGAACATTGAAGAGATATTGGATGTGGCATTTTACATCTGTATATGTACGGGCGCAGAGCGATGGCGTCTAGGAACCTGCACATTCATTTTTATTTCTGGACATTATTTTATTTCCATCAAATACAAGATTTTATTCTGAACCTTGGAATCCATTGCAGATCATGACAAAACGTTGGCAGTGATTGGTTGGACTGGATATAAAAAGTGATGTCATGGTAGTTGTATACTTCATGTTGCATTGATACCTTACATATGTAGGTATATCTCACGTCTTGGAAGCATTGCAATGGATAGAACAAAGAGATTGACGTATTAAAGCAGGTTCTTCCTCCACTTTCTTCTTTTCTCCTCTCTTCTCCTAATCATGTACCGACTAAGTACGTGGCCATCCATCCAACTATCCCGGCGGTGTAACTCTCTCTGGTCATTACGCCATATTCCTTCCCCCCGCATATCCAGCTTACTCTTGACCTCTTCTTCTTCAACTTCATCTTCTTCAATACCTACTACCAACCTATCCCCATTCAAACCCATCCAATCCATACGCAATCTATCCACAATGTCCCAAGAATACAAACTAAAGGACATCTCCTCCTTCACGTCCCTCAAAAATCTAGACAAGATCGAGGCTGAAGTCGAAGGCATTGAAGAGGGGAAGGTCCTCCTCGTCAAGCTGGACGATAAAGTCCATGCCCTCAATACACGGTGCACGCATTACGGAGCACCGTTGAAGAATGGCGTTGTTACTGAAGATGGAAGGCTCACATGTCCGTGGCATGGAGGTAAGTTTCGTTTATACAAGACAAAGAAAAGAACAAAAAGCTAAAGACTATATGTACAGCCTGCTACAACGTCCCCACTGGGGATGTTGAGGATGCTCCAGCTCCCAATGCGCTGAATAAATTCGCAGTCTTTGAAAAAGAAGACGGCGTGTACATCCTTGCGAGAGAGGAAGATGTCAAAGCAGGACAGCGCAATCCAGTCGTGAAATGCAGTGTGTCGCAACCGGAAGAGAAGCTTGTTGTTGTTGGAGGGTAAGTTGCAACTTCTTTTTTTTTCTGCTTCATCACTATACCCATTTCGCGTGTTATATTGAACTGCACGGTGTAAATGTATGGGTGAGTGGGCTTTTGGCCAAGCGGTTGTAGTTGGTTACGAATGCGCAGCCGCTCGTTTGGAACCCGCTCATCCTCAGCTCGAGTGCCGCTGAGATCTCGAGTTGCCGGATCGCCCCCGGGCGATGACTTTTTTATTTTTATTTATTATTTTTCTCCCCTGATATTCACGGGGCTTCCTTGCGCCATGGTGCTATTCTACAGGCTCCACGATGCTCCACGGCTTCTCCCAGTGTCTGCGCTGCTCCCACTCCCCGTGCTTCACCGTGCTGCCCACTCCCCGTGCTTCACCGTGCTGCCCACTCCCCGTGCTTCGCCGTGCTGCACACTCTAAGTGATGTGCTGCGCACTCCAAGTGCTTCACTATGCTACCCTCGCTACAGTGTTATTCCCAGCTCCCCAGTGCATGAATGCCACCCCTTGTCTCATTCCCTATGCATATGTTTCTTCATTCCCTCTCATTCAGATAATTAGATACCCACACTAACGCCAAACAGAGGAAGCGGAACTCTCGGCCTTATTCACGCCATCCGCGAGCTCAAGTACCCTGGGGCAATTACAATCATTTCCCAAGAGCCTGATCTGATCATAGATCGAACCAAGCTATCCAAAGCCCTAATCTCAGACCCAGCCAAGATCCAATGGCGGCCACGAGAGTGGTACGCCGAAGCTGCCATAGAAACCATCACAGATGAAGTGACAGCCGTGGACTTTGAACAGAAGTCCATCTCCACTAAATCTGGCCGCAACGTCCCATACACCAAACTAGTCCTAGCCACAGGCGGCCTCCCACGCAGACTCCCGCTGCAAGGCTTCAACGGCGAACTAAACAACGTCTTCACCCTACGCACCATCCATAACGTGCAGGCAATCCTCGCAGCCGCCGGACAAGACAGGAAAAACATCGTGGTAATCGGCAGCTCCTTCATCGGTATGGAAGTGGGCAACGCGCTCTCGAAATCCCACAACGTGACAATAGTCGGCATGGAGTCCTCCCCAATGGAACGCGTAATGGGCACACAAGTCGGCCGCATCTTCCAAGGAAACCTCGAAAAGTCCGGCATCAAATTCCACCTCTCAGCAAGCGTAAGCCACGCATCAGCCAACCCGTCAGACAGCCAGACCGTCGGCGCAGTCCACCTAAAAGACGGAACAACCCTCCCAGCCGACATCGTCATCCTAGGCGTGGGCGTCCGCCCAGCAACAGACTTCCTTCGTGATAACAAATCAGTCACTCTTGAAAAAGACGGCTCCATCAAAACAACAACCCACTTCCTCGTCCCAGGCTTGCAAGACTCCGTCTTCGCCATCGGCGATATCGCAACATACCCCTACTTTGGCCCTGGCGCTGACGCTGACGGCTCCCCAGTCCGCATTGAGCACTGGAACGTCGCGCAGAATTCGGGTCGTGCGGCTGCCCGCGCGATCGCGCATGCGCGGCATTCTCCGCTGTCGTCACTCAAACCTAAGAGGTTTATTCCGGTGTTTTGGTCGGCGCTTGGGGCGCAGTTGAGGTACTGTGGGAATCCAGTCAACGGATTTGATGATGTCATTTTGCAGGAGAAGGGGGAGGCTAAATTTGTTGCGTATTACACGGCTGGGGAGACCATTGTGGCAGTCGCTAGTATGGGGATGGATCCGATTATGGCTAAGTCTGCAGAGTTGATGAAGGCTGGGAAGATGCCGGGGAAGAAGGAGATTGTTGGTGGTGCGGATGTTCTCGCTGTTAAGCTCTAAGTGGGATATGATGGACTTGAAGTTGGTTAATGAATATGGGAAATAGTTTGGAATCAAGTGTTTTCTCTCAATTGACATATACACATTCGAAACGGAAAATAAGAACAAGCAAACCGGAACGCCCATCCAGGATGTAGTCAACAGTGATGTATGATATCGGTGCTCATGCAGACATGTACACAGAGCGAATTTATTCGTCCTTGCTCTTCTTGGACTTGGAAGACTTGGACTTCTTTTCCTTCTTTTCAGTCTTTTCAGTTTTCTCGGTCTTGTCCTTCTTCTCTTTCTTCTCCTTCTTCTCCTTCTTTTCCTTCTTCTCCTTCTTAGGGCTGGGGTCAAGATGCACATCCACAGTCGAGAGCTCCTGCACCGCCGACGCGGCCGGGACATCCATCACGGGAATAGATCCAGAGAGCTTCTTGGGCGATGAGAAGAACGACGGCGGCAAAGACTGTCCCTGACGCTCAGACTCAGAGAGCTTCTCCTCCTCCTCAACAGTAAGCATAGTTCCCTCAATACTGAGGAATCCACGATCCCGCTCAGAACCGGGAATGACATCCACATCAACAACACGGAAGCGCACAGATCCATTCACGCGGTGTCCAGAAACAGACTGGAAGTAACCAGTGTGAGCAGATTCATCCTCCTCCTCGCCATCAATGGCGATCTCCTCCGCAGAAAGCGCAGCAGGCTTGAAACACTCCTTCTCGGCGTCGAAATCCGCCATATCCTTATCAGAGCCCGAGTCGTCATCGGTCAAAGCCGGCGTCTCGGCCTCCTCACCAGGCGGCACCCACTTCCAGTTCGAGGGCAGACGCTTGCGCTCAACGCCAACAGAGAACAAATTGAACACAACAGCGCCGAGGAATCCCTCCGACTGCACATTCACCCATCCGTCCAGGGTCTGTCCGCGCTTCGGCCGGAACACCAGGAACGTGGCGGTCAGGTAGACGTACAAGACGCCGTACTCGTCCGCCGTTGTGGCGAGGGTGAGCGGCTGCGGGTTCAGATCCGAGGAAGAGCGTGGACCTGCCGGCGGCTTGCTGGAAATCGAGGCATTGGAGTAAGCCAAGATGACGCCCTTCAGCGGGGGAAGTAGGTCAGAAGCAGTGGCGAGAGATGCTCGGCCAGCAGCGAGGCCAGCGCGTGCGTTGGCGAGATGGAGATGGGTGACAGGGGCAGGTAGAGGGTTGCTGTTGTGAGGGTGAAGGGGGACTCGGGATTTGAATCTTGGACTTGTGGAGTTGCTTTTGAGGATGGGGTCTGCTTTCGCTTTTTGGATGGTGATGCGGATGTAGATGCGTCCTTTTTGGATTTGCGCTTGCGATCTGTGTCGGCTGAGCGCAGCGGTAGGTTGTCGATTTCCATTGCGTCAATTGCCATCGTGGAGGCAATTTGGGCGCTCCACGGAGCTTGTCGTGTCGATGTGGAGGGATTGGAGTGCTTCTTTTTTTTCGTTTCGGCGTCGAGAACTTTTTTTTTTTCATTTGGCTTTTGGAATGACAGTTTGGGAAGGCGGTGGGTTTGGGCGGTGACGGGACGATAGATGGTCCCTCCGGGATTATTTGGGGTCGATTGTTATCGCCAAGTGGCGCTTAGGGAGCTATCGTTTATCTTTCTGGTTTTTGGTTTCTGGTGTGATATGGTACGGTTGGGATTATTCAGGTGAAATTGATTTACTCACCATGTCATCCCTCCTGCCTTTCTTCGGGTGGGCTGTTCTCCCCAATGTGAGTGGAGCGCGATACGGAGCTATACAAGACGTGGAATGGGAGCTGATATGAATGACAGTACGCCACATCATTTCTACAAAGTGTCTACTATGGCATAACCATACGCGCCGGTGAACCCAAGCCACTTCCTCAGACTCCGCGGTTCGAGCGTCATCGTCGCCGTATCTTCATCTTCGTGATCACAAGCTACCTCCTCTACACACTCTACGAGACCTTCTACCAGGTACAGCTTGCAGGCGATTACTACCAAGCCCTAGGTGTATCACCATTTGCCGATGAACGCGCAATCAAGTCGCGGTTCCGCCGCCTCGCAGCTCAATATCACCCCGATAAACTCGGACTGGACAGTGGGTCCGATGCTTACTTCCTGTACCTTCGAACAGGCACAAGAAACATTGGCGGACCCGGTGAAACGATTTGCGTATGACCGATTCGGGACAGATATGCTCGGATGGGGCGAGCAGAAGACCATGCGCGACTTCCTGATGACCTCGTTGGTCAAGTCGATCGTCCCGCAATATATCGGCGGGTTTGTCACAATGCTTGTACTGAACTGGCTGTGGTGGCCGAATTGGGGCCGTTACGTGAGTACACAGTATCATCATTGGGAGAGTGTCAATGGCATAAGCTGACTGTTATTAGTGGCGCTTCTACACATTCGCCGCGATGCTGACCCTCGAACTCGGCTTGATTACGCATCCCCAGGCGGTGTTCATGCCTACTACATACCTTCCCGTCGCGCTACAGGCTTGGCTGCCTAAACAATCATTCTACCTCCTCCCCTTCCAGATCCTGACGTTAGCCCGCCGCGCCTCCATCATGCTACACATTTTCATCTCGCAGGTCGCACCGCCCACCGCTAAAGTTGCTGGGAATGGGAATGGCGGCGATAAGATATCCCCGCAGACTGTTCAGCGGATCGGAGAGTTGATCCAGTTGACGCGCGGCACGGATATGGAAGCGACGCGGGCGCTGCAGATGGGCCTAGCTCCTTTCCGGGGTGACCGTGAAAGTGTGTCGACGCTCCGACGGGGCATGAAAGAAGGGCTGATCCTCGGCGGGGTGCGGTCCAGTCCTGAGGTGCAACGTGCCGTGGCACAAGTGGTTGAACGACGCAAGGCTGACGATGACAGTAAGCGCGATTGATTGGATTTCAGTAGACTTGAAACTAGAGGTTAGATTTGTATATTTTACATGTTTCAAGCTATTCCAAGGTATTCCATGAATTCTTTGTAATCGACAAGTGTATGGAATTCACTGGACGATCCCTTGGCAGTTTCGCGTAATTTGGCAGTTCTTTTGGTTCCGTGAACTAATCGAAGGTCAAGTTTCCGAGGTGGCGACCCGTAATGTCGCTTTGTGAGAACGAAGACTCGTGATACTCTCACCAGATCTGTTGAGAATGGGTCCACCGGGTCTTGATCTCAAAGAGATGAGTTTTTTTCTCTTTTTGTAAGAAAAGACCAAAAAAAAAAAAAGACGCATCTCTCGAGACATCATGCGGTCAGTGAGTTGTATTTTCGGGATGCAGCGGGTGTGGAATGAGATCCATCAACGGGTTAGGGTTACTATATTGGAGATTTAGAATGGTAAATTTCTGCCTAAGAGAACATTTGAAGGGAATAGATGAACTTGAAGATAGAAGATCTTCGCATTCACATATAGAAATATAATATATCCATATATAATACTAGATAGAAAGAATAATAATCAAAATCGAGTACAAAAGAACAAGAAAGCTGTATATATCGGTATTGTATTGTCACAACCTCGTATCAAACTCACCCCGTTCCCGAAGTGGCTGGGCCAAGTTGGTAATGACAGTACGCCGAAGTCCACACCTTCAACACATCCCCTGTGCTTCATGGTATGAGTTTTTTCTACGATGAGGCCCACGATCCCTTTTTTACTTCGCCCCTTCCTTGTCCTTTTCCCTTTTCCCTTTCCCCTCCTCCATCTTCCATCCTCCGGACTATGCGATCGAACTACACATACTTCTTCTACATCTATAAGAGGGCGGTAGAAACACACACCACGTCACGGTGAATTGCCTACACTTCCGTCACCAGAATTATTCCCCTCAACCATATCCGGTACCCTCGCGCAAATCCCGTCTCATCCCCCCCATCATCACATCATGCCCGCCGCCACTCCAAATGGTCGCTCCCGTGGAGCTAAGAATTCCTCCAACTCCTTGATGGTGGTTCTTAAGCTGTCTGGGGATACTCTCCAGCAGTTCGCCAGCCCAAAGATCAAGGGTCAAAATAATACCATCAAATCCAATGACAACTCCTCGCCAGCTTCGTCCACCGAGCTCCCTACCGTCCGCCCATCTTCGGCCGACAATGGCTCCGACGCCGATGCCATTTCTACACCCGCCACAGGGGCGACCGCAGACGATACACCGCGTCGGAAGGGTGTTCCGGGTCCCAAGCCAGGCAACAAAAGAGCAAAAGAACAAACCGACCCTACTGCAAAGTCACGGGGACGCCCTGGCCCCAAGAAGAAGCCCAGACTGTAAGCAAACCTACCACACCCTTCAATACAGCACCACAACGCTAGGGGGAAAGAAAGAGCAAAAACTAACATATCATCTATTTTAGTGATGAAGGTGAGACCACAAAAATCCCAGCTGGACAGCGTCTGGGACCAAAAGCCAACACCGGAGCCATCAACGCCGGTCTGCGCGCGCTAGATCGCACCGGAGCCGCGTGTCGCAAATGGGAACGCAAGCCCCTACAACTACGCAGCTTCACCGGTGTTATGTGGCAACTCCCCGCCTGGCGCACACCGGGTATATCCAAGTCCGACAACTCGGTCGATGGCAAGGTTGCCGCGATGGAAAGTGGTGATAGTGATACAAAGCCTACGCTTCATGCTCCCGGCACTGACACGGCCAATGGCAGCAGTGCTGTGCCTAGTGAGAAGAGTAATTCCGGGGATGGCGATATCACCCCTGCTTCTCATCTTGTTGAGCCCTCGTCGCCGGCCATTGCTATGACAGCTTGAGTATGACTGTGACGATGTCGGATGGGGGTTCTCGTGTTGTACTTATAGATTTTGCGTGTCTTTTGTCTTTTCTTTGTTTCTTTGTTTCTCTGGGTTCTATGTCGGGTCTGGGTTTGGCGTTGGAAGGAACTGTTTATGGCTAATGGGCTTATTATTATTTTTTATGTGCACGGGGTTGTAGCCGGGGATCTGGCTTATTTCACTCGGTATGTGTGTACTGTATTATAGCCCTTTTTCTTCTTCTTTTTTGCTGGGTATCAGCTATGTTTTTATCTTCTGTTCGAAGATCTTTGGTCTGGGAACATAACGCAGTTAATTTTGCTCCAGTTGTCGCTATCCATAGTATATGGCTATATACTTGGGTCTCTAGGTACCTTAGTACTTGGAAGTATACATTCGAACAAAGTCCTTGTCTGCCCGACTCCTAGTAGCACAGTAGCCGAGCGTTAATGTCCAAGTCCGCATCAGCTCGTGACTAGATTAGTGTCTCCCCACTTTTCCTTCTCCTTACAACATCCGGATTCCCTTTTCCCCGCAATCTATGCATAAAAAGCGATTCGTGATTCCCAAGATCTAGCTATTTCGCTAACTAGGCTCTACACGTCTTTTTTAATATTTTAGAATCTCGGATGTGACGGCTTTGTATTTCTTTTTGAATAGAATAGTGAGGTTGCGACGTGGTAAGATCTGCTGCTTTCGGACCTGTCACGCAACGTCACGCACCTCTGCTGTGAGTGTCCACGCATCTTTCACATAACTCGGACTTTCCACGCACTTTTGTATCACAAGCACTCGTTAACTCCACGCACTCTACCCCCGTAACTTCGACTACCACGCACTGGCAACTCGTTATCTCCACATACTTCACTACAATGGCTAATGCTTACTACCACGCACTTGCAGAACCCCTCCACTTAGTAGCGCAAGTTCCCCAAACGAAATCCGGATTGTGGACCCCCAAAGCCAAAAAGCGAACAAACGAGAGCGCAGAAACGGTGGCCTTGATTTCGTGGCATCATTTGGGGGGCGACCCGCGAACATCATGGCCGATGCTCCCTTCCCCCCATCCGGTGGAGCTCGAGCTCCGACTTCGTACCCCAGCATATCATCCATCCAACGCCGCTCCTCTTACGCCTCGGTAGTATCTGGCAACGCATTTTCACCTCCAATCTCTAGCTCCTTCTCACATCTCCTCAACTCCCACCCAATTTCCTACCCCTCGTCCGACAGCCGAGTCCACCGGGCTCCGTTCGGCGTGGATGCCGCAGACATGCACATGAACTCCGCCTGGAGAAACACAGGTTCAACAGAGTCACTTCCTCCCTGGTCTCGCAAGTATGCCGGCTTTCTACGCTCGGCCGAGTTTCCGCACGGCCTAGGGCTCACCGACAGCCCGGCCTTCCTCACCCCATCCTACCTCCGCAACTCCCGCTACATCGCCCGTCTCGAAACTGCCCACCGAGCTAAGCTCGCTGCTCAACAGCGAGATCCCTCATCCGCAACCTCCAATCCTCCCCTCTCCGCCTCCTCCAGCAATGTTCACCTTCCCCGCATCGCCCCGTCGCACCGCGGCATGACATATGAGATCATAGAGAAGGAACCGTCTGCCCCGGCCGATTCCCTCATGCCTCTACCCAGTCAGTGGAGCTCCGTAGACAAGTTTTCCGGCCTGGAATTGTCGAACGAGAACTTCGATGTGCGCTACACTGGTCCTACGCACAAGCATGACCATGAAGCTGCCGCCTTGCGCGCGAATCACCCTATGCCACCGCAGTGCGGGATCTACTACTTTGAAGTCAAGATTGAGTCAAAGCCGAAGGAGGGGTATGTGAATGAGCTGCTTGGAAGATCTTGAATTGTGGATGCTGACTTTTTCCCTCCTAGCATGATCGGTATCGGGTTCTCTAGCCCCAAGGCGTCCGTCGAGAGACTTCCTGGTTGGGAGACGGAATCATGGGCTTACCATGGCGATGATGGAAAGTCGTTCTTTGGTGAGAGTCAAGGACAAGGTCGAGCATACGGACCGACTTTTGGTGCTGGCGATACAGTCGGATGTGGTGTGAATTTCTCTACGGGGTCTGCATTCTTTACGAAGAACGGAGTCTTCTTGGGTAGGTTTTTTTGTGTGGATTGTAATGGGGATATGTTAGGCTAATTTTGCCAGGAAATGCGTTTCACGATCTGCACAATACTAACCTTTTCCCATCTGTCGGAATGAAGAAACTACCGCCAGTACATCTCAAGACGAACTTTGGACAGGAGCCTTTCGTTTTTGATATAGACGGCATGGTCAAGGTGTGTACTTTTCCATTATATACTTGAAGTTGTCAAGCTAATTCCCACCAGCAAGAGAGATTCAACGTTCTATCAGAGATTAACGAAACATCCACTGCTGGTCTTCAACCACCGTTGGACGAGTCGACACTTATGCAAGAGTTAGTCGCACAGTTCCTCGCCCATGACGGCTACGTAGAAACAGCCCGTGCATTCGCAGAAGAGGTGGCCACCGAAACACTAGCCCTGCAGAACGGCCGCAACGAGCCACTGAAGAAATACGAGGTCGAGGAAGACCGCGAAGCCGTCAACCGGAACAGTAAGTCTACACCTCCACATTCCTCCCAGTGCCAAGCCCCCACTGACAGCCCATAGAAATCCGCTCCGCAATCCTAGATGGCGATATCGACAAGGCCCTCAAGCACACGAAAGCGTATTACTCGAACGTCCTAGAAGATCACCCAGAAATCCACTTCAAACTGCGCTGCCGCAAATTCCTCGAAATGATGCGGCGGTCCAACGAACTCTCCGTGGCAACTGCCGCGAAGCGCCGCCGCTCGACATCCTCCAACTCGCACGAGCACGCCGTCTTCGATCAGGAGATGGAGCTCGACGACGGGGATGGCGACGCCTGGGTCGCGGACGGTATGGACACCGAAGAGCCCGAGGTCGTCGCGCAGTTCAACCAGCTCCTCACAGAGGCAGTACAGTATGGCCAGCAGCTGCGTGCTGATTACCCCAATGACGAGAACGGCGGTGATAAGAAACTGCTGGATGATATCTTCTCGCTGGTGGCGTATCCCGATCCGAAGCGGTCTGTGCATGGCCATTACCTCGATGCCGAGGGGCGGGTGGCTGTGGCT